GATGACGACCCAGAGCTGCCAGACATGACGAGCGCGCCACGGATGCGGGCTGGGTCCATTTCAGCGGAGTAGATGGGGACGGTAGCGTTCTTTGCGCCGATGCCGATGCCCATGATGAAGCGCGCGGCGAAGAGACCTTGCCATGACTGCGCACAGGCTGAGCCGATGGGGGTGACAGTGAGGATAATGGCAGTGAAGAAGATTTCTCCTCGACGTCCGAGGTACTTGTTGAGAGGGTCTGGAGTAATTAGCACATGTAGACAAAGATGGTGTATTGTTAAGCTTACCGACAATGAAGGCACCGATCAAGCCAGCAGTCAAGAAGATGATGGCATTGATGATACCCACAATCCACTCGTCGCGGCCCTTTCCAGTGATGTTGAACTCCTCGTGGAAAGACAAGTTGGCACCGTTAGATCCAGTCTGATCCCAACCCTGCGTGGCGGCTCCAACGGCACAGAGACCAATCGAGTACCACAGCATCTTGGGTCCGTGCCACTTGTGGTCGCGCTCGTAGATCAGGGCATCACGCTCGTCCTGTTCGAGCTCAGTGAGCATCTCGAAGCGCTCAGGGTCGCGGGCAACAAGAGCGGCGCGAGCAAACAAGCTCGAGTGCTCTGGCATGCCGAAGCCCTCAGCAAAAGCCGACGCCTGTTCCGCAGCAGAGCCCTTGGACAGACGCTGGAGGGGGTTGTGGACAATGTTGCCAGCGACTGACTGGCGGCGGGCGTTGGCGTCGCCAGAACCCGAGTCCGAGTCGTGGATAGCGAGCTTCTCGTCGCCAGGCGAGACCATCTTCTCATTGTGGACGGTGTTGGGGTCGTTGTAGACCTCCTTCTCTTGGGCGTGATCCGCCATGATGGATGATGTGGAGCGCAAGGTTGAGGTTGCACGCGACGGTCAGTGGAGGAGAGAGAGAGAAGAGTGGAGGGGTGGAGAGCAAAGGAAGTGAGGGCAGCGCTGAGATCTTCAAAACCTGGGGATCACGCTGCTCTAAGAACCCCGGGGGGAAGGTGACCAGGGTGGGTCCTCAACGTTCACTGTGCACAAACCTTGCGCACGGTTCGGGATTGCCTACATAGAAAGTGTAGCATCCGGCGCGCTGGGCCCCTCGCCAGCTCGCGTCGAGGTTGCAACAGGTTGCAATCGGCCTCCCGCTCCACCTACACCGCGTCATTGTCGGAGGACGATACTCGCGCGCTAGTACTGTTTCCTCCGCATCCAGCGCCTCCATGTGGGGAAAAGCGGGTACTTTCACCTGAACGCTCAAGCTCGAGGGCCGTTAGCTCAGCCATGCTTATGTCCCGTGCCTTGGCGCCTGCGCTAACACTTCGCGCACCCCGACGTGCGGCTGCAGAAAATCCAGCGACATTGTCCCGAAACCGTGTTGTGGTCGGGTCGCCTGCGTGGTTTCACAAGCAGTGTTTGGTTCGAGGGTACAGGATAAATACGCGTGTAACCAGCGCACGTTGAGGAAGCTTTTGCGCCAACATCCTTGTCACATGCCGAGTGCTGACATATGGATTTACCCTGGGGATCAGCTTAATCAGACGTGCCAGGTGCGGAGGTGGAGTTGTGGAATGCTTGTGCATGATGTCAACCAGCCGAATTCGGCTTGGGCGCACGCGTTGCTGCCATGCTCACACGCTTCGCACGTGCTCGGCAAACCTTGTCGTGCTTGTTGGGACCGTCGCTTGGACGCCTTTCCAACGTCGAAGGCAGACGATCCACATTCCTCTGCGCTTCCATCAGCACACGCGCGAACCGGAGACCAGGCTCTGCCGTGTCACGAGCACTGCAGATAATGCATTGTTCCTTCCGCCTCAGGTGCATCTTGGTACACAGCACTCTAGAAACTATCCTTTGTCTGATCAGCACTCGTTTGCAGCCGATAAACACAGTCGAGCGCCTGATCGCGGTCAGCTAGCCAATCACCGCTTGCGACTGAAGTGAACCTCTGGGCGGCGGCAGGCAATTTGCCAAAAAGTCTCTCACCCCAGGGTCGTGCCTCGTCTCGGCAATCTCGGCACCTCAGTCGGGAATCGATTTTCTGCTGGCCTATCTCTACTCCGTCACGCCATGTGGTCTTGGCCACTGTTCGCAAACATCGGTGAGCTTCAACCAAATATTGCTCAGTCACACGGCCTGCTCCAGCCCACTGAGCCGCATCTGCTGTGCAAGCTACACTAGGGATGGCAGTGTGCTAGTGCTACCTCAGATCCGTCAAGGACGTCGCCGCACCGGTCTAGCTGTTGGAGGCGCGCCTGAGTTGGGTTGGGTTGGGTTCCGGTCAGTCAATGAGCAAACGCGGGGTCCCCTCCGTAGCGGGAAGTTAGGCAGCTTGGAACGCCTTCCCTTAGTGCAAAGGTGTTAGTCTGGCATCTCCGCATCTTAGTTTCAACATCACTATCACTATTGCTTGCTACTCCTCGGACGCCTAATCATTCTCTAGATCTTCGCTTTCCGCCACCACAACATGTTGCGTTGTGCATCATGGCCATGTCCGGATTTCCCCCTCTTATCAAACATTAAGGCTATACCGGAGATTACCTCGGCCACTGTTCTGCTATGGTCAGAAAATATAATTTCCTTCTTCCGATACCGCCATCACTTCTGGTCCAGGTGTCTCATCGTTCTGGACTTTTTCTATGCTTTGTTGAACCAACACCGAACCTCGCGCGACGTCTCAAAGTGCAAATTCCTTCATCTTCTTCTTTTTCTTTTTCTTTTTGTACAGTCCGCACTTTCTGTTCGTCTTCAATTGTCCATCTCGAGCATGGCTCGTTCCCCGCCACTTGCACTGACATGTCTCGATCCCCACACCAGACGAATCCCAGTCCTACGATTTCGCGCATTAGTAGTGAGCATCTTGTGCCGCGAAGAAGATCACGATCGTCTGTTTTCTCCTCTTCTTCCCTTGCCACCACTGATGTTTACAATGCGTATCATCGTCCACCTTGCTCTGATCTCTTCTACTATTCTCTCAATCTGCTCATGACTGAATGCTGGGCAAACACAATCTCCAAATCCATCTCCTCGAACTCCACAAAGTCTTCTTCTGCAATCGCCACGAATGATTTTCCTTGAATCCACAGCGTCTTGACCTTGTCGCTATCCCTAGACTTCCAACGCGGAATGTCATGCATCATGAATGAGGTCCACTTCTTCCCCAACGCCCCGTCTGATAGCCGATCCGGGAAGAAGTTCGCTCGTATTGTTCCTAATTCTTGCGTGGTGTATCTTCTGATGCAGAGGAGCGCGCGCTCATCGTTCACCGAGAATGCTCCATTAGATATGGGGTCAGCGACTTTCAAAAGCGCTGTAGTCCACCCGATAGCGTGTAGCTCGGTTTCGATCCGGTCTGTCTGGTTTTCGCTGATGTTAAGAGACTGGAGGGCTTTGTTGCGTTTGACAATGAGAAGTCGAGCATTCTCTGCACTCTGCACATCAGGATCATTTGGAAGTGGCATCATGACGTGTTTTGGACGCTTGAAGATGGGCCGATGTGGAGCACGATCACAGTGACAGATGTAGTTCTTATACCTTCGAGAACTTCAGTGGCATGGAGTTTGATAAACAGGCCCCAAACTTAAGTAAGTGTGATGGGTCCAGGTGATGATATTGTGCTTGTGAAAGCGCAATTCCTTTCATACCCCATCAAGTCAGTAAAGAAGAAAAAACTGTCATCAAGCCTGTATCAATATTTGGCACAGGATTTTATTAAACCAGACGCTTATCTCTATCTATCCCTAGTAGAATACCATTGCTCCAGGCGTATTGAACTTCTTCCACCGATCGTCTGTCAACACCCCTGCCCCGTACAAATGAATAGCTTTGTTTCTCTCAATGCGCTGTTCACACTGACTCGGCCGCATTCCAATAAACAAGAACTCTGCAATGACATCCCACGACAATCCAAACTCAATCCTGAAAACTTGGAGCAGCTCATCATCATCATCTTCCCAGTCCCAAGTGCGGCGATTTGTGCCATCTCGGATATTGTCTGAAGACCCCGCCACAACATAGGCCAACCAGGATTGGTAAGCCGAAACTTGAGTTGTGCGAGCTGAGCCGCGCTCAGAAGCAATTTGCTAAGGATGTGGGCTCTGTAGTTCTGCAGGGGGGTTCCGGGCCCATGCTCTGGATCGGCCTTGGCCATCGCCTCCGCTATTAATCAGTCAGCTTCTGGCATTGTCGACCAGGATGTCGCTTACCCCATTGTTCGACCGTGGAACGGGCAGGGTCAATGGAAGCTGGTGCTTAATGTCAGCATATGCAATCCTTCACTTTAGGCAGAATGGCTTGCCTTGGTATCGAGCTTCATCTTCTGGGCTTCGGGGGTTCGTCATATCGTTCGGCAATGTCAGTTGGTACGTGTTCAAAGCTGTGTTTTCTGATGCGTCGATTCAACAATGTCCAAAGGGCAGTGGTGGTCTCAATAGCAGTGATGCATCTACTACATGTACTCGCGTCTGCTTGCTACCCGTCATGCTTCTGACCTGGCATCCACGAGTCTTTTAAGGCTCAATACCCACGAGATGATTCTTCGCATCACGATCTTCAGACTCGCGCTCGAAAATAGACTTCTGAGATGACTTTGCGCTACAGCATGTGACAACAAGCAATCCTGCTGTATGCGTACTCTGCACACCGTCTTACTCACGAGCGACTTCGAAGATAGGAGCGCTAATTTGGTGTTTGTCCGCCATGTGGCTCAACATTCAACACGTACAGCCCTTGCTGCGCGTCATTATTTTGAGCAGTTCACATGGTCATGACATTTGTTGAAAATATTTCTATTCGTCCACAGAAAGCTACATTGTTCTCGAAACTTACTGCTACTACTAATTCCTCCTGTCATACATCACTGACCATCACCATCTTCTACATCCTCATCATCATCATCTGCTTCATCTGACTTCTTCGCCTTGCCTCGTTTGCTCCTTTGCGGTTTCTTTGCTGTCTCCTCTTTCCCACCGTTTTGCAACCTGTCATAGTTCCATACTCAATTTTCAGCTGTAGAGTAGAGAAATCCGGAAAGTCTTTTCTTATTGCATCGAAACGTTAACGATGTGTCAACGCCAGCAGAAAAACATCTAGCATACAGTACGCCATCCATTCAAAACAGGGTACTGGAGATGGTAATTCACTCGGCTCTCTTCGCCCGCTCCTCAACTTCCTGAAGCCATTCCCCATTTTCCTCTAACCACTCCCGGTTCCCCACCAAGACCCTCATGTACCGCGCCTTGCACTGACTAGCTCGCTTGCCAATGAACAAGAAATCAGCAAGAACCGTCCAATCCATTTTGTACTGCTCCCTAATCACCTTCAGCATGTGATCATCATTACCCTCATCCCATTCCCAGCTTCGTCCATGCTGGCAATCGCGAATCGTACCCAGCGATTCCAAAGGTGTGATACGGTTCTTCGTCAGCAACTTGCGAATTTCGATCTTCTCCACGTCACTCAGAGGCATGATGCTGACGATGTAGTCTTTGTATTGCCTGAGTTGGGGATTGCTCTCGCTCGCAATGTTGACAAGTTCGTTAATGAGCGGGAAGAGGTAGATGCCGGGATGTGGCAATTTAGGGGGCTGCATGGGATCCATGGTTGCTAAGGTCACTTTTGAAGGAGTATCAGTATCTGTGTGATTACTTATATATCTGAACACCCAGGTCATTTGCTGCGCGTCACGGAACTGTCTCACATGTCTGGCCGACACAAAGCTGCAGTGAAACCATCAAAACCCCTTACTTGTCCGCTGACTCTTTGCTTCCGGTACTCTGCTAGTCAACTTCACCATGTCAAAATCTCATCCCTACATTCGTGCGAAAAGCCACCAATTAATGCGTGAAGGATGTTGTCGTGTAAGGCGTAAGCGGAACTCCACCAGTCTAGCCTAACATGTCGCTTTTTGCGCCCGGCTAACCCCAATGCAGCATCGCGAGGCTGAGTATCTTCACGGCGATAAACGCTGCTAATGCGTGGATGCATATTGTCTTACAGTCTCCGTCCGCTCAGCGAAATAAACATGCTGTATAAGATCAAGTGGATTTCCGGCCATGCAAATCATTCATCTCAGCAAAACATCATCTCTAGCAAAACATCCATCTGTAGGCCCCAGCAAAACAACCGTCTCCTGCTTCTGCAAAACGACCTTCTCAGCTCTATCAAAACAACCATCCACAGCTCAAAGTATCCATCTTAAGCAAAATATCCATCTCCAACGAAACGTCCATCCGTAGCAAAACGTTCATTCTCTAGCGAAACATCATCTCCAGCAGAACATCCATCCGCAGCAGTTCACTCCACCTCAGCATACCAATCACCACCATGCCCTTCCACCCCTCCTCCCTCCCAGATCTCACCGGCCGCACGTATATCGTAACCGGCGCGACTTCCGGCATCGGCTTCTTCACCGCATCCCACCTCGCCTCCCACGGCGCCCACGTCTACATCTGCGCGCGTACCGCCTCAAAAGGTGCTACTACCACCTCCCTCATAAAATCCACGCACCCCACCGCAAATCTCAGCGTCCTAGTCCTGGACCACACGCGCCTATCCAGCGTCGTGGCCGGCGCGCAAGACTTCTTGTCTAAAGAAACGGCACTACATGGACTGGTCAATAACGCGGGTATCATGGCGACGCCGTACAGCATCACAGAGGATGGGTACGAGGAGCAGTGGCAGGTGAATTATCTCGCGCATTGGGTGTTGACGGCTTGGTTGATGCCGGTTATGCGGGAGACGGCGAGGGCGAGTGAGAGGGGCGTTGTGCGGATTGTTAATTTGTCATCGTATGGGCATCATTCGGCGCCGGGTGGGGGGATTGATTTTGAGGACACGAGTCTCAAGAGCACGAGTAATATGGCAAGGTATGGGCAGTCGAAGTTGGCGAATGTACTGCATGTGAAGACGTTGCATGGATTGTATGGGCCGGGGTCGGAGGGCGAGGGGGAGGGTGAGGTGTGGGTTTCGGCGGTACATCCGGGACTTGTGAGTACGAGTCTGGATAAGAAGGCTGAGCTGCCAGGTTTTGTTAGGTTCTTGATCGCGCCGTACCGATGGATTGGAGGGTTTGTTGATGCGGATAAGGGGTCTTGGACCAGCTTGTTCTGTGCTGCGGCGAAGGAGATGAAGCGCGAGGATTGTGGGAAGTACTGGCAGAGACTTGCGGATCCGAATGGGTGGCAGAGTAGTGCGGCGAAAGACTTGGAACTCGCGGAGAGGTTGGAGGAGTGGACGAAGAAGGAAATGACAAAAGGGGGGTGGTTAGTTGATGATGGAAAGGCAAGTGCGCAATTATGATGGTAGATGATATTATAGCGTTCTCCTGTATGTGAGTATCTAAAGGTTCGAATGCACAACTGTTTATTCTACACTGAAGCATGGCCCGTACTTCGTGCTGCTTCTATGACTTCCCCGTACGAAGCATAGTGAGTGATGCCGCTAACGTGAGTTCGTGTCGGACGATGTTACTGTTGCCAGGTGGTGGCTCACTTCTTCAGCGATCCCTTGCCGACCTTGGCATCCTGCACTTTCTTCTTCTCCTTGGCGGTGAGTGGAGCTGCCATGTTTTTGGTGTTGGCCTTTGGAAAGAATCTGCCGACGCGCGACTGGTAGACTTTGTACTCAGGGTACTTTCCAGCACTGAGAAGCTCGGTAAGCCATGTGCTAGCCTGGAACAAGATCAAGTAGCTCATCGCTCCGGCACCAGTCCAGTTGTAGTATGTCCAGCTTTCCAAGCAGCACCACTGGTACAGGCATACCCAGAAGGCCTGCTCGGCCAAGAAGTTGGGGTGGCGCGACCATGCCCAGAGGCCAGATGTGTTAAAGCCACGGTCAAGTTGTTCTCGGGTGTATTTGTACTCAGACGGGACCTTGGCGGTCTTGCTGTACGCGGCCTTGGCCTGGTGGAAGTTCCATTGTTGTTGGTCGGCGAACCATTCAAACACAACAAAAACAAGCATTGTGCGGCCGAAGAACGTATCCCATGACGACAGCTCGGCACCAGCGACACGAGAGCTAAGAAGGAGAACGTATGTTGGGGTGCTGATTAGCCAGAGCAGAATCTGTGGTGCGGTTAGCAATTGTCACGCGTATAGCTGAGAAGACACTCACGTTTTGTCCCAAGGCAATGAATGCGATGTTAAAGATGAAAAACCCAGTAGGCCCGACAAAGTCCTTGACGATTGGCCACCGGTAATCCTCGCTTCCGACTGTGTATCCGCCTTTACGCCAGTAGTTGAAGGTCAAGCGTGCGCTCCAGAGGACAGAAACGGCCATGACGTGATTCAGACGGACCGATGGGAGGTCATTGAAGTATGCCCAGAGTGCAAAGTGGACATTGTAGAAGGCGGGCAGGATGCTCCACAGACGGTCAACCTGCGAGTAGTTCTTGTTGATCTCAGATAGGATCCACACGATAGGCGAGAGGAACAGGGCGAAAGCCAGCGATGAGATAAGCGGGTTCGTCGCAAGGTATATCTCCTGCAATCCCTGTGGGTCGGTGATATGCGCAGCGACTCTGTAAGGCAGGTCGTAAAGCTGGGGAAGGAACGGCTCGACCGTCTTGCTGAAGTCGGCGCACTCAGGAAGAGTCTTCACAAACGGCAGCGCCGCGTCGAGGAAGGTGCGGGGGTCGGGCATGGTGGTGTCGACTCAACTGTGATCGACTCAACTGTGAAGGATGGTGATGGGAGAGACCACTCTGCGTGCTGTTTCGAGCTGCTTGGGATGGTGGAGCGATGACCTCATGAAAGTGTGGATTTGTCTTCCAGGCGCTAGTTGGGAATGCGTCCGTGCACCTCACAAACGCGCTTTTCTTGGCCCAACGCGTCCTCACATGACCGTGAGCCTCAACGCCGCCTAGAGATGCATCTTTCGCCCCATGGACGCTACACCTGACGACAGGTATGCCTCGAGTGCTGTGCGTGGCCGAGAAGCCGTCCATAGCGAAAGCAGTCGCAAACCATCTCGGCGGACAAGCAAGGGCTGTATGTGTCAGTCCTCATGCTACTGTATAGATGCAGGCTGACAGTGAACAGGAGGCTGTTCGTGGTATACAATGGGTCAAGAATTACAAGTTCGACTTCCGCTTCCAACAGTGGGGTCAGTCTAATGTTACATTCACATGCGTTGCTGGCCACATTGTCGCCCAGGACTTTCCAGATCGATTCAGAAAGTGGCACTCTTGCCAGCCAGCAGATCTCTTCGATGCTCCTATTCAGAGTTCAATCGCAGAGGTGCGAACCAATGCCAGAGTTCCAGCTTCTTCACTGACTGATAAAACGCAGGACAAGAAGATCGTGGCAAGTAACATCGAGGCTCAGGCAAGATATGCTTCCATCCTTTTCATCTGGACCGATTGCGATCGTGAAGGCGAGCACATCGGGACCGAGATCCGTGACATCGCGCTCAAAGTCAATCCAAATATGCAGGTCTACAGGGCACGGTTCAGCAATATCGAGAGAGCGTGGGTAATACTTTTTCCAGTTGACTTCAAGTATGCTAAAACTATGCAGCCATGTCATCCAAGCCTCACAAAACCCAATCCGTCTCGATGAGGCACAAGCGAATGCCGTGTCAGCCCGCATCGAACTCGACTTGCGACTAGGAGCAGCCTTTACCCGCATGCAGACAATGGCTCTGCAGAACATGATCCCCACGCAAGGTGACGAGCGTGGGAAGGTCATCAGCTATGGGTCGTGCCAGTTTCCAACCTTGGGTTTCGTTGTGGATCGGTACCTGCGCGTGCGCAACTTTGTGCCAGAACCTTTCTGGTACATCAAGGTAGCGCACACCAAGGACAAGATCGACGTCAAGTTCAACTGGCGACGCGGTCACCTGTTCGATCGCTTGGCTGTCATCATCATTTTCGAGAGGTGTCTACTCGCAAAGACGGCAAAAGTCATGAAGATGGCCAAGAAGCCGACGAAGAAGTGGAAGCCATTGCCACTGACCACGGTTGAACTCCAGAAGAATGGTAGTCGCTTCCTCCGCATGACTTCACAAGAAGTGATGAAGGTTGCCGAAGACCTCTACACGAAGGGTTGGATTAGCTACCCGCGCACTGAGACGGATCAATTTGACCGAGGAATGGATCTACGAGCACTGGTGGCAAGGCAGACTCAAGACAATGCCTGGGGCCAGTTTGCACAATCTCTCATGGACGGCGGCTTCAAGCAGCCTCGTGACGGACGGAACAACGACAAAGCTCATCCGCCTATTCACCCGGTCAACTACGTGGCACCAACCCAGCTCAACCAGAACGAGAAGCGAGTGTATGAATTTGTGGTACGCCGTTTCCTGGCGTGTTGCTCCGAAGATGCTGCGGGTGAAGCTACAGATATTGAGATCGATTACGGAGGTGAATTCTTCCATGCGCATGGTCTCACAGTTATTGCACGGAACTATCTCAATGTTTATCCGTACGACAAGTGGGTGAGCAGCCAGGAACTACCGCAGTACACTGTTGGCGAGACATTCGAGCCGACTGAAGCGAACATGCATGACGGCCAAACTTCCGCGCCAGCATATCTTACGGAGCCCGAGCTCATCGCCCTCATGGACGCAAACGGTATTGGCACGGATGCAACCATGGCAGAGCATATTGCAAAGGTCCAAGAACGGGAGTACGTTATAGCACGGCCCAAAGGTGGTGGTGCACCTGCAAACAACGACGACGGTGGCGGTAGAGGTCGTGGTCGTGGCCGTGGCCGTGGTGGTGCTCGCGGCGGCAGAGGCGGCCGAGGTGGATCAGCAGCGCAGAACGAGAGAGGTGCGACTACCGGCATACAGGAATTCATTCCGACGACACTGGGTATTGCGCTTATCGAAGGCTACGATAACGTGGGCATCGAGACGTCCCTCAGCAAGCCGTTCCTGCGCAAAGAGGTAGGTGCATGGTCGTACAGAGTCTACACAGTAGTCATCAATGTCAACACCAGGCCCTCACTAACACTTTCGGTAGATGGAGGTACAGATGAAAGCCATTTGCGACGGCCGCACTACGCGCCAGGAAGTAGTCCAACAAAACATCGAGCAATATCGGGCCGTCTTTACTCGGACGGCACAGCAGATCAACGTGCTAAAATCTGTAAGTCAGAATACTCCACATAGGATTGTGTAGACTGGTCGCTTATGTGAGGTACTCCAGGCGATCCGCAAGTACGTGTTGGGAGAAGCGAATCATGGATGAGGGCTTTTCCACGCAGTCAGACGGAGACGCGTGGTAAGAATCCGCGTCATCGGTTGGGACGAGCTGGAGGGGTACGGCTGTGCAACGCTGCAAGACATGATGCAGCGAAGCCAACACGTGTGCCTGCCTGCTTCTCTCCGAGCCTCTCGACAAACGCACAACCAGGGTAGCATCCCCTCGTTGAGGCACAGCATGCCCCTCATCAGGCACGAAGCGAAGTCGGAGCGCACAGTAGTGGCCGAGACCCCGCGCGCGATAAGACCAATAGGTGTAAGCATGCAAAAGCATGGAGAGACGTATGGGAAATGTGCGGCGCGACTCGAAATGGGTCTCGGCTGGAAACGGAACGGCTGTCTCAGTCCACCACCTCGAGCTGCATGCGATGGTATCGCGAAGGGCACCGGAAGGGCTTCGGGCGTCAATATCAACGCGAGACGAAGTGCACAACACTGCGAATATTCCATGTGAACACTACGTGTTGAAAGCCTTGCGCAGGCACCGATGACCCTGCTTTGTCTTCGGTGGAGTGGCGTGCCGGCTGACAGTTGCTGGCTTCGATCAAACAAGTCGATCGCGATGACGCCTGCAACGTGTGGCTGCCGAGTCAGGTGGTTCCGAGCCAATCATAATCGCGACACGACCACGAGCCGAAGCTTCCCGTCAGATGCAGCAGCATTGCTTCCTTGGTTCCAAGTTGGACTCATACCTCTTATCAGCGCCTGACCGTCCTCACAACTCTCAAAGCCCACACAGAATTTTGAACGTCTTTGATATAAATCGTTGCTCCTATTGCGACTGCACCTTTACCTCCTTTCCACGCGCACTACCACTAGATCCTCCCGCTGTGGCCACCCGCTGATCTACGCCGATCGCCAGTGTCTCGGAACGTTCACAAGCACCTTCCTGCAGCTTGACCAACAGCGCAGCAACAACAACAACAACAAACCTCAGATACCGCTCCATAACCGTCGCGTCTGCAGTCTACTCACGCTCCAACGATCACATAATCCATAAGCTGGAACTCGAACTTCACGCGCACTGCTTATCGTGTAGGCTGAACATCCCAGGTACGTTCCTCTCCTTTGAAGGAAAGGATTCAAAGGCTCGCAAACACATACGCCCTCTAGACGCGTACTGACATCCTGTGACAGCTTACTACTCTCCGCCGCTCATCGTCGCACGTTCCCAACGAACGCGCGCCCCTTTGTTGACGTGAGTGATCCACCACGTCAGCTCCTGCCAACCTCCGATATGGCTGCCATCAACACCAAGCCCATGTCCAGCATCACTGCCGCACTTGCTGCGCAGACTGGGGGCTTTCCGATGCAAGATGGCAGCCATACTATGCCGACACCGCCCTCCTCCATCTCCCCGACCCTCCCTGCGCACAAGCGTAGACCGGCACCCCTAGCCGGGCGGCTTCATACTCCAGAGGAGGGGATGGATATCGATCTCCAGGACGCGGTGGAACATGCGGCGGCGCAAGATCTGCCCTCCGCGCTCTCCAAGGAGGCGCTAGCGGGTCTGGATGCGACTCGCCAGATCACTGCGCTGATGCTAGCTAAGCACTACCTGCCAGAGATCATCGTCGGCCATGGCGCGATGCCCATCCGTGAAATGATGGCGCATCTCACCCAGTCGGTCCCGGGTTTCTCCGGACTTGCACCGGCCAAGGCGCGCAGGCTCGTGGTCGCTGCGCTGGAACACCGCGCTGGAGGTGGTGTCAATGGAGAGATCAAGTTCGAAAAGGTCGGATGGGGACGCTGGAGCGTAGCTGGCTCTGGCTCTTCTGCACGCGGAATGCCCATCGGTGGATCGCGTACCGGCAACCGAACACCGCCCGCCAGCGTTGACAGCGTAAGCGGGCTCCAGATCCCCAAACAGCGCGGCGGTCGCGACGTCTACTCGGGAAGCTGGGCCGCCGGCTCATGGTCCCCACACCGCGCCGGCGAGGACGAAGAAATGGCCGACCAGATGTCGCTGGATGGCTCCGGCGACAGCACTGAATCGGACTCGGCGTCTGACATGGATCTGGAAGACGATCTCAACGACGACACTGACGAAGAGGACTGGTCCAAGATGGGTCCTGATGCACTTCGCGACACCCGCCGCGGACCGCGCCGCGAATACCGAGACTACAATTACCTAAGCCGAACTCAGACGAGCAACCCGCGCTACCGAAGCGCTTCGGCGCAGGCCCACTCTTTACCCCAGGGGCGCAATACGACGCCTGTCTTCAAGCACAGCCTTGCTGTTCCTTCTGCATCCCGCGGCAATCACGTCGTGAACGCGGGCACTTCTTCCACTACACCATTTAATACAACATCTGCCGGCGTCAGCAGCACCGGAGCCGAGCGCGAGGCCATCGAAGCCCTCATCGCCATGGGCTCCATGTAATGACTGCTCCTTTACGAACAAACTTATCAAGATACCACAACAGCAACAACAACATCATCAGCAACAACATTTGACATTCAACATTTTCTGCGCGCATCTGGGATAAGGAGGGCCTGTTGCATTTTGCTGCAGGCGTACATTTTTGGTTTGCATGGTCGGGCTTTTTCTTTCAGGCATTTGACTTCTCGTTGGCAGCATATACACACCCCTCTTCCTCATCGCTTTGGAACACGCGATTCGAGTCGATCCGTCAAGTGCTGATGTGGATCATTGGATTTTCTTTACTGCGTCTTTTATTATTGTCATCGCATGCTTGCTGGTATTGCAAATCACCGCTTTTTATTATACGGGGAGGGTGGGCTGGGGTGAGGGGGTTGTATATATTTGAGGGAAACATGATGGTATTGTCTTGTCGACATGTGCGCTTGGCTGGGCTGGAATGCCGTGGCTATGGCTGTGTAGGTCGATTAGATGCAATTTAAGCGTGTCTGCCTGACTTGACTTCTTGATTGAAGTTGATGGGTGGGCATGGTAAATCATTATCGTCATCATTCATCATTTCAACTTTTGATTCTTGTGCGTTGTTGTCTTGTCCTGGCACTGCTATACCGAGCTAAACCCTTGCTGTTCCCGCTTCTAGCATACAAAATGATGCACCGCCGATCTCTAAACGCTTTTTGTTATATCTCACGTTCTACATCCACCTATTGCTGTATTTTCGTTGACGTACTGCTCGACATGGAATTTGTGCTTCTCTCATTTTCCATTGCTTTTTCACCACGATATCTAGAATTGAGATTTAGAGTTGATCATTACGTTTGAGCGTACCCACAGGTGATTTTGCGAAGGCTGGATCCGTGCTAGTCAGCTATAATTCAGCTAATGCTGGGGTCCAGCTCTTGCTGTATGGTGAAGTCAGACGCGTCGAGGTCCCTTTGGAAGGGGCAGGACACAGCGATTCAACAAAGGTTCAAAAGTGAGATTGTAGAGTATATTTCAGTTACTCATCAGACCATGATCGGCACACCTATCCTAGGTAACAGGTATTCTCTCCCTCTATGTTGTGAAATGAATTGCCTTTCGCAACCTCTCCTCCACGCCTTCCATCGTGTAGTCGATCTTTTCAAGTTGATCCCTCAAATTAAAATTCCATGGATCCTTTTCAAGTTCCAAGGAACCACTACACACGAATTGGATATGGCAGGCATCCGGGTCCTGGACAACTCTCAAAAAGTGTCGATGGACGAAGCCTGCAATCTCCACCGTCGCCAAGAATATTTCGGATCTCGACAAATTGCAAGTTCTCAAGGCCATATCCGTCCAAAGCGAGGCGTGGGAGAATGTCCTACCCAGTGTGACTGAGCGACACGACCAGCGCGACCCGCGCGATCCAAGGGCGAATCGAAGGCAGCACGAGAAGAGGGCTGAAATTCCGCCTCGCATCGAAGATGAAGAACTTGTTGGCCTTGTAATACGCCTCGGGCGCCGACGATGCGATCTCCGGACCCACGGAGAAGAACTTGAACAGTGTGAGCTGATTCTCGTGCTTTTTTTGCCCGGCCCGACTCGGTGGGAGACAGTCCACAAACCTCTTCTCGTTGAGCAGGTTGAAGTGAAGGACACGCAGTCTCAGCTCCTCAGGCAATGCTCGCCATCCTCGACAAAAAGTTCTCCGAGGGCACCACCCGCCTCAACAACGGTTCGAGATGTGGTCGTTATGGTCGTTGGTATGGCGGCGGAAACGTGAATAGGTAGGTTGGGTGATTGGTCCAAGGCGAGCTTGATGTCGGAGCTACATGTGACAAGACACTTGGTGTCTGGTGCAACAGTCATGTGTGTGGTGAGGTTGACCACGGTAGGCCCTGTTTCGGTACCTGTCTCTGCGGCATCATTGGCGAGGTGTGATACCGTTGCTTCTGTGGGGAGAAGCCATGCTGATAGATAGAGGAAGTAGAGAAGTTGAAGTGGGGTCGAGGTGGAGAGAAAAGAAAAAGCGCAGAGCCGAACAGGGAAGGAGCAGTCGCGCTAGTAAGACAAACAAGCAAACGCCCGGGAATTATTCGATCTTCGACCTATGAAGCTCGTGTTGAAAAGATGTGAGTCCATGGATGGCTTCACTGCGCACTGAAATGATCATTCAACTGCCTTGATGATGAATTCAACGACTTCGATGACGGTATTCCCACAACTGAGATACGTTTTAGCTGTGCTGGGGAGCTCAGAATCTGCGGCGTTTCTAAAGAGGCAGAGAAAGCCTTACGAAGAGAGAGATTGGAGGAATCTTTCGGTCGGAATATACGTTTTAGTCGTAGTGAGAGCAAACGCGGAGTCGTTCCATAGTTAAGGAATGCTACCATGTCGCGCATGATGATATTGACAGCCAGGTGTTTAACGTAACAGTTGTCTATCTAAAATAAGAGGCATGATAAGCTTACCTGCGCAAAAAATAACCTTAGTTATCGAATTTCTACGAATGAACATTAAGCTTCTGACTGTCGACTATATCAAGTGTATTTTACAGGCTCTAGCCGACAGTATAGTGGAGTTTTCTCCCAGAATATAAACAGACTCTGGTTAAGCCAGCCTTCGCTTTCACTACATAGCTTGATATCAAAATTCAAGACCATGCTAGCCAATATGAATCGTAGCTCATGCCATGCCAAGTTCACACCTAAGCACTTCCTCGGGCCCGTGAGAAAGAATTCTGCGACCTCAAGATGATCATTCTTAAAATCCTCATGGTTCAGCCAGCGTTCCGGATGAAACTCGTCCGGCTTGTGAAAAAATTCTGGCGAATGCATTGTAGCGAAGTTGGCGATGCCGACTGAGGTCCCTTCTGGTATATGCTGACCATATATAGTAGCACCTCCAGCAAGGACAACTCGTTCGAGAGTAACAGCAGCTGGGGGGTACATGCGCATACCCTCCTGCAAGACCGCTTTCAAGTATGGAAGTTCCAAGAGAGCTTCAATGGTGAGATCTTCAGTCCCGCGGAACTTGGATCGCACTTCTTCGACCAGCTTCTGCAGACACTCTGGGTTCTTGACAAGGCTGTAAGTTGTTCCGCTTAGAGCTGACGCAGTTGTTTCGCTGCCGCCAATCAATAGTATAGCGGCATTGGCATAGTAGTCTTCCATCTCCAAGCCTGCTTTGTCTCCCCTCCGTAGAAGCTCCGTCCAGAGGTCTGGTCTTTCAGGAGTCGTTGAGAATCTTCGATCGACTCGCTCTTTGGTATATCTCCAGTGTTCGGCTGCGCTTTTTTGAACCGACGGAAGCAAAGTCAAGACTCTGTTGACGACCCACTTGATAGGGCCTCCAAGGCTCGTCAATGCAACAATATGTGACTTCGACTTGAAGCTGTCAAAGATAGTTTGTACCCAGGTCGAATACTCTCCACTACCGAGCATGTTCAGGTCTTCGCTGAAGATCATGTCACCCGTTATGTCGAACGTAGTGCAGTTGTACCATTTCAGCATGTCGATTGGCCGTCCGTCCGCGACTTCCACGTATAACCTGTCGACCAGTCTAGCTACCCATCTGGCAATCAAAGGCTCAAGTTGTCGGAGTGTCGTTTCTGAAAATGAATGAGAAAGAGCCTTCCGGTGGTGGGCGTGAATGTCCTTTGGCGCCCCAACAATGCTATATTTTCCATTGTACGCCTTGCGGTAATGGTTCGGATCCTTGTCAATGTTCGTCTTGAACCCGTATATTTCTTGCCATGCCTGCTTTGTGCCAAGATAGGAAAGCTTTGTAGGTGCCGTCCTCACAACTGGGCCATATTTGGCGTGTAGCTTTGGCAGGTCATGCGGAGCCGTGCGCCCCTGAAGTGTATCGATGACCTCGGGGATTCCGGTCAAAGAGCGCAGCAGGGGTCCCGGAATTGTGCTTAACGGGCCAAATAAGGCGGCATGAATGCGGTGGAGAACGGAGTAGAACATCCATGTACAAGCAATGATAGGAATTGAAATGCCGACAAGCTCGGTGAATTTGAATGCGCTGAGGTATACCATTTTTGCGTCGCAGAAAGCCTTAAGGTGTTGGATGGAATCATTTGTTTCATGCGTCGAGGCACATATATACATGAGTGTGAGCCAATAATCGGGGTTTTGCCTCCGAACGAATGGGATAATGACTGAATGGAGTAAGGACTGGCGCTGACGGCTTGACAGCAGCAAGGGCATAGAAAATCAGAGGAGACGGAACAAACAGCCTGATGCCATCCAATCACGCTCAACTTCAGCGAAGTGGAGACGCTACGATGGCGGATGTAACTACTATGGGAACGGCCCGCCAGGTTAGGCAAGTCGCTTCTGCGGAAGCCAACTTCCCATGGGGAGATCACTAGACTTAAAAACATATTCTTCGGCCTTTAGTTTCTCATTAAAAGATGATGAGAGAGTTCGGTTTATCCTAGAAGGACTCGCAGTTTCCAAGAAGCATCGTTCGGTTACCAAGCTAGGCCTTCGATGTTGATAATCAAAAAGATCAACGCAGAACTGTTCTGCTGTCGCTACATTGTTGATCGGACATGCAAGTCTTCGTACTGGCGGAGGTCCAGATGTCTTTTCTTTTTGATCCATCGGCGGAAACTGTTAAATTTGGTGTCCGTACTGGATGATTGCCAGAGTTTTCTTGGCTCCATTGAATTGTTGTGAGAAATTGTTCCTGCGTCAGTCTGTGATTGTGGGCGGTTACATAGTGACCCGGTACGATCTGTTGCGCGGTATAAAGATTATCCTAGATATTCCCGCGCAAGAGGTGTGCTTGCACGCTGAAATTTATGGCTAGTATGTTTGCGTCCGGCACGCTATTCCGACAATTCCAGAGATGCCGAGCGCACCTGGGCAGGGATTACATGAGATCAAGGGCCCCTACACGACTCTCCGGAACCAAAATGATTAAGCAAATGCAGTCTAGGGTTTAGTGTGTTTTATTACACATCCGCCAGTCACAGTTACCGTCATCAAAACTCTTAGCACTGTAGTATCGACTTTTCTCAGTAATCTTTTCTTTTCAATGATATTTTGCAGCGGCGACGCCATTAGCATTGAGTTTTGGGGATTTACTGGCTGGTTTTCTAACAATCGAGATCGAATCAACTTTTAGGCCGCGAAACACGCTTTGTTTATTGTTCAGAATACAGCGCACTTAATCAATAGATCAACTGGGTCGTACAATTTGAGTTCGGAATATTGTGATGATACCATGACCTGTAAACAGGATTACCACAAGAGCCTTAGACAGTACACAATCTACTCTGCCCCTTTTGTGCTTCTGCCCGTTTAGCTTTGAACAACATTTTCACCACAGCGGACATGACAAAATCCCACTAGGCTTCCAATGCTTCAAAGAAGCTCTTTCTAAGGCCTAAGCAATATCAATCTCGCCTTATCAATTCCAGAACGCATGAAAAAAGATATACTAACTTCCATTTAGGCCCGGATCTCCTCTGAAGGTTTCTCTTTAGCGTCGAGGCTCCAAGTCATTCGAGTAGCAGTGCCTAATAAAGATTCTAGTTTCAGACTCCCTCTGTAACCTTTCAATAGCCAACTTTCCCCGTCTTCAATTTAGTACGATATAAAGTGGTTTTTGGCGTCCCAGATCTCCAGTATCTCTTCGAGCTCTGAACCAGAGGCGTTGGCTAAGCGTACTGCGCCATAAGATGGGGGTTGCGGGCGATCCTTGAGCACGATGCAAGTTGCGATGGCGGGCATCCAAGCTTTGATGGCTCCAAAGGCAGACACCAAGGCCCAAACTACCTCTACGGGTTGTTCGATCGTTTCCACCACTTTGCAAACAGTATGCAGACCCTCCCGAGATGCGTAGTCGTTCGCTGGGGAGCTCATATTTGCTAGAGAGCTTATGATTGCTGGAGCTCTTGAAATTCTGTATTGAAGTCGGTCGGTCGGATGTCTTCGGATGTCTTTGGATTCATAATCGGATCCCAAAAGAGCCGAGTTCCGGATATAGGGGTCCCTGGCTAGCAAAACTATTAGTCCCGACTTACTCGAGCACATATCTACGTGTTTGTAGGGGGCTTGGAAGTAGTTGAAATTATTGCTGAACGAAGATAGCATAGTAATAATTGCTGTTGCGGGTTAAGTTCAGCTCTGAATAAAGCTCTAGAGCCAAACAGTATAGCTACAAGTCTCTTCCGGCTGATCAACTCTGCCAAGGGGCCAATTGTCCCTCATTCTCTGCAGCACCTGAGGACTCCGGTTAGTCGAGGATTCCAAGAGCGGAGTCATTGTCGGCCCTTTACGAATGAAATACGATTAGTCGAGTAAGATTTTCTCATGACACCGGAAAACCTTGTCGGACATGCAGCAGATTGTTTTTAGACGGGAGAAGAAATCCTGCTCTCCCTCCATGGTACAAGTTCAGTGTATAATGGAGATATAACATCAGGACGTCACCTATAATGAAGGTGGTAACTCGAGATCTGGCCAGCCAAAGATAGTACCCCATTCCTCGCTCTCGAGGTCTAGCTGATTGAGAATATCCTAGAATATTTCGCCAAATTAGTCATTACTTGAGTTACATGCATGAAACCTGGACTTTCAGGGCGCACGTAGTGGAGCTTACATCGAAGGGTGCCTGCGACTCATAGTTGTCAAACCTCCTCGTATCTGCGATCGGTTGGTGCCCATTATCGGATCTGACGATACTCGTAACTTCCTTGTTGGCTTTGTGCACATATCTCCGGGTCAGATTGGCTATCTCGCGCACGAAAGGCCATGTCATATCACTGATTGCATATTCCAGGAAGTTGAAGTGACCTCCAATGACATGCATGAGAGCAATATCGGATGACACTGTTGGGGAATAGGGGTACTGCACGATGTGCGTAAATAGATGCACCAGCGCCATCAGTGGATAGAGGAATACCAGCCTATACAGCAGTGTCAGATGTCGCTGCAGGCACAGATTTGACACTTCCTGTGTACATACCACTTGGGAGACGATACATCGATGTCGAGTTGTGGCAAATCCCTGATGAAGGTCCTTACAGCTTCGATACAGATGGATGTGCTTTCTGCCTTTAGCGCAGCATACCGGTCTCGCTCTTCTGGTTGTAAGTTGATGGATATTGCATTCCAGGGGTGTATAAGAATGGAGTGAATACGCATAAGCACTCCAAAATGAGTATAGTGTTGGTAGAGCACTTGCTGTTTTTCTGCTCCTGTCGGTAATCGCTTGTTCTGCGAAACATACGCCGGCAATTCGTTCCACAACGTGTCTCGCTGTGAGCAGAAATCAGCTAATATCTCAGAGACCTCTTGCAATGTGGGTTTCCTCAATCTGAGCTGTGTGTACCGTCGTGTCACTTCACCCAGCAGACGGGAGAGGCGTGTTGCGCTAGTGAGTAGTTGTACTGCTGGGGTAGCATCGACCCATACTTCGGAAGGCAGTTGACAAGTAATTTCCTCATCGCAGATGGCCTACTAGCGAATCAGAGATCAACGAACACTGGACATGACTATCCAGCCTATCAGATGATTGAGGAGGCTTACCAGGGGTCGCCCAGATCGGAAAGCATTGACACGTTCAAAGCTGTATATCGCCCACCACAGCGTTGAGCGAGACCGAATCACGTGGGGTGCAAGGTTCCATGCGCGCGGAGGCTTGCGATGAAAACCCTTCGAAAGGGCGAGTTTCATAGCGTCCAAGCACAGCATGAAATCGAGCGAGGGGCACGCTACGCCCTCCACATAGAAGGTCTAGACATGGCCATGTTCCATCAGCAAGCGTTGCATCAACGACACGGAGATTGAAAAGAGAGCGGGTGGCACACTAACCATAGCCGCTAGAGCCTCGATAGTCGACAGGCTTGAGTGACAGAACATCATTTCGTTGTGAACCGACAATGCGTTGAGGAAATAGCTCCAGCTGCGGGACTGCAGAAACTGTTCCTGGCTAAGCGAAGTCGATGAAGCGGTCAATAAGCTTCTGGACCCGCAAGCAAAGACTACATTTCGCAAGGCATACCAATCGGAATCTGATTCGGAGCAGGATGGATTATCTTGAGGGCTATAATGAACCCGAAGCCTCGCTTCAAATCTGTCCCGACCAATTAAGCCATAGCTCGCATATGGATCGCCATTAAAGTAGGCTTGGGTATATTTCCACGCCATGGTTTCGTCAGGATCCGGCTCCCTCTCTCTTGCGAAAGCGGAGGAAGGCAGCTTCAAGCGATGGGAGATGTCGGTCGTGAGTTTCTGGGTCATAGCACGGAAAGAAGAATCCCCGCACTTCTCCGTCACCCATTCGACACCCGCGCGCGAACAGATGTCGAGAAAGGAACCCGGACCTGTGTCACGATCACGTCAAGGGCTATATTTGAGCGTAGGAAAGCTTTTGGACTCTTACCATGATACTCGAACGTGGGCTGTTGCATGGCAGTGGAAAATTAGAAATGGGTTTGTCAAAGAGGGCGCGGGAAAGCTGATGAGAGAGATGAGCCACACACGCACCTCTTCTTCTGGCGGACAGATACAGCTGCCGTCGTCTTCATGCGGCTCTGTGTTCAACGTGGCGGAAGGTGTCAAGATCGGGTTCATTTCGTTGGGTACATTGGATCCGGCACAAATGTCGTAGTTATTGTTGCAAAGTGGTGATAATATCGTAGGCCATGAGTCGCTCGCATTGGGGAGCGATAAGGCCTCTTCAGCTTCAACATGTAGTCGTTTTCCCACATTGTCCAGCCCAGAGGCGTTGCGCTCGATGACTGGTACACTGGGTGAGACTTGTGGTACTGGTGAGGCTTCTGGCGATTGAAGTACGATGTGATGACTCGCCTGTCGACCTTCATTGGTGCCCGGGACGGAAGTTGCAGGCGGAAGGGGATCCATATTAGCACTGAATGTGTGCACGAAGGCAGCTGGGGGTTGACCAGCGACAGGCAACCGGGATTCGACGCGTGATAGGCGGTCTCGCAGACGCAGGATTTCATCCGCGCGAGCGCTGGCATTGGTGGTGGCGGTGTGGCGACGTCGTGTAGCTGCAAAGGCACAACTCATGCCGTGATCCTGCGAGACTGGATAAGCAGTTGCAGAAGTTTGGGCGGGTAGTTTCATGCTAGTAGCAGGAGTAGCAAGAGTAGCATTGTTGAAATCTTACTTTGCAATTCGCACATGGGTGCGCACCATCACCTGAAGGGTGTTTAGCAAAGTTTATCTACAGGGCCCAGGGATCGAACGGTGTGATGGAATCCTATCGCGGTAGGTTGAATAATGATGGAGAAACTCACATTTGATCTTCTTCACCCGGCAGTAATTGCAGGCCATGGACGTCTTGTGGCGGCGCGCATGGCTGCTCGATTGCTGCGCATCGACCATGAAGAAGTAGAAGAGAAGCGGTAGGGATAAGAGCGGCAGGACGTGGTTGCTTTAGGTGCAGTACAGAGCTTCACGCATTGAAGCCTTTGTCAACCAGGTCGTGCAGCGAGATGCGTCCCGTGATCATCTTTGCGTATCCCTGCAAGCGGCCTGGATGCATTGCGCGGCATATGCATCGTCCAGTGACGCCGAACGACAGTTGACATCAAGTGTGCCCATTCGGTGAGGTGGGCGTCTAAATATCGTAAGACGGTTCCATTCTACTGTCAACATTGAGAATCGCCATAGCTTCGTGGGCTTCTACCTCTCCCAACTAAGGAAGCAGATGTCTTGATCCTAAACTTCCAAGTTCGCGCTCTACTACACCTGTACTTACCTTCGATCATCGTCTTGATGGCCTCTTTCATGCCGCCGTCAGCAAAAGTAACCGGCCCCTCCACTACGAGCTCTGTACCGAAAATGGCTGCTGCTGGCAGCACCACAGGCTTCTCAAATGCTGTCATAATCACATAAGTGCCTTGGAAGCACAGCGCGTTCACACCGCTCTCCACGGCTGATGGCGCACCCGCACAGTCGAAGACGACGTCGACTCCCTGCCCGTAGGTGACTTGTTGAATTACATGGTCTACTCTGCCATGGGACCGATGGCGCCTACTTAATACGCGGAAGTCGTCCACCTGGCGTCTCCTTGTTGCGGAGGGCTCGGAACCAATGACTCGTGTTGCTCCGAACGCTTTGGGAATGAGGACGAGCGCGTATCCGATTGGCCCCGTGCCCATGACCAGCACTGTCTTTGCACTGAACTCGTTTACCTACTACAGACGCTGCCACCGCATGCCTGGCCACCGCCAGGAGTTTAATCACGGTCGCTTCGCACAGAGAGATTTGCCCAGGGAGTGGCAATAGCGCGTCTTCTTCCACGGCCACCTTCTCTCCAAATCCGCCATGCCGGTGTTTAGTTAGCCCAACGTAGCCAATGCGCGCGCAATAATGTCTCTGCTCTGCTCGAAAGGCACCCCAGCCATGGCACAAAATTCGCGGGTCGACCATCAATCACATTGCCAATGCGGAAACAGGAGACGGCCGGGGCTCGTGGCCAACCGTGAGTAGTGCCATGTCTTGTAGAGACTGGTGATTCTCCTTCACTCCTCTGATTGTTGGCCCCATCAGGAATTCATGCGCATCGGTCTCACAGATTCCTGTGTGGCAAATTGACATAGTGTACGACATATAAGCTAAATCACGTGACCTTAACTACACCACTCTACCTTACCAAGAGCTAACTATTCGTTAGCTTCGGCTGATTAGTGTCATTGATGTGGAGCAGTATGGCTTCGAAAGCATCAGCAACATCAACATAACCCTCGTTTGGAGAACATGTGACTGGCATGTGCGAGGTATCTCTACGTGGTTCGAGCACGGCTGGATGAACAACTTTCTGGTCGTCCTCCCGGGCGTGTGGTTCAAAGCTGATGGACAGCTGACCTTCCTCTATGACAACGAAGGACCTTGGCATTATTTCGAAAATTTCGACGTGGACGATCGAGACAAGATAGAGAAGGTGATCAAGAACAGCGTGCAGTTCAACAAAGGGAAACGTCCAGCTTTGGTAGCAGATGCGATTGCAGGAAGATCAGACTAGTCGAGACTGTGGCAGTGGCAGCAACGCTGGATTCATTCTCGGACTTTTTGAAGGTGCGAATAATTAGGAGGCTTCTATTCGAGTTGGGGCACAGTCGTGGAGTTGGGCAAGTACAAACATTCACTTCGGGTTCCACGTGTGGTTAGCTTCGCGCACGTTCCACTCGCGCGCTTGCTACCAGGCGTATATAGATTGCCGATCCTCCCAATTCCATCAACTCTCATACATCTCCCTGCTTAACTCAACCTTACACTGAGCATTTCCTCACCTCACAAGTCAACAAGTCTCCCAGTGGTATGTTTGCCCCATCCCTCGGCTCTCTGTTCGATACTGGGCCCCCGCCCCCAGACCCCAGCTATTACGCCATCCAGGAGGTAGCTAAATCACCAACTTACTTCGGGAGTCAACCTTTTTCCTTCAGAAGACTTCGTCTACCAATCGACGAGCTCGGCGGAACCGCATCCAATCCACTGCCTATCACTACACCACTGACACTATATCCCGGATCGTGGTTATGGATTGTTTCTTCCTACCCTGTCATGCTCGCAACGCAGGGCTTTCTACACGCACCCGAGATAGGCTGTGTTGAAGCAATGTACTTCTTCGCCCGAGTCAAGACCACCCTGATGCCTACGCGCCCGCTTGGCTCCAAGTTTGCACTGGGTTGGACAAAACTTCCAACTGAGCTCAAGGTTTCGATCTTGGAGGTCAATCTCAAAACAGTAAGGGCCAATGGAATTTGGAATCAGCATGTGTTGTTTCATCACCTCAGAATGACGCCTGAAATTGCGACGCTCGCTAAGGGAATTTACTACACATCGAGTGCTATTAGGTTGGAAGTCGGACTAGGTTTCTTCATTTCGAGTGGTCTGAAATATCCCAGTCGCACGATGAATCACCTAGTGCATCGCCTCGAGGTCGGGCTCCGGCTAGGGAATCCAAACCAATGGTCCCAATTAGAAAAGGTGGCAAGTGGTCGCCTCGGATTCCTAGACCTTGAGCACGTCCAAGTGCACATATGTGAGTGGGGATTCAAATTCACAGATCTTACGATCGAGACGTCGGATTCGATCAAGGCGAGGATAGACCGGGAGTGCAAGCAGTACATCCAGTTTTCCTGTCATGGAGAGCTCGTTTTCACTCCCATCACGGGGAAAGGTGGGGCTATTGTGCCCGCCGCTGTTCAGCAGCGCATGCAGAATATGCTCACTTTTCGGGTCAAGTTCAAAGAAAACTTAGAGGAAGAGTTATAGATACACGGCGTCTTTCAGGCAGCAGTGGAGCGCGGATTCGGCATTATTGTGAGCTCGGGCTGTCCATTCCAGCATTCAATTGCATCTCTTCGCTCTTCCCCATCTACAACTTCCCAAACAGTTCCAGCACCGCCTTTTCCAACCAAATCGCACAGTAAGGCTCGCAGTCAGCATAACATATTCCTTCAGAAAGACCTTCAACTTCCGCAGTCACGACTGCTGTCTAGCTCCTGACCCTAGCACCCTTCAGCGATTTCTGCAGGTATGTCTTCGCGACGTCTCGATCGGCCCGATCTACCTTTATTGCTCGCGAAGCCGGACACCGCCAGTCCTCGGTTTCACACAGTATAATTTCAAACTCTGCTAGGTCGAAACGGTCAAGCCAATCTGACCTGTCACCTACGAGGAGTTCCGAATGGCCACAGGAGCGATTGTCCATGCTCAAGTTGTTACGGATAGGTACTGAAAGAAAGACGACAAGTTTACGCACCCAGTGTGTTACTGCCGGGTTCGATAACTGATTTTAGAGCGCGAGTTCTGGTTGTAGACGTCCACTGCGTCTGTGTGAGGAAAGAATTGGTTCTTGCTGTTGTACATCTCGAGCGCGAGTTCATGCAGCTCTCGATTTGCTGTGGCAATGCTCAAAAGTTTGTCAAGATAATCGTAATGCTCGTCTACAGCGAAGCAGTCGTTCAACTACAAGAGAACAGTGAAATCATTCAAGCAATATGAGCTATAACACGATTTGCAACCCACCACATCAGCCACAAAAGAAAACGGAGAAACATGTCAAACCAATCCATTCGGGAGAACAATAACTTCAGTCCAAACTGATACTCCCCTACTCAACATAAAATACCTCCTCCGTCTGCCCCCACCACCCCGGCCCTGTCGCACTCCCCACCGCCCCCTCGACCGGACTCTCCTGCATCCCATCCGTCATCCGCCACCACTCCTGGACCTTCGAATTCGCCGCCATGCGCGCCATGTCCTCGTCGAACGCGTTGCCCACGTATTTGAAGGACGCGAAGAGAGTTGGGCGGGGCGTCATGGAGAGGAAGATTGAGTCTGTTTGGATGTGAGAAGTGGTGGGATGGGGAAAGGGGATGTAATACAGTCTTTAATATTGGAATCCTTGATTTGCTCCAGGACTTCGGGCCAGACTGCGGCGTGGCATTTTTTGTATTCGTCGATGCGGGCGGGGTTGAGGTATAGCCATTGACCGATGCGCCGGGGACCTTGGTTTGTTGATGACATGGTGGGGCGAAATCTTTGGTGATGAGATCGTTGCAGTATGTTTGACGTTGTCGAGAAGTCACGGTCTTGGAGCTCGAGATACGCTAATGGAGGGGAGCTGGGTCGGAGAAGTGTATGCCGAGCGGAGGATTTGGGACCGAAGTGTGGGGAAGCTGGGAGCGGGCGGGAGCGGCGCAGGGGAAAGCTGTGTTACAAGCGGGTGTGGTAGTGTCTTTCCTTGCAGCATTTGTGTACAATTGCTAACTTCCGTAATCATTCAAATTCGATTCGAATATCTCAAGGCTCTCCTCAGCCACACTATCTTGACCTCTTATACAAGATATCTGAAATCCTTCATGCCGCCCTTCGCCTCCTCCGCAGTAATACCTTCAACCCTAGCAGTCTGCTCTGCTATATCGTTCCTGACAAACCCCATGCATCCGTGCCGTCGTCTAGCCTCTTATTCAGCCTGACAAGAACGACCCTGAAGATGAAGCAGCCTGCAATCGTAACTCCAAACATAGCTGTGACCACGCCGTAGCTGTTGCGGTATCCATTGTCCGTCATGTTCCACACGTACGATCCCGCGATATCTGTCATTTATTAGCCCTCATCCCCTGGAGAATCGTTTATGAAAGCAAACTTACTGCCAAGCTGACTAAACGCGTTAATCATCGCAATCGCCACCGCCCTCTTCGCCGGCGGTCTGGGGAACGAACTCGAAATCCACGAATAAAACACAATAAACCCCGCGTACGATGACGCCTGCATGAACAGCGCCACGTACCGCGCCGCCGTATTCAGCGTGCTCATCGAGATAATGAACCCTACCATGCCAAACATAATCGGCCCAACAATGTGCCAGAATCGCTCTTGCGTGCGGTCCGCGTGCCATGCGTTGACGAGACTCACTCCACATGCGAATGCCCACGGCGGCGCGGACATCAGGAGCGTGGTGATGTATCCGAAGCCCAGCGTGCGCGTGAGACTCGGGAAGAAGGCGTTGAAGCTCAGTCCAACGACGTACGCGGTGAACGTTAGCATCATGATGTATATCTTGGCGTCTTTGACGGCCATGATCAGGCCTGCCCAGGGGGATTCCTCGGCGCTGTCTTCGTCGGCTTCGCCCACGTCTTCGGTCATGCGCAGGACGGCGACAGCGCGCTCTTCAGCAGTAAATCCGCGAGAGTTGTGCGGGAGGTCCGGCAGAATGAAGAGGGCAGCAATGGCGATGAGCATTGTTAATGCACCCTCGATCCAGTAAAGCCATCGCCAAGCACGGTGGCCTAAAGTCTCTGTATCTTGTTAAATGAGGTCCTTAGAGCTGAGGGATGAGGAGTCGCTCATCTTCCATGTTACCCAAAACCGCCGCTCCAACCAACGAACTAAACGCATTCGAAATCAAATTTCCCACAGAAAAGAATCGCATTGCGCAGCGTCAATTCCTTTTCTCGTATACCACTTGCTCAGAATAAGCAGCGCGCCGGGCAAAAACGCCGTTTCGACAAACCCGATGGAAAAACCCGCACGGGCAAACCATGCCCAGGCGAAGTTATTCGGTGTTGCCCGAAAGCGTCGAGATCATGCCCCAAACCAGCATCACGACGGCGATGTATGCCGAGGGCCGCGGGATCCGGTTGATGATCATGTTGGAGGGGATTTGCATTAGGATCTGGTTTATCATATATCAGCCTTTTTCTTCATCACCATACTCAAATGGAAAAGGAAAAAAACTCACATATCCAACGTAAAGAATACTCAAACACGTCGCATACTGCGTATTATTGATGCCGAGATCTTCCTGCAGTCCACCAAGTCGCGCGGCTGCGATGTTATTCCTGTTCAATTCCCATCAGCACTGAAGTTTACTTTCTGTGAAAAGGGGAAAGGATATTTACCGATCCAAATAATTCATAATATAAATCAGCACGAAAAGCGAACATCTCGCATCCAACTTGCGCTTCAAACTCTTCTCGACTTGCGCGCGCCGCTCAGGCGATAGACTGGCTGCCAGACCAGCCCCTCCCATCATTCCCACCGTCGCCTCGGTGTCTTTGCTATCCATTTCTCACTGCACAAAAGGTCGGGCGCAGGAAGCGCAGTGTGCTGGGGTCGCGAGACACTTTATATACCACCCACCCAGCTCGCTCGCTCGCTTGCTCCGTTCCCCATCCGGGGCAAGACGCACGCGCATCTCCACACACCCCAGGCCCACGAAATTTTTCGTAGGCCAAGAGGTATCTTCGCTGCGCGATCGACAGGCGCATTTACCCGATGTGGTAATGCGGAGAGTGTCTTGGCTCGACGCTCGTGTGGAACACTTCTGCCGGTTGGGTTCGCCGGCAGGTGTCTGTTGAGGCACTCCGACTTTTGAGCCGCATCAGACTAAGTAGCAGGAGGATCCACTTGCGAATAGCGAAGAAGTGGGCGTGATAGGTTGTCGTGTCGGGTCGGGTCGGCTGTAGAAGGAGCGGAATGGCTGGCTTGCCTTCGCTTCGAGGCAACTTTTTCCGCTCATGTGAGGTGAGTTTGGACTGGGGGCTCCACAGTGCGGGCAGCTAGGCAATTGATGTAACTCCAGACTCGTATTCGACGGATGGCTTGAGGCGGGATGTAGTACATGCAACATGAATCCTTCTTGGATGTCTCTGCAGCTCTGTAAGTCTTTGCATAAGCTCGCGTTTCTCATGAAGAATTCGGGCTTGCTTATGCTTGTCTATCGCCAAGCAAAGTCTTAGATCCTCTTAGTCGTGCAGAAACAGTGTTGAGTATGATAGTTTTCCAAATTGCTACTAACGAGACTGAATATGCTATGAAAAAAAATCGAATTGGTATCTCAATCGGCTTCAAAAAGATTGCCTTTTTCCTCCACCATCACCACAGCAAATGATTCGCGCTTCTTGAGCGCGCGGAAAGAACAGCATGAACCACCCCAACTCCACTCAGCCCTCTACAAAGGCTCGTAGTCTGCGCTGGTATCACCGACCCACGAGTACCAGATCGAAAGAACGGTATTCGCGACAACCCAAAGCGCGCTGTATCCCGCGGCGCCCTTGATTTCCGTGCCGTCAATGGTCATGCATCGTTGGACAGTGCTCGCGAACAGGAAGGCATTGAGGATGACAGTCTGTTGGAAGAGCGTCTTCTTCCTCTTGTCAGCGGGCAGGATGTTTGCCTTGATAGTCTCGTCGAGCGTCGCAGTCGCAGGGTCAAACACCACTTCTGTAGGCGTTGCAGTACCCGATAGAGGCTGCGCAGCGATGGACGGGTTAAGCAAGAACTCCTTCGCCGCGACACCCACGGGAAGGATCTTCCAGAGCAGGCTGACGGGCGTCTCGAGATGCGCGGATTCCAGCGTGGGAATGACGAAGTAGTTGATGAGGAAGAGGTTGAGATAGTTTGTCTTCAGGCCGGCCCAGAGAATGACTATGTACACGCCGACGGCGAGAAGTGCGTTGGAGAACTGTACTTGCATGCTATTGAGCAGAAAGCGGTTGCGCAGCGGGACGTTGGCCCGGTGAGCGGCGGAGCGCGAGCGCAAGAGGTATGTTGGGACTGAGATGGCGAAGACCTCAATGACGACGTGCGCGAGGACAGTCAGGTACGAGATGCCAAAGTACGTCGCGAGGAGGTACGCGTAGGGCGCGTTGGTGAGGGTCGTGAGCGCCGCAACGTCATAGACTGCCACATATTAGCCTTCATCCACGAACGCCAACCCGTCTCAAGACTTACAGTCATAGTCAAAGTACCAGTCCATGCCAATTGTCGCGGTGTTCATGGCAAGACGCGCCGCTGGTGAGTACAGCGACCAGAAGTCCTCATCGCTCGGCACCCTGCTGATCCTCCCGAGCTCGGGAACCAAGAAGCTCATCGCAGCGGTCCAGAGCACAGATCGGATGCCGCTGTTCAGGACCACGAGAATCGGGACGCGTAGAAACCATGGCAGGCGCGACTTGGTAGTCACGGTCGTGTGCGCGCGCGGAACAACAACCGGCTCCGTGCGGTCAATCAGCTTTGTGGCCGACATCGCGAGATGTTTTGCAGTCGCAGTTGATGTAGGGGTAGTTTTGAGTGTCGGATGAAGTGGTCGCAGGTCTGGAGAGGATGCGCACCTCGCGTGGGTAGATGTGTGGTTAAGGGCGTCACGCTTGTTATTAACATCGTCATAAGCGCGCGAGCAGCAAAATCGTTTAGGCCCCGGCAACCATCAGTGCACGGGCCACCGTTCACCATTCACGTCATCGCATCACTATGAGGGCGCTCTAGCATGTCATCTTGTTTTCACTCGAAACACAGCTGAGATTGGACGAGTAGGTCGCGCACAATATGCTACTTTTAAGACACTTTGAAGAGAAGAGACATTTTGCCATCGTATTTTGTACATATACAGTCATGCGTCGTCCATACATCTATTTCCTCCAGTCGTCCATCCAAAGACACCTTCCAACCGCCTTTTTCTATACCGACCAAGAATGTCCGACATTTGGTACACGACAATGACAGTAGCCCGACGCCGTAAAACAGAGCAAGCGATGCAAAAAATGGAGAAGAGAATCATGCAGGCCGTTATGCGGTTGCGCACACCGCGATGATGGGGGGAAGCGAAGCACTTATTGAAGGATCATGTCTGAGGATCACGGCTTCTGCGTCCTCTTGCGCGGGTTCTGAGTGCGCTTCTTCGTAGGTGTCTTTGATGACTCGCCCTCAATGTACTTGAGGAGATCCTCGATCTTGCGCTGGTCGACCCGGCCAGTACCAGTGCGCTGGCCCCCAGCTGCAGCTGCGGCGTCACTCACGGACGGAGTGGCCGCGGCAGGGCGGAGAGGGTTCCTACCAGTGAGCTGGATGCGTCGGATGCGGCCCTTGGCGAGGTCGTTGAGCTGCTTCGCTTGGCTAACGGCGCTCTGCGTAAGCTGCTCTAGCCAGCTCTCGGCCTCCTTGGTGTTGCGGTCTTCAGCGCCGAGAACATCCTTGAAGATGTTGTACGACTCGCGCATGCGGTTGACGGCACCACGCATGTCCTTGTCCAAGGCGAGAGCCTGTGCAGTCTGGAAGAGCAGAGTCGCAGTGTTGATTGAAGTCTTGCCTGACACGTCCTCGCAGATGGCCAGGGATGCCTCGAACCAGATGCGCGACTCGTGGTACTGCTTCATCGCTTGCAGCATGACCGCAGCGTTATTAAGCGTGGTGATCGAATCAGGGTGGTCTGCACCGTAGATGATCTTCCACAGCTCAAGTGCGTGGCGAACGTAGACAAGAGCAGCCTTGGTGTTACCCGAGGCGTGCTCAAAGAGTCCAAGGTTCAGGTATGCCAGGACAGTGTCAGCGTGGTCCACACCAAGGGTACGCTCAGAAACGATGACAGCCTTGTGCGCCAGCTCGAGAGCAGACGCCTTGTCGTCAAGGTTGAACAGCAGGTTCGACAAGGTGTGGTAAGCGCGAGCGACTTCTGGGTGCAGGACGCCATAGATCTGCTCGTGTAGCTGTAGAGACTCGAGCAAGAGTTCCTGGCCAAGTTCCTTCTGATCCTGGGCCACGGACATGCGGCCAGCCTCAAGAGCTTCCTCAGCGAGCAAGCTCTTCGGCGAAGCCTCCTTGATGACAGGAACAATGTTGAGGATGTCATCAGCGTGGAAAGTCTGCGATGGCAGGCTGACGGCTGGGCTGTCCGCGCGTGGCGGTGTGATCGTCTTGTTCTTCTTCTTCTTGCTTGAAGTGGAGCTGCCATTGGTCTGTGGTGCCGCAGGAGTTGGGACAGCCGCTCCATTAGTGAGCGTCTCCTTGGTAAAGCCGTACTGCCTGGTCTGCAGCTGAAGACCGAGCTTGAGGGAGACCTCGCGCAGCAGCTGGAGTTCTTTGCCAGACTCAACCCATGACTCACCCAAATCGTAGCGGTATCGCAGCGCAATCTGGGCAATTACTTCCTTCTTCAAGCTCTCAGGCGTGAGCTTCTCAAAGCTGAAGTCGTCCTCGGGCGTTGAGATCATTCGCTTGATCTCCTCGTCGCACTCAGCGACGGGCTTGGCATTTGCATCAGCGCCCAAGAGGCAATTCAGCAAGTGTGCGACACAGGCCGCGGAGAACGGAGCAGAGACATTGCGCAACTTCGAGTTGGCAAAGTGCTTGAAACCACGAGCAATCATCTCCTGGACGATGAGACGCTTCAGCGCCTGGAGTCGTGGGTCAGGCTTGTCAGACAACTCAGCGATCTTGCCCAGGTAGCGGATGTTCACACCGCGCTTGTGAAGGAGCGAGCTCAATGACTGGCCGTCCATTGGGAATCCGACCTCGCCATCCTTGAGCTCAGTGATCATGCGGGGGATCACCTCAGTCTGGAGGTGGTCGCAGGCAGCGCGAACCTCGGCCTCGTCCTTGGCCCACTCTGCCTTATCCTCGTCTGATTGTGGTGTCTGTCCAGAGAAGACGTCAGGGTTCAGCGCAAACGAGAAGCCAGAGATATCAACACGGTCTTGCTCGGGCTCAGCCTCTGCCTTTTTCTCGCCATCAACCTCTTTTCCTGCATCAGCCTTCTTCTGTGCCTTGGGCAGCCTCCTTCTGTGCCTTGGGCAGCATCCTTCCGCGGCCTTCTTTGCTGCCTTTCGACTTTATCCTTCTTGGCGGCCTTCTCCTCCTCTTCATCAGAAGTCTTCTTCCCGACGAGTCAGAAGTCCTCCGTCCGAATTCTTCTTCCCGAATGAAATCCGATTCCTTCCCTCAATGGAACTCCTCTTCTTTCCTCTCCTTCTCTTCTTGGCCGGCCGCCGCGGGCTTTGTTGGCTTTCTTGTCAATCTCGTTCTTGACATACTCCCGCAGCTTCAACCTGCCATAAGACTCGACGAGCTCAGGGCGCAATGTTGCCATGCGATGTGGGTAGTTCTTCTCGCTTGGCTTTGCGTCTTCGTCTTTGCTGGGCTCGCTCCAGTGGGCTTCGATCCAGGCGACGTCCAGCGGTGTGAGGCGGTACAGGTCGAGTGCGTATCGTCGACCGTCGGTACCAATAAGACCCTTGGTCTCCACACTTCCCTCAAGCTCGTGGCGCACATTGTCCTTGTCCCAGACGGGATGCTTCTTGACGCGCAGCGCCTTGGAGAGCTGCTCGAATAGGGGCACGAACGACTTGTCGTCCGCAACAATCTCCTTACCCTCAACCGCACCATAGTCGATCTGGTGCTCTCCGGGATCCCGCTGCTTGAAAATACCAGGTACGATGCTCTGACCAACAATACGCTTTCCAAGGAAGTCCACGACAACGGTTCCTGAAGTGAAGAGGTTGGGGATGTCGAGGTTGTTGACTGCTCGCACACCGATAACATCCTTGCCCACAGCTACGCGGGCAGCCTCATCACCGCCCTCAGTGCCGAAAGTGCCAACGCCGTCCGCACCGAAGGAGTAGAAGATGTTGTTGTAGACGAAGATCTGCGCATCCTTGGCCTCAGTGGGGTTCAGGGGTGCGATTTCTCCACGAGCTACGAGCATCGCACCGCGAGTTGCAGCATCGTTGTAATCGGCGAAAAGCTTCGAGGTAAGACGCTCGCGGAAGACACGGTCGTGAACAGCCTCCTTGGGCATCTCTCGCGTTGACTGGAACTCTTCATTCCAATCGCGGAGGGTGTCAGTGTTCTCGACGCCCGAGATGAGGTAGCTCTCCTGTGTCCGCGCAAGGTCTGGCTGATGTGTGGTGAGGGAGGATGTTGGTGGCGGAACCAACCAGGGGTTGGCTGGGATCGCATTCGAGAGCTGGAAGATGGTGAGGAGCTCCTTCTTCGCGTTGTGCTCAAGCAATTGCTGGAACGACGCTTCGAAAGAAGGCGAAAGTTTCTCGAGCAGAGTGAGCAGCGAATGAGCGTGCAGGGCTTTTGGACCCTGTCGCGGCGCGGGATCAAAGCTGGCGTTCGACGACTTGTTAACGTAGAAACCTGTGACGTGGCTGGTGATATGGTGCTGCTCGTTCTCGTTGGTCATGGCGACAAGGTACAGGAGATGGCCCTTGGTTCGCAGGTGGTACGGCGGTGGATTCCATGCGGACAGAGCGATCGACTTTATGCACTTGGGCGCGGGTTCCTGTGGTGGAGGCAGCAAGTTTTTGATTGCTCCCGAAGACTTGAAGTCGTAGTCTGCCAGCGGCGATTGCTCAGGGCCGTCCTCCTTGGGCTTCCCTGACTGGTCCAAGCCCACGGTGTCGTGCAGCGAAAGACCAGCCATGATGCCGTGCAGCGCATCAGTGCGGTCGCCGGCAGCGCCAATGAGCTCTCGCACGCGGATGACATGTAACCGGGCCTCCTTCTCGTTGTATGGATCCTCCTTGACCTCAAGAACTGAATCTGGGCCAAGCTCTGGAACCTCGGACAGGTCGACGAAATCGTTGATGCGTTGTCCCTTGTGCTCGAGGTGGAAGCAGGAGTACTGGAAGGTGTTCGGCATCTCGATGATGGACTGGCGGAGGTCCTGTACCTGCTCGGCCGTCGATATCTACCACTGTAAGCTTGATGTCGTGACATGGCGGAAGTTTGTGCGGACCGTCATCGGAATCTCGAATGGCTCGTGGGGCAGCTTGATCTTGATTTGGAAGATGTCTACACATGGTCAGCTCCCCGTATACATGCCTCAGACCCAGAATATACTTACTGTCTGGCAGCTGGCCATTCGCACCGTCCTCCTCGGTCGCCTCGACCTCCCCGTTGACATCCTGCTCTTTACTGGGAGTCTGTGCTACCTCTGTGGTGACATTGCTGTTAGCCATAGCTGCACTGAACTATATGAACAGGAAACGTCGAGAGTTGTGTGGATATTTCCTGTCGCGTGCGGTGTGGGAAGCTCACCAGATTTGGAAGCGTCATTGCTGGATGCCGCCATGATTGCGAACTTCGGCGGGCACAACTACAATTCCAGTAAAGAGTGGCTGCAAAATAAAGGAACGGGTCTAGGTGACGTAGGGAATGTAACAGACAGGCGCATTAATGTACAATGGCACACGTTGAAGGTGTAAAGAGAAACGTTCTACCGTGCATCAATACGTCGATAATTTTTGCAAAACTCGTGAGACTCTTCTCCGCATCCAGCCGATGGGAAGCTAGTGCGGCCCTGTGTCGCCGAAAAGACCCCGGGCACATAACGGCCCCCATCATTCGCTACGAGGCTATCTGCAGTCAGAACCCAATCGCTGGGTCTGTGCTACTTACCATTACCTTTCCTGAAATACTACAAGGCTGACAATAGTCGCCATCAGAACAGTTTGGGTGTCGTCGGCGCAAGGTCGCGAAGATGCAGCAACCTCACTGCCTCCGACGATAGAAGGAAGCTACGGGGCCATGGCGCGCCAAGCTCATCTGTGCATCCCTATCTTCTCCACAACATCAGTCAATAATAGCATCTGTTGCATCACCTCTTTTCAGCCTCATCTCATTGTGTCGCTCACTGTCGCTCATTTTTCATTCTTTTCTTTTCGCACCTCTGTACCTCAATTGTACCTCATGCGCTAGCTGGACACGTGCGCACTCACGCGACACGTATCCCGGCAGGCGCCGCAACGGTAATAATGTTAATGCTACGACCTATATTGCGGACACAGGTCGCGCGGGCCCATGTCGCGTTTCAGCACCAGCAACCGCGCGCCTTCTTCCAGCAGATACAGCAGGCTGGTCCTGGAAGAGTGGCTGCATGCCAGCCATTGTTTGCGCGTGCTCTTAGTGGGCAATCTGGTCCACCAACCCCTGGGAACGATGCGCCAAATCCAATTGATGATGCTACGGAAAGTGCACAGGAAGAGGACGAGCGACGTGAAGCAAAAAAAGAAGCATGGAGAAGTACAGCTTGGAAGATGTTTGAAGCAGCTGCTACTACCGGTGCCAGCATCTTCATCTTAGCCTGTGTGGGCATCGGGTACACAAAGTACTACAAGTGGAACGTCCTCGAGAAGATGGAAAATGCCTTCAGGGAAGGCGATCCCGTTCTGGACCTCGCCGCGAGTGGAAAAGAAGTGCCCCGAGAGACTACCCGACATGAATTGACCCATAGCCCTGCCGACGAAGAAGACGGTGAGCGATGGATTACACGTGATGAGCAAGAGAAGATTGATCAAATCGTCAAAGGCCAGCTCAAAGGGCGCTATCATTTGTTGTTAGGCGAGAAAGGGACCGGCAAGAGCTCCATGCTCATCGATGCGATGGCAAAAATCAATGGTGAAGGCTGCTCTATGATGGAGGCTCACGCTGATCTCGAAGTATTCCGTGTCCGCCTCGGTCGCTGCTTGGATTTTGAATATCACGAGGACAACATTGGATCACTCTTCTCGATACGTGGACCACGTGACGCTGGTGCAATTTTGGACATTGAGCGCGCCTTCAACAAGCTGGAGAAGGTGGCACTCAGACGAAGACAAAAGATCGGACGACCACTCATTCTCATCATCAACCAGGCTCATCTCATTCGAGACGACGAAGATGGGCGCGACCTGATTGAACTCATCCAGCAACGTGCGGAACAATGGGCAGCCTCTAATCTAGCCACCATCATCATCAATTCCGACAAGTACTGGGTCTTTGAACGCCTGAAGCACCACGCGACACGCATGGAAGTGCACCAGATTAAAGACCTCAAGAAAGAACCCGCCATGCAAGCACTCCGCAACTACCGCATGAAGTACTGGAAAGAAAAGCCAAGCAACTCCATTCTCGAAGAAGTGTACGACAAGATAGGAGGCCGTCTGACATTCCTCAATCGCGTCGCCAAATCCGAAGACATGCTGCAAAAATGCGACCATATCTGCGACATGGAGAAGATCTGGTTCCTCAACAACTGCGCAATCCTCGGCGAGGAAATGGACGACGACGTCATGGACCAGCAGAAATATGCTGTAAGTCAGACCAGCTTTGGTTCTTTAGATTGTGATATGCAATACTAACTCCCACAGTCCACAGCCATGGTCCTCGCCAACGCGCTCTACAAAGCCTCCCTCGAAATGGAGGCAACCTACGACCCCTCCACCGGCCACATCCTGCCCGAAATCCCCCTGCACCGCGCGCGCTTCATCATGACGCGCTCCGACTTCATCCGCCAGCACCACGACCTGTCCATCTTCAGCATCGACTCGCACGCCATGGTGCGCGCCGACAGCGTGCCCATGCAGCGCGCCTTCAACGAATTGTGCTCCGAGCCGGGCTTTGAAGACTTCCTCGAGGCGACGCTCGAGCGCATTGGCGATATTGAGAGCTTGGGGCGCACGAAGGAATTGACGTTTAAGGATTTGTGGGAGGGAGGCAAGTATCGGCTTACGAGGCGGGATGGGAAGGGGAAGATTGAGGGGAGTGTGGAGATGGAGACGGTGGAGAAGAAGGAGGACGAGAACGGGGATGGGAAGGAGGATGATTGATGTGGTGGGATGGGTTATGACGGATGATGGGACGGGGTCTGGCATCCACGGAACTGGACGTGATGGATGCGGATATGTAACTCTACTGGGCGGCACGCTTTATCCTTTTTCATGCGGGAGGTAGTGATACCCTTCCCTGTTTTCTTTTCCTTGCTGTTATACCGAGTTTCTTAGACCTTGTACATCATTCCTAAGTCATATTTTCATGCTAGTCTCATCTCATCGCCTCGTGCTAGAGCTGGTCACTCTGCTGGAGAGTCACGCTGCCTAAATCTCAATGGTACAGCATGAGGTGTCGGGCATGCGGCGGCGGCTGCTGCTATATCCCAACAATCCAGCAATGCGTAGGAATTCATTATTTGCCAGCACAACCGTCGACCATTCCATTCTTTCCACTCCCTGACTTTCTGCTTATAACTCGTCTGAATTCCCAAATCCGATCCATATTTCTTTCACACTTAACCATCACACCATTGTATCTTCTCTAATCTCAACCCATATGCTCATGTATAAATTCATGAATGGCTAGAGATCAAAAGAGCGGGAAACAAAGACTCCAAGCTAGCCTGTTCTCTCGGATTTTATCCGTCAAGTAATTCTCGAACTAGGCGGTGTTTTTTTGGGGGCATTTATTATTCAATCGTCAATCATCTTCTGCGCAATGCGAATAAGAACAATGTCAGCCAGAAAAAAAAAGAAATATGCATCACATATCCGGATAGACTGAAAATACACGCTTATTGTTTTCTAACGCAATGTCTTCACACAATTTAGAAACAGGATTTCCTAATAACTACCTACTCGTGGAAAAGGCAGGAGTATTCAGCTCCGACTCCACCATCCCAATCGCAGCAAGACTCGGAATAAAATAAATATGCCAGGGCTAGGAGTTTTAATACTAGACGTCGGCAGAGAAACACATGCTATAAACGTCTGGAAAACGCAGCAGCTTTGTGGGCAAGAAATATTAAATATCCCGTGAGTATGGCAGCATGATGTCTACGAATGCGAGGAGAAGTAAGTATACGGCATCTCAATCTCTCGGGACTCGTCATGTTCAGATGTCGATGTAACGTTTGTATGAAGAATCTTCGAATATTCTGTTTCGCATGGAATCGTAATAGTGTAGGTATAGCAAATTTCGAGATTCGTCGCGTGTTCATGTATCATGCAAAGACTACAAATCATCATCATCATCATCATTAGCAATCAGGACATGATACAAGACAAGATGTTCTCCAACGGCGTGATTTTAGTATTGAGAAGAGGGGTGGATATCAAGACTACGTAATTTCCAGGAGCATCTAGGTGTTTCCCTTGCGGGAGGCATATATACTTCGCCATCGTCACATGTTCGTGAAGCTGCAAGTTTTGCGTCACTCGCGCGAGTACTTTGAAGTCACGACAGGAGGGTTATCGACAGAGACCATGACGGCATACCCTCTTATACACCAGCCTTACCAAAGCCTAGCCATCGGCAAGTCTCAAGTGTAGTATCAACGGCCCGTATGCCGTCGGCATCGTACAATCTAATACCATGCCATCACCCAATCTACTGCCGTGAAGCAGTCAGACATCACATACGGTCAGCAAGCGGTGTAAATCAGCCACTCACAAGAAATTCACGATCCAGTCACACTTGTGCCGCCATCACTACGACTCCTTATACGCTGCGACTGCGATAAAGAGACGCGAACATGCGCACCCCGCTGACTGTGGGGGGTAGGTTTCCGTAAAGCCCTCATCGGTGGGGATTCAAAGGTTAAGCCCCCTGGGATGGGGTGTATCCGCCCTCCATATTCTCACCTGGGGAACCCGCGGTTCCTCACCAACACCTGTCGTTGATGTGAGTCGCCTCCCCCGAACGGTCAGCACCGCCAAAGATGGTGTGCGAATGCGAAGTGTAAGGCTGACGGATGCGAATATTGGAGCTGCATAATCTGCTGCTTTGGGAGAGTGCGGTGGTTCCGGGCGCCTGGATCGTTCGGCTGCGAGTGAGACGCGGAGTGCTGAGCACCACAGGCGGGGGATGCGAATTAGTGGCCGATGCAAGGTTCGTTATCGGTATGCAGATTGGTGGTTCGGTGAAATGACAGGCTGCTGCTATTTTCGCACCAGAGAACCAGGCTTCAATTCTGGGCTCTCGTGTAACCTTCTGTGGGTACGTGGAGCAGCGGAAGGAACCTTGATGCGCACTGCAGTATCGATGGTGCCTACAATGCATGGGTAGGTAGCGATAACTCTGCATTTCGCAGCGGAGGCGTCATAGAATGATACGCAAGGCACGTTGCGTAAAGCCGATGCGGAATTCAACAACTTAGCTGTGTAACGCCTTTTTCGATTCGAAATTCCGATTCGAAATTCGACGAGCATTCGCGGCCTCGAGGGAGAAACGACCTGTCGTGAAGATAGCGACGAACGCCTCCACACGGAAGGATGCAGCATCGAAGTCGCATGCCATGCACCTCGGATATAGGAACTGATGTTCGTCAGCCGTAATTTTCCCATGCGCAAACACGCTGAGGGCTGCGTAACACGTGTATGACGCCGCGACCCGTGCCTAGCGAGCTTCAGTGCGGCGCACAACAGGATGCGAGGATGCGAATATGAGCCCGGAACCAGGTCCGCGAAATTTCGCCTTGGCAGATCTGTTCGTGGCATGGATGAGATCGGCGAGGAAATCACAACGCGCGTAAGGATGGGAAAGGATGGGCAGAAAATGAGCATCCGAGGCACTGGGACAGGAGGCAGAATGGTTCTGTGATTGTCGTTGAAATTGGGCGCTGGCGCGTGGAAAAATCTTCAGGGACAAGCTCGAGGATGCAATCGGGCGTCGACGCTTGAAGGTCATTTTGCTTGATCGCCGGTAAAAGTCCAAACGACGGTTCAGCTTCCCGTAAGTCCTTTGAATGAGTGGTTTGGGTTTCACCTTTGCAAAAAGGCCCGGAACGGGTTGCTCTTGGCTGTAAAAAGGCCAAGCCCTGGAGGAGCGATATTTGCTGGTGTTATTAAGGCCTACGTGAAACGTTGCAATAACCACAAGTCATATTCCCGCATTGAGTCGAGTCCACCGGCTAAGTGTCATATCGGCTGTGTGGTGAAGCAAGCCGGCCCGTCAGCTTTGATGAACGGTCCGAGAGGCTGCGGTATTCTCCCTGATGTTCCATCTGAGTTTATCGAAGCATAAACTTCGTCCACTGATGGGCGGGATTATTGAACGGAGCCATTTCCGCGGATGTTTCAGCGATGCCGCTTCTAGTAGGTGGGCAGAGGCCCGCAAGAGACTTCCACGTGTCGGGCAGGGTTGCCGTGCAGGTCGTGTCCTCTTCGATCAGCCATCCTTGCTCGCTTCCACCGGAGTGGGCATCCGCTGCAGATTGCAGTAGCGCGCTCAAAGTAGTCGACGAAACCGTTCGACAGCATCCACTTGCCCGTCTCCCCGCAAGCCAAAGTTGATGATAATCGTCAATGGAGGATGCCGTGGCGTAGCTGTCATATTGAGCGTTGAACGGGGAATGGCCGTGTGACAACGATGCTGCTGGTAAAAAGTGTGCATTGGGCGCCTGCATGAGGCCGTGTCGAGCAATCGCCCATGAGTTTGTAGGATGATCGCGCGAAAACACAGCATGTAGCCTGACAAACAGCGCGATGTTGACCGTCCGCGCACACCGGAAGGCCCTCGCCGTGTTTTTTCTTCGTTGAGGAGGCTGGTCAAATAATGATGCCTGCGATGTGGTATATGTGCCTGACTAAGGCTGCACCCCTGTCAATACCCATCCGGTAAGGGGTGTGCACATCGGCTGCGAGCCGCCCGCAGCCAATGAGCATCGTTTGAGAATGCGAATTATATTATTGGCACTGTGGCATCAGGCATTTTGTGAGGAACTGGCTGGCAGAACGGAGCACCTTCTAAAGGAACAGCACAGCGTCATGGTGACTTTCCGTGCCAAAAGCAGTGTTCACCAGGACGGCTCGTCGCCAGTGACTCTGTACGACAATGACGCATCGGGCGACAGGCGAATTTTGACAGCTGCACAGCGGGTTGTGCGTGGAACCGGCTCCAGGATCAGACCCTAGCAGGCGCAGCAGCGTTGCAGCGAGCGACGAGCAAAGAGCGTGTCCAGGTCGATGCTTGCACGGCAACCGTGTCCTTGGAACGATCGGCGCAGAGAATGCGACTGTACAGTACGAAGGAGTGAGGCTTAGATCAGGCTCTCCTGGCGACACATTCCAGACGCTATTGAATGAGACTGTTGCGCGCTGTGTAGGATGGACTGCGGGTGACATGCGTGGAGGGCGGGCGGTGAGACACCTTGCTGGATCGGGCATGCTTCCAGAAAGCATAGGATGCATACATGCAGGCTGTCGTGGCGCCGGGGACCCACCGCGAGCCGGGCAACGCTCTCATTACGGCCGTCGGCGGTGCTGTTGCAGCGTCAACGGGCGATGCCTGGTGAGGGAGGGATTGGAGAGGAACAGTTGGGTGAGGTCGGAGTGGGAGTGCGCGGTGGCAGCTTCCTGATTGAATGGGCGGCAGGGCGTGGAGGAAGGAGCGGCCCAGCGCAGCAATCATCCCACGTGGCGCGCGACAGCGATAGACGACTTCCTCTCGCCATGGTTCTCATCGCAGTAGAGGCGATACGCTCAACAGCAAGCATCTGAATCATTCGCACCAGCCAGCACATCCAGCAGGCCAGCACTCCCAGCGGACTGGGCGACAGGGCGAGCCAGCGATGGAATGGAGAGGTGAATCAGCGCGCAGCAGTGGGCCCATCGGGGAAGGAGTCCCGCGGGCTGTGAGGCGTTTCTAACCTTCCAGCATTGCTTCTGGCGCGGAACCAACAAGCGCGGCACGGCGAGTCAAGGCCCAGTGCCAGCGACGGCAGCAGCCAGAGCCAGCAGGGCAGGGCAGGGCAGGGCAGAGCAGAGCAAAGCAGAGCAGGTCGCGCGCGCTGACGCTATCTCATCTAAGCGTGCGCGGGTGTCTCACCGGGGGGGTTCCGTGTTGGAGGCGGCCCGATGAGTCGTGACTCTTGGGCGTCGACACACGAGGTGTCGTTGCGCTCGGGGAGCAGGAGGAAGTTCCTCAGAAAATCAGTGCTCACTGCTGGCCATCGTCGCCCTTCACAACCACGCCCATCCATGCCGCAGCCGTTAATGTGGCCCTGTGCTAGCGCTGCAGGTACGGCTCCTAGCGGCGCAGGGGATAACCTTTGTCGTGGATTTGGCGGATTTGGTGGATTCAGCTGCGCAGATCATCCTGGCTCCCTGTCGCTGCCGCACACAATTTCTGCCACAAGCAGGCCTGCACTGGGCGACAGGGAGCTAGTTGAAACACCCCCGAAAGTCCCGTCTGCTCCCGGCACGTCATGTAGTCTGCGCGCTGTCTTCCTGAGAAAAGCACAGTCTCTCATTTTACTTGTCTCGCCGCCAGGCCAAGGCCATTTGGCTACTCAGTTACAGGCCCCTTATTCTAGCCCACACGTTATATCAGGCACGGCGCCCTCCCGTCGGAATTTCTTACTCTCATCCTCACTCCCTTTGACGCATCCACTCATTCCTGCTCATCCGAGCCCAGCGCCTACCTGGCTGTAGACCACTGGTACACGACACTATTTAATCGAGCTTACCCACACACCAAGCCCACCCAAGCCCAGTCACACCAGCACCACACTCGTTCTCGTCCCGTTTCGTCTGTTATCTGTTTTTCCATCGGCCGTCCTCGCACAGCCCTATTCAGCCGTCGCTGACAGACATCCTGGCTCAAGCCATATGTAAGTCCGGTCCTGGTGTTGCGACGTCTATATATGGCCGCCCCGTGGAACATTGTTCTGACATAAAACACAGACAACACACCCACCAACAACATGATCTTCAGAGAGTCAGAATCGCTCAACATGGGCCGTGGCTGCTACGACACCACCGGCACCCCCAAGCCGCCGCCACCACCGCCCAAATAAGGCCCATCGTGAAGCACTCTCGACGGAACATCGACAACGCCGACTCTTTTCTTCGGCTTCGCACTGCCGGCCCTGCAATCTGGCGCAATCGCACCGTGTTCCGTTGGGAGCAGAGGGATGACATCTCGCGCGTCGTAAGTGACAGCTGCACATTGCCTTGCATGAGAATCCTGACTAACCACCATGACTGCAGCCCTACGCCAATTCCGCACCACACCACCACAACCATTCGCATCGCCACTCTCGTTTCCAGGCGCACCTCTTTCCGCCGAGCACCTCGGCACTACCGCTTTTAATATCCAGCGATCACTTCTTCGATTTCTTCCAGCAGCCTAATACCCACCGCGATTACCGGTTTACGTCCTGCGTTATCGAGCGACTTCACTGTACCCCTTGCGTCCTCCTCTTAGCGACTCTCCTTGCGGCAAAAAGTTCTTTCATCGGCGTTTTATAGACTAGGATACGGCCCAGGCATAGATACCAAAAACGGATTCTTTCTTTTCTTTTCGGGACATATATGGGTAGACTTCCATTGCCTGCCTTCGCTGGCATCAACGGCATGGGTCATTTTGTACAATAGCTCGGCTGGGTCGAACCTCGCGGTTCACGACCAGCACACGATTTTGCTTTCACGACGGCCATCTGCGCAACGGCTTAGATGGGCCGCCCATCCGTGGCTTTTGGGATACTACTAGACGGTGCCTGGGCCTTTTGACGGTGTCTCGCGACACCTGGCTGTATAGTATAGAATAATCAAATCTACACCTTTTGCGATAACACATTTGCGATGACGTTGCGTTGCATTGCTTGCCGTGACGCTCTCATCCAGCGCGCTGGAGCCGTTGCCGTCACACTTGTGGCGCTGTGGATCTCCGTGGCGGGCAGATCGAGTAGTCGTGCTAGGCGTGTGTGGTGCTGGTACCGATCCGTTTCGAGAGGCGACCCTTGTTTGTACGAGCGTTGGGTGTGCTGCCAGACGTTGTCGGCGCTGAAAGTGGCAGCCGCGACTTGGCGGTGTGGAGACAGCTGCTGCACCCCACGACCACCGGCGCGCCGAATTGCAACCTCACCACAGCTCCATTGCCGCCTACCGACGCCCCCCGCCACCAATCTTGCACACATACTACAGCCGATAGTCCGAATCACCAACATGGCCAACATCAACTGGCGGACCATCAACATTGACGCCCTCGACCCCGACAGCCCCGCCAACTTCGACCTGAGCTCTCTCACGCCCGCCGTCACCCCCATTGAGACCGCCGACGTCCAGAACAATGCACAGCAAATACGGCAGCTGCTAAGAGGCGGAGACAACGAAGGGGCGCTGCAGGGTGCTCTTGAGAACCCTCCATATGGCGCCGACGACAAGGGCAAGGTACGTCGTGCATGCTACCTCCACCAGGTTCCTCGCACACCTCGACTATGGCAGCCCACCGCAATGGGACCCCACTGTCAATGTCTCTCCGAATGCGGCTCTTGCTGGTCACAGTCGCGACCGTGACTCCGGCATCGGGCTACCAACAACCAGGACAGGCTACTACCCATTACACCGTCACAGACGAAGGGAGACGAGGCTGACTGTCTCACCATGCAGGAAGTCCACCTCGCCGCCGTCATCGAGATTCTCCAATCCATACGGCAGTCGGACATGTCACCAATACTCAGCCGCCTATACGGTGCCCCGGGTGGGACAGAGGCATTGGACGTGTTGATGAAGTACATGTACGTTGCGGCCCGTATTGATGCTACATCTGATCATTTTCACATACGCCACTCGCCAATCGTCTTTACCTCCTCTCCACGATTGCACCACCTCGCACCGCACCAGCTAACGGTTTGTGACAGCTACAAGGGCATGGCGCAGGCTTCACCGCCCTCGAATACGCGCAACATCACTCCACAAGCAACAGGCTTTTCACAAGTCCATTCCCGCGGCGGAGGTGAGGGTGGCGGCCAGGCTATGAGCGTGTTGCTCAGCTGGCACGAGAAGGTATGCCAGTCTCCATGTTGCCAAGCATCCATCGACATCTGCTTACTGACTCTCTCAGCTGGTCGAAATCGCCGGCCCAGGCTCGGTCGTGAGGGTCATGACAGACCGACGCACTGTCTAAGCAAGCGTTGCAACGACAGGCCTGCGAACGAATCTATTAGCGTACCAGAACATCCAACAGTCACCAAGGCTCATGGGCCACGGCCTCTGACGTGAGAACGTGAGCACAACACAACACAATACACTACAACCTCAACCAATATCCCCGCCATTTCTTTTCTCAACTCAATTTCTCGTGTCCAGCGTCTTGATTTTGACTCACACTTGGCACGGCGAATTGTGCAGCTCGAGCACCTTACTCAACCTGACATATATCCTCCCAGCAAATCGCCTTTGTGCAATCTTTCCCTAGGGCAACGCACTGACGTCTCCTTTTTCCCGGAGCTATAGCAAGCTCCCCCGTTCAGCCTTATAATCGACAACCATGTCCCCTTGCACACACGAACGTTCCAATTTCCCGGCCACACGACAAGCGTTCGGTCCGCAAAGTCTACCTAATCCGCGCTACGGCTTTGCGTCGTTATTCGGCGAAACACACCAACGCGGCTCAGCTTCCACGCGAACGTGTGCTAGCGCGGAAGCCAAGTGCACATCCTAATTCGGGCGCCAGTTCGTGTTTGTTTTGCTGCTCACACGGAAGCGTAAAAGTTAAATTCTTAAAAATGAAATATGAAAAGAAATGTTCAATTGGCTCAAATAGATAACGCCATGTTTCCATATCTTCGCCCCTCTGACCCCTTCCGCCAGCTAAATGAGCACACTTGACACACGAAACGAAGGCGTATCGATAAGCTCTGCGCCGGGGCTGTGCGGATTCAGAACAGGCTTTATCCCATCCCGACAAGCGCACGTTTGTTCGCGGCGTTGCGCGCACCCTGGACCTTATTTTCCAACCAGGATAGGCCTATCGACAGGGAAATATTATCGCTTGCTCGCTCGCGTGGTCGCGTTGTTTTGGGATTTTGCCAAACAGGCTTCTAGAAGGACCATGGCATTTAAGATTCATGCGGTAGGGCCTGGGAAGATTAGACGGGGCCCGATTTAAAGAGTTGCGCCCGGCGGACGCCGAGGGAATTTAGCCCAGGGGACGGTGCGGACTTTTTAAGAGCTGGGTTGTTTTGGGAGTTTCGAACTAGCCAGGAATAGGATGGTTTGCTTTGAATGGGTTTGATCATGTTCGATATGCGGAGATTGCATGTAGACGCCCAGAGGATATCACGTGACTGACACACGGATGCGAGACCGTTCGACACTGCGGCTAAGCGAGCGAGCAAGCTTCATGCACGCCCGTTGCCCGTTGCGTTGCTGCACTCCACGTGTCGTCTCCATTCCCGGATTCACATACTCAAATCCCCATCACCGGACACACGCTAGGGCGATACGGAAGTCCTGTCGCGTAATGTCTTATTCCGCAACGGATGGGGAGGTACTGTGAAACTAAACGCAGGAATCTTGGCGCGTTCTTTTTTGTTTCGGAGGGGGTCGAGTTGCTGCATTGGGATGCGCGGTGAAACGGCGCGTGGAGACGTGGGTGAGATGGGTTTGGGAGTGAGTCTGGCGTGATAGGGAGTGTATGTACGAAACGGGGATGGGTGGAAAAAGGGACGGAATGGGTATGCGCGGATTGATGGGTTTGGGAGTGAGTCTGGTGGAAAGTGGATGTGCGGACGTGCTGTTTTGGAGTAAAGCGGGATTTGGGTTGCGTGGGGAGGGGAGGATTGATGAGTTTAGGATAGGTGTTTTGAGTTTGGTGCGGAGGGGAGGAGTAGATGCGGATATGACAACACGTATTGAGAGTTAATAACTGTGTTGATAAGGCCCAGATGAATTCGATCGGTGTGAAAATAAGTATGCGCATCGCGTCACAGCACGAATTAGAATGTGTATGGGTCAGTTTGTGGTTTCGATTTGGGTCCGTTGAGAAAGGGCTCTTTTCGATCTGGGTCTGTTAGGGATGTGGATCGGGAAAAGGAATTTGAATCCGACACTATACAATGAGCAGCGGTGCTACAGTGCGTCTGGAGTTGAGAATATTGATCATGTACAACAAGTATGATTTCAAGACGCGAGGGGGAGTTGTTGATTGAAATCTTGAGGAGAGGGAGCGGAGCGGAGGTGTTTCTGGTCGAACTTGACGCCAACACGTTGGTTAAGTATGCAGTAGTGCTGGAGGAGTTACAACGACATGGTAATCACTTGGGATCGCCCTATTTAGGTACTATGAATCGGGCCCAGGGGGCGGCAAAGTACGGTGCAGTTGACTTCAATATCTGGTAGGTCTACTTCAGCTGCGCCCGAAATCGGCGAGGCTTTCCAGGCTGATCACTCACCAACCATAAAGCATTGCTAGGACTGGTGATGGTGTGGTATGTTGATGTGCGATATTCTTCAGTGAATCCGGATTGTTTCCTCGGGGCATGAAAGGAATTCGTCCCAGAAGCGAGAATATGCCTTACGCTCCGCGGGCTGACCAAGCGCATCATAAAGGAAAAACTTCCCGACTCTACGATAGTCTTGCTCCGAACCATCAAGTTTGTAGAGTAGCAGTGCTTCTAGAACGAGATAGGAATGTCGAGCCCATATAGGTATCCAGTAAATGGTATGTCCTGCATCAAAGTTGGCTTTGTCGCGCTGTGTGTCCCAGTAAAACCTGCCTGAGCTAACAAGAAATTCTAACTCCCAGCTGTTCCAAAGCGTGAGCCTGCGCTCACAATGCCGAGCTTCGCCGGCAAAGAAGTTACCTCTAACATGGTAGATGCGCCCATGCATTGTTACGATCCCGCTCTGGGCTTCACCATATGTGTCATTGGTGACTGATTGAACAGTGACGTTAAGAATCCGGGCGAGCGAGCGGAAGTCTGGAAACCTTTTAGGATGCCTGAATGTAGCGTAACAAATGCGTGAATTTAGAGGCGCCCACGACCAGGATGGTCGTCGATTCTCGGGTTTGTTCTTAGGTCTTGTTTCGCCCATCTCCCATACTGTCCATAAAAGCTGTAACTCCAAATTCTTCCTCCACATGCCAGCCACATAGCCACTCCCAATACTCTTCTGAAGTAACCTTGCCAAGCCAGACACAGCAACGAGACGATCGGAGGCATATGAGAGCTTCCCCTTAGAGTACTCCTCAACAGTAGTGAGCCAGAATTCGTGCGGGGTGATGCCACGCACAGAGCTTATTGTGCCATGTTGATCCAGCATATCTCGCCGGAGGTAATGCCTGGTAGCGTTTCTGTCGCGATCATACTTGGGTGTACCGAGGGGCATCGACTCACAGGCTCTATTTTCGCAACATTCCCAAAAGATCTGCTCTTTTGTAAAATGTATGATCCTACGTGAGAGGCGCAGCTCTTGATAGCACCAAGCTCTTTTTGTGAGAGGGCCTTGTACGTCGCGCAATATAATCTGAGAGGATGATAAGGGTACCGCTAGACATATCGTATTCGATTTGTCGGTCCACGATGTAGTAATTTGGTGCGGGACCTTGGGAGCATCTCGGGCTAGATAAAGACCTTGGGAGCTGTCGTGCGCCCCCGTTGCGGCGAGACAGCAGATAGCATTACGGTAAACTTGTGTCATTGATGCCGACTCAATCTGCCAGTCTTCGGCAGAGTCCTGGATGATGCATAGAGAGTCTATCCAGACGTATCGTATGCCAAGTTGTCGTATAGTCGTAACCGCCTCTCGAAATGTTAGAGGTAAATTTTCTTCATCAATAGAATCGACCATGTTATCGAAATTGTTCAAGAGCAGCTTGGTCAGCACTGAATTGCCCCAGCAGTGACTGAGAGTTGCATATGGTCCATGCATCTCCTCCTGCTCCGTGACGCATAGTCGGCAGTCGTGTTCGGCCACTGTGCCCACATTAATGATGCGCGTCGGCCAATATACTGTCGAATCTCGTTGACAGGCGGTGTGGCTTTGCAAGCATTGATTCATCCACCGTTGTAGCGAGGATACCCTGATGCAGGGATCTAGCATCGCTCCAGAATTGCTTGCGTCTAGATCTAACACCATTGAGTATAATTTCAGTGATTATTGGTCCAGGACGTGATACTCACTTTTTAAAGATATAAAGTCGAATGCAGCATACGACGGCGCTTGATAGCCCTTGTATTCGGATTCGGACAAGCTCACTGCTAGTCTCCAACCATCTTCGAATTCCTCTTCTGCATACACCAAAATGTCGCACTCACTCGAGACTGCAGTAGCAAGTGTGGCTATGCCATTGAGGAATCCTGCACAAATGAAGCAGCCATTTTCTGCGGCTACTTGCACATCGCTCTTGGATCCATGGTGCCTCACCGACTTTGGAAAAGTGCCTGTGATTAAGGACTGGCACCGTGAACATAGTTCGGCGTTGGACATGATCTGGGTAGAGAGAATAGAATAAATGGTTGTTTTGCGGAGTCGCGGACGGAGCTGATGTGAGGTCCAACTGGGCAGGCAGCAGCATCCCACGACCGGTGAGATTCGCTTAGCGAATGCAGCTGACGGACTTAATGTAATTCATACTATCAGCATTGAACGACTAAAGAGTACAAAGATCATGGAGCAAGACTCTTTCTGTATATTAGGTCAACGCCGCCACTGTGACGGGGGAAATGTTGATAGAACTTTACGAAGACCATTCGAGCACCACCTAAAAAAACGTCTCATCATTGTAACATATAATAAGCAAGCTCTCTTGCTACACATGGCACTCATACGACGCTGTGATTCGCATCTGCGTTGCGGTCATGGAACCCTTCCGGCTTCGCATAGGTGTGACCAGGCTGTGGGAGCCCAGCGCCATCAGCTGTCGAATCTGCGAGGCTGCCGTTGTCGACGGGCTTTTCAGTGACAGGTTTCGATATACCATCGCGGGTACGCGCGTGCATCGACTTTGGGCCGTGTGCGTCGATGTGTGCGATCGAGTGCCACAACAAGTAGGTGCTTTGAAAGCATCAATATGACTGCTCATAGCAGGGCAAGGATAACAGCAAGACTCACCTCACAAATGTAAAGACCATGCCGGGCCACAAGAAGACCACACTAGCAATCGCCCGGCCATTCTCTCTATACTTCAATGGACTGCCACCGTACATAGCGAGCTCCCTCTCCGCCGTTTGCTCATCTGACCCCGTGACATACGCGCTCTTGGTCGCCACAATGATCGTGTATGTCAGCGCGCATGCGAGTGTCAATACGCACGCGAGCACGGAGCAGATGCGCCACGCCATCTTAACGGCCGGCGATTCGTGGCGCTCTGGCCAGAAGAGGTCGAAGAAGAAGGCGGCGCCGAAAATGGTGGCGACGAAGATGCCGACGAAGATGTTGAAGGACGCGATGGCGATGAAGTTGTTATTGTGGACGTATGAGGCCGGAAATTGAGCTTCCATGAAGGCTTGTTGGTCAACGTAGTCTGGGCAGTGTTAGTTGATGTCTTTGAAGTATACGATATACATACCACTCAACGCTGCCGTGCCTAGACTTTCGCTGACCACGCACAGGATCATTGCGCACTGGTAGATGATGAATCTTGTTCGTCGCATGTGGTAGTCTGTGTTCTTCCACATGTATGAGTTGGAGAAAGCACTCCATTTCATGTCGTGGAGGTCGAGGCCCCATATTACTGCCATCTTGTCGGGTGTTGTAGTGAAGTATGATGTGTGGTAAACAAAGTTGATAAGACAGCAAGACCGGAAGCAAGGGATGCACAACCACCTGATCAAGCTCTTTACTAATGCAAAATAAGCTCAGCGATGTGATGAGGGCGGCAGTTGGGTGCGAAGCAAGGGAGCACCACAACACCAGTTTTTAACGATCAAAAAGATCTCCTCCGAACCACGTCACACACCACAAATCAATTCCCATACTCCACTTCTGCAAATCACGATCCTACCATATCACTTAATCTCCACGCAGATATCTCGCACACTTCGGCCGACCAGTGCTGAGCGCTGATCATGCTTCTCAAAGCTTATTAGCATCAGGCTTATCCAATCGTATGCGATGAAGATATTTATCAGCGTCCGGCTACATCCGGCGAAAAAGCGCACTGGCGAGTGAAGGGAAGGTGATGTGCAGAGAGATGATGGTGCTACGTCATGTGTAGGGGTCCGCGGAACTAAGCGAGAGCGCGTGTCGATATTATGTCATTGCTGCGTAGAGCGGGACGGGACGAAGGCGATGAGGCTGAACATCCCCATCGGACGTTCAACTTGACGATGGGGTGAAAATCGATTTTTTTTATCGGTCTTGTTTCTTTCCTAATGGCTTACTCATCTGCCAGAGAATTTGCTTCACCGACGTAGCTAATTTGCGAACCCGCACGATCGCCCCACTTATTAAGTGTTCACTCACATTAATCGATGGTCTATTATGAGATTAGTCAGTGTGAGTACTGTTGTCGAGTAAAGTGATAGCTTGAGCATGCCTCAGAGTGAGCAGCCTTGGTAAGTTGCTTGGATATGCTTGTCTGTACGGTGGCGTCAGACGGTGAGATGCATGAAGGGCCGACTGCTCCCGCCCGAACGCGTGGAGTCGATGAACTATACACCGAAGCACGACCGACTTTGAACGTGTGTTCTGATCGAATTTGGATTGAGCTCGAAGTTGGCGCGAACTTTTCATCTCCAGCCGTCTCTAAGCGCGCAATGAAGCAGCTGTCCGGATGCCGTATCGACCTCGTACCGGTGCTCTCAGGGGCATGAGAGACTTCGTCCTGATGGACTGCTGTCGATATATGCTATCTACGTACAGTACTGGTAAGTCATACAGACTTCTGAAGCTATCTTCACTAGTATTTTCTGCCTCATCTAGACTCACAGGTCTTGCTTGTTGGTCATATCGAGAGCTAGTCGCCTCACCTCATAGGAAAGGAAGTGAGAATTGAGGACGGTACAATACACAAAGTCACTAGTACGATGGCCTCGAGAAGTCATCTTAAACCTCGATGGGACTTCCCAAAAGTATCTCCATTCTTGAATCTTCACACTGCCTTGCAATGCTGCCGAGGGAATCATATTGCTCACCCTCTTGACACAATCCCATACATCTAGAGCGCATAGTGCATCGTTCGAGGTTCTCAGTCTCTCGAGTGAGTTTGAGATGCCCATCGAGAAATAGCTTGGGTTTTGGCAAACATGCGCGTTACCTATCTGGCATAGAGAAAGGTAGGGGCGCTCGAGATAAATGTAGCCAGGGCTATTCTGGATATTAGGCGTCGACCATGGTCCTCTCACTCCCATCAAGTTCCCCATCCATGATTTCCTTATGTCCCGTTACGCCGACAAGCAAACGACCACACCCGCTCGCTTGTCTTTCACTCACTTCGGACTAATTTTACTACCAACCGTCCGAGGTCTACAAATGTGTTCAGTCCTTTTCCCCGACTAAGTGCTACGTCTGTTCTCAACTGTAGAGTCTCTCAACCACGAATCATGAAGATTAAACTCCTTTTCCTCGTTGCAGCTCTTGCGGCCTTGGCCATTGCAAGCGCGTCTGAGCACTTGTTCTCGGGGATAGTCGTGGTCAAGAACGACACAAAGCCTACTGCTCGAAGGGTACCAGGACTGTTCGACAGACTCAAAATTAGAACGGACGGTTCACCCGACGACACCCCCCCTCCTGACCCTCCTTTGGAAGTGGTCAATGGATGGGACAAGAACGACATCGCGGCTCAGCCAGAGGCAGATGCCAAAGCTGTCAAAGGACATTTTGCGACCTGCCTCCTCAAAGCAACCGATGAGGAAGCGGGAAAGGCCTGGCCCGACCCATATAAACGGACGCCAAAGTCAGCGCGCAGTCCATTCAAGCCCACTCAACGTAAGTTGTGGACTACCTTACTCGATCAAAGCTGACCGTACCACAAGAGGATTTGACAGATTGGTTCTGGCATGAGGCAAGCTACGACCAGAACGGCGCATGCGACTTCACAGACGCCACTAGAACGCACACAGACCATCTCCAAAAGTCACTCAGTGCCCTGGGACTGAGCTACATGCCAAAAACAATGGGCGGCGATATCGTCTGCTATTCGATCGAGCACTCCGACGAGCACGCTGAGGACGAAGACGGCTACCCGACGCCATACCAGGACCAACACTACTCAGTCAACGGCGAGAAATTCGGCGTGAGCAATCCCCATTCCATCCTCCACCCCCAAAAAATCTCCTAACACCCCCAGGCCACAGGAGCATGGTACCGCTTCGGCATCGACCAAAAAGGCGGAGGTACGACATAACATAACCTCACCACCCCTCCCTCTCCATTAACACAACTACAGCCATCCACGGCCTCAGCCACGAAGCCCCCGCCTTCACCGCCGCCGACAACTGGGGCCGCCGCCCGCACGCCAACGAACTCCCGCACCTGGGCAAAGCATCCGACATCATGTTCTTCTACTGGGCGCGCGCCAACCCCAACGTCCGGAATCTGCGCTACTACTTCAACGTATACGTGATCAACCACGAGACGAATCCGCTCATTGCGAAGATCATACACGACGATCCGCAGCTCGATGACCTCCCGGACTGGCCGGGTGTCAAGTTCCACGAGGGGAGTAGAGAGTTTAATATGCTGCTGGGTACGTAGCGCCGCTGATGTTGATGTCTAGGCTAATAGTGCGCAAAGGCTCGCCAGTGGGTATGACGCTTGCGTACATGATCTTGCAGCACAAAGCGGAGCTCGGGGTCAAGCATATGACCGACGTGACTGTGTTCCGGGACAGCGCGGCGTATGCGGGGCATGAAGCGGCGAAGGCGAAGGTTATGATGGTGTGGACGATTAAGGATGTTGAGAGGGTGGAGGATCCGCAGGGGGAGAGGGAGGATGAGGAGATGACGGATGCGAGGTTGGGGGTGCGGGGGTTTAAGACGGGGAGGGGTGAGAGGGGGTTTACGAGGGTGCATGAGTTTCGGATGAGGGATGGGAGGGTGGAGCGGGAGAGTGTTGTTGAGGCGTTTTAGATGGAATGTAGACGTGCCATGGTCTAGATACACAAGTAGACCTGGGCATGGAATAGAAATGGTTGCAAGAGCTTCGTTAAAGTAGTATCCACATACTCACAGGAGATGGGTGGATTATTGCACCATGCCCTCCACCGTCCCCACCGGCCTCTCGGTAATATGTATACACCCGTCCACAATACTCTGCCTCGCCGGCTCAGAACTAACATTCTGGCCCCCGAGATACAACAACCACACCAGCCTACTCACGCGCTCGTCCCTGACTTCCCCCAGCCACGTCGCCGCGCCCATCTTCTTGCCCTCCTGCACAACAGGCTGGTACAAAGCGCCGAGGGTCCCCTGTTTATTCCTTGTTAGGATAACAACACTGCCCTTGGGCGCCTTGCCCTTGCCCTGGAACATATTCTTGAACTCCTTCATCGCGAGCCCGAACGAATCGTCCGAGAACTCGTTTTCCTCGACGGGCTTAGGGAGCGCGATGGATTTGTTTTCCGCAGCTTGTTGGCGCAGGAGATCTGCTTGTTTCCTGCGCACCTCGTCTGTGCGTGACGCGATGCCGCGCATCCAGCCGTCTTGCAGGTGCTTGAAATCCGTGCCGCGGCAGGGCACGACACGGAAGGCCATGTCGACTGCGCCCGTGCCCTTCTGGCTGAGTATGGCTTCCCAGATCTTGTTGCTCTTCTCCGGGTCGAGGAGGGCGGCGCGCAGGTCTTCCTTCTCGCCGAGAATAAGCGCCGAGGCGGTGGGGTCGACGGTGTTGATGAGGTGGTTTTGCAGAGTGCCGATGTCTGCGGTTTTGACGTACAGGCCGACGACGTAAACTTGGACGCGCAGGAAGGAGACTTTGCGGATGCCGAGGCCGAGGAGCTGGTATTCCGCGTCGGAGCTGACTTGTTCGGGGCCTGTGGTATCGGTGGGCAGGCGGATGGTGCGCGGGAAGTACGGGACGTAGGATGTGCCGGTTTCGACGAGTTCAATGGCATCGGCGTCTGAGGCCTGGGGGTTCTCTGCGTCTACGGGCGCGGCGATGATTTTGTCGCCGGCTGCGATGACGACCTTTTTGCCCTGGAATTCTTCTGCTGCTTTCTTGGGAGCATCGTTCTTGGCTGGTGGGCCTATGACCATGTCTACAATGCCGCGACTCGGTTCCTCCTCTTTTGTGACATCCTTCTCCAAGGGTACATCCCATAGCCGGACGAGAAAGATGGGTGCGATCATGGACAATGCAGCACCGAGGGCGAGCCAGTTCCTCCTCCGGATTGCTTGTGCTCTACGGACAGCATCTGCGCGGTGGAGAGAGACGAATTCCTCAGTGGCCACGCCGCCCATGTCGGGTACTTTGTTCTTCGCATATCGTGAGGCATTGCGCAGCTGGGGCTTGCTTCGGAGAGTCGGTGGTGTGTTGAGGCATTGGAAGGTTGGCCGGCGGGCAGCAAGTCGTAGGGCGTTCATGGCGGGCGCATTGAGGACGTGGCGTGGGTGAAGGTGGTGCTACATGAGATGATCTGAGCTTTGACTTTCGGCATGATGTCGACGCCAAGCGTTTAGCGCGGAGAGTTTCTGGGGCGCGCCGTAGGGCTGAGACGCGTCGAAGTGAGTGGGGGTGCGTGTGATCACAACTCACAGCAACAGTGCCTCGACGAAGAGTGGTGAGTGCGATTACCGTGTTACAAACTTGCTTTGCCGATACAGATACAGACCGAAGACCCCATGCCTACACAAACACCGCGGAGAAGACGAGACGACACACCTGAGGAAGATGAGGACATTGACATGCTGACGAGGCAACACAACATACTGGCAGTGGTAGTCTCGAGCAATTATCCAAAGGCCTAGTCCGATATGCATTGTCATGCGAGCATTCACGGAAGCCCATCAAGCGGCAAGACATCAACGAGAAAGGTGAGAGCACGTTGAGTTTGACAGGTGCAGGACTGACATGTCCAGTCCTCGGATCACATACACGACTCTTCAAGGAGGTCTTCAGTCGCGCCAATGCCGAGCTGATGGACGTCTTTGGCATGCAGATGGTTGAGCTGCCAAAAGCGGAAAGAGTGACCATGCGACAGAAGCGCGGTAGGTCTCGCACCTCTGCACGTCTTACCATACTGACGTTCTAAGCTGCCAATGCATCAAACTCACAGAGCACGTCGAGCAGCTTGTGGGTGTTGCAGACCATCCTGCCTGAACAATACCGCATACCAGAGATCATCGGCCCCTCACGCCCAATGCCAACCGACGAGATCAACCGAGAGGACTCGTACGTTGGCTTGTATACGTTGGCCATCGCCCTGATCACGATATCTGGGGGCAGGATACCAGAGGGGAAGTTGGACCGCTCCTTGCGTCGCATGAATGCAGACCAGACCACCCCGCTGGGCACCAAAGACAAGACGCTTGCACTGATGGTCAAGGACGGGTATATCGTCAAGGTCAAGGATGATACGACAGACGACGCCATCGACTACATTGTCGGGCCGCGTGGCAAGGTCGAGGTGGGACGAGACGGGTTTGCCAAATTCGTGCGGGCGATGTACGGCCAGGAAGGGGAGGATGAAGAGCTGGAGAAGGCCATCGAGAGGACGCTGAACGTCGCGGACGCCTTCAACAGTAGTGTAGCGCCTGCTGAAACCGGGGCGGGTGCATCACAGGTAGCTGGGCGCAAGCGAGGGCGGCCGAGGCGCGATGCGGATGCGGATGACGAGTGATGGGAGCCGGGTTACGACCTGTTCATGTAGACAATTCATCAGACACCTCCGCAGCCATGTGAGAGTGCATTCGTGCGGGAGGCGAGGCGGCTGGTGGGCGGCTGGGAGTGGAGCCCGGCAGGATCGAGGAGTTGCATCATCGGCGCATCACACAGGACAGGCGCGTGCGATGCAACACACGCTGAACTCTGTGCGCATAGAGACACTCGGGACGGAGGGCGATGCGGTGCAGCGTGCAGCGTGCGTGCTGCGGTCGGGGCGAATTGGTCAGCGTGACCTCGTAGCGCAGTTGTCGTGGGTGGTGAGTGGAGGAAGGCGCGGCTGCATGCATTGAACCTTGGAGCAATAGTTAGCCTCGAGGCCGCCCCTCTCCAAGCACTGGAGCTGAAATCGAAGCGGCGTTATTTTCCACACCACCTGCCGTCTCGCGTCCTTTCCCTCGTCTGCAGCCTTTGCCCATCGTCATCCTCATCATTGGCCCTCCTGCAATGCGTAGCAGCCCCGGCCAGCTCTGAGCGTAGACGACAGCGCGATGAGCAGCATCGACTCTCTTCTCAACCACGGCCGCGCCGCCGACGCCGCCGCCGCCGAACGACGCCCATCCATGTCTCAACCACACTTCACCCAGACGACGACGTACGAGGCTGCCGATGCCCTCACCACACTCGCGACTCTCGGCAGCGGCCAGCAGTACGCACCCGCCCCGGCGCGCGAGCTGCCGTCGCCCACAGCCTTCTCCAACGCGCCGCGCCGCTCCAGCAGCTTCGGCTCCCACCACGCGCCCGTAGAGCCCTCGCCGCCGCTTGAGCAGCCGCCAGTGCGCTCGCCCACGCTCGACCAGTACCACCATGGCTCCAAGTCGCCCGAAGAGCACCAACGGCGGCAATCGCTCATGTCGCGGTCCTCGCCGGCTCCCGTGCTCGCCCCCATACAAAATTTGTCGACGGCACTCCAGGAGCAGGTTGCTGAGGAAACAGCGCCCGTGCCAATTGGCGAGGACGTGTCTCAGACCGTGCCGCCGTCGAGTGCCGGCGATGAGGCTGGCCGAGACACCACCCAGGACCGCGAGCCTGCCTTTGTGCGCGACGAGCCCACGACCTCACAGATCCGAAAGCCCGATGACGCAGACCTTCCACACGCCATCGACGCGCCACTCTCTTCCACAGTCATCAAAGATGAGCCCTCTGGAACGCCCCGCGAGTCGACCCCAGCCATCACCGCGTCGCTGGAGCGCCAGAACTCAGCCGCCGAAAACATGGACTCTGACACGCTCAAGGCGCTTGAGATTGCGAAGCAGGCCGACCTCGGACTGCGCACGAAGAGGACCGCGAGCGTTGCCGACAGCCTGCCCTCGCCCGTCGACTCGAAAGCGCCCATGCTGCCCTCCAAGAAGCGTCCCGCCCCGGCCTCGGCCACTGTGAAGAAGAAGGGCATGGCCAAGACGATGAAGCCGTCCAAGAAACGCAAGCTCGATCCCGAGGACCCTACAGCACGCTCTGTCACACCCACCTCGCGCTCGTCGAAGCCCAAGAACGGTAAGAAGGGCTCGCAAGCCGGCACACCCGGTCTCGAATCGTCGCCCGCGCCCGACAACTCCTCACAGGCACACGCCTCCGACGACGACGGCGACTCTTCCGAAGACCACAACCTGTACTGCATATGCAAGAAGCCGGACAACCACAAGTGGATGATTGGGTGCGATGGTGGCTGCGACGACTGGTTCCACGGCGACTGCATCAACATGAAACAGGCCGACGAGGAGCTGGTCGACAAATTCATCTGCCCGCAGTGCGAGGAGAATGGGAGGGGCCACACGACATGGAAGCCCATGTGCCGGAGAGACGGCTGTCGAAAACCGGCGCGCGTCAACAAAGACCGTGAGAGCAAATACTGCACAGACGCTTGTGGCACACTCTTCATGACTGAGCAATTACAAAGGACGGCAGGTGCGAAGGGGGCGAACGGCACCAAGTCAAAGAAGGCGAAGAAGAAGGGCGGCAAGGAGGAGGGCGACGAGGAAGAGCCCACCCCACTGGGCGGTGTACTGAGGTCGAAGGATCTCAAGGCATTGGTGGATGCATCGCCAAACATCCAGACCTTCAAGAACTTGGGCACTGGTGTCCTCACACCTCCGCAGACCGCCTCACCAAACCGCGCCACCTTTGACGGCATTGACGGCTTCGCCCTAACCACCGGCGAGAAGGAACGCTTGAGTGCCTTGTATAACGAAAAGTCGCAACTGCAAAACCAACTCGAAGCACTCAAAGACCGCGAAAAGTTCGTCAGCATGGTCAAGGAACAAGCCGTCCGCCTCGCCGAGCGCGAGAAGATCAAGATGAAGGAGTTCTGTGGCTACGACTCGCGCTTGTCGTGGTCAGACGCTGAATTCCTGCAGTGGCGGAATAGCAGACACGGCCAAGCGGCGTTCAAATTTAGCACCCTATCACCGACAGCTGAGCAAGTCGCCTCGATCCCCGGCGCCGACGCAGCAGATGCGAAGGAAACCGCCTGTCTGAAGAAACGCTGTCCCAAGCACCCGCAGTGGCAGAAACTCAATCTCCAAGACGCTCGCTTTGAGGAACTAGAAGTCGTCGAGGCGATCAAGGAGTGCGAGAAGGAGGAAAAGAGTGTCCGTGAAAGGGCTAGGCGGAGAGGCGCCAAGGATGCCATGGCCAAGGAACTCACGGCGGGCGATGGCAAGGAGGAGCGGAATCGCGAGGGGTGGGTCGAAGTTGTGGCGTCGTGACATTGAACGAGGAAGAGAAAAAGCTTGAATATACCCCCGTTTAGTTTCCCGCGAGTTGGTATTATTACATTTGGTGTTTAGAGGTTGGATCGAAAAGAAGCATCATGGGCGAATGTATGAACTCCACTTGAAACTTTGAGAAAATTGGGCGTGGGGGAGCTGTACGATGATGGGTTTTAATGATTTTGATTCGGATCAACTATGCTTAGATGTCAGCTGTGACTTTGGACCGAGTGGAAGGGTATATAAACGCTCCTCTCCCCTCGTCTTCCTGCTTCTTCGTCAAAGACCAGAATTTGTGGGCCTATCGGTCCGTACAGTTTCTTCTCGGCATAAAGCTGCTATGAACTGTCCATGTGGAGTTTCTGGCGTCAAGAGTGAGGCTGGGAGACTACATGTTGGTATGCTGAGGCCTCGATGCTCTCACGTGACCGGTCGGGAAGGCAGATTTAAATCTCTCTCCTCCCTCCGTTCTCTCCTTCTTCCCTAACAATCCACCTCTTTTGCTTCTTCAAAAGAAAAAAGTCATTACCAATGTCCGTCGAGAAGCCTGTTCTTCTCAGCCAAATATTCACGCCATGAAGTCAACCCCATCCAAAAACTCAACCATCCATACCACATTTTGCCTTCTCAAATGGCTTTCTGAAAGCATTCACGACGCTGTCCCCACGAGCTAGATACGATTCATGGCATTGCTGAAGATTAAAAAGCGGAAGGGCACTATGCATGACCTCCGGCTTACAAAAGCCGCGCCCATCGAAAGTCTGGTGCTACGTCTTGGAACCTAAGTCGTTTTAGCGTAAAATGTGTGCTCTGAGGTGTATAAGTCTTCATTCTCTTTCAATACCATCCATCATTCAACATCGCTGAATAATAGCTTGTCCAAAACGCATGACATTCATGATTGATGTCTTCTGCTCGCGTTCTTCGTGAGAACACAAAAACAACAAGACTAACTGCAGATGAGTCAACTGGCTGAATCAAGTTTTAACAATACAATATGGTCGCAATGGGTCCGAGTTTGTGCTTCGCTAGTTTGCTGAAGTCCCCGGGTTGAGATATAGATCCGTTGGCAGAATGCTTGGGTCTCCAAAGCTGCTGTATCCAGCCAAAACCAGTCGCCGAATCAGTATATGAGTGGGAACTCAGGTCGCCTCGAGGCTTATATCTATCTCCATCCTGGGTCGCTCTCCTTCCTTGAAATATTGACAAGTTTGTCTTTCTCTCCAAAATTCATCAACATGAAATTGCATGTGCCTGTGCAGCGCCAAAATCTTAGACCAATCCACTGTATATATTTCTCCCGGGCCCTCTGTTCTGTTCTGAACTTGTGCGCATCTGCAAAACCTGTCTGTCATCGCTGATACTGCGTGGCGACTACAAAGCCGCGTCGTCAGTCTGCTTGGGTGCAACTGCAGTCTTGAAGACATACAGACCCCATAATCCCGCGGGCATATTCTACCCTAATTCAAGAAATATGCATGTTGATACGTCTGTCGAAAAGTAGGCAATAAAAGCGAAAATATAGGCGAATTGGTGCGAATGACGTCATCGGCTTCAGCTACAAATTTTCGCTGGCGAAATGTAGGAATTTATACCTGTATAAACTCAGATACATAACTGTATTCAGGGTTCGTTATGTGGTAGCGTTGTAGGCGCTATGCCGTGGTACAGCACGGAGGGAACAAGACGTTCGGTGGTGGAGTGAAAGAAGTTGACGAGCTAAGGTCTTGGCGTTAGTCCAAATGGAAAGCGCAATGCTCTTCCTCCACTACTTTTGCGACATCACACTACACATATCAAATTTTACTTCAGTCTGGACTCAGCACCCTTGAATCCTCGAATCCGGGCCCTCCAAGTATTTTGGCAACAATTCTGGCATTGATGCGAAATCTGTGTCGGAAGACTCTCTTAGCAACCAACACCATACGACAACAAGAAAGAGCTAGGATTGGAACAAATCAATATTTCCCACCGCTGAGAAGGCTCCATCTCAGTTCTCCTATCGTCCAACCATGAACCCAACCCCCCGTGGCCGTGGCCGCGGCCAACCATCCAGCGACCGCGGCATCAGCACCAACCGCGGCCGAGGACGAGGCTCAGATCGCGGCGCGCCACGAGGAAGATATCCCAACCCACCTCGGGGCCGTGGAAACCGTCCTCCGCGCCCCAGAGACCCGGATTATCCCTCGGTACCAGCTATAACTTCTCTCTACGAAGGACGCGCCGTTTCCATCATTTTGAAGCAGGACCAGCAGACTGGCCACCAAGTTCATGGTATTGTGGCTGACTTGCTCACGCGCGGCGATCATCCGCGTGGTGTGAAGGTTAGGCTAAGAGATGGAAGGGTGGGGAGGGTGCAGAAGCTGATTACGCCGGCGGAAGGCGAGCAAGGAGAAAGGCTTGTTGGTGGGGCGAGTGCGAATTTAGGGAGGAACGGTGATGGTGTAGAGAGTAGTACTAGAGGAAGAGGTGGGCTTGGCATGAGAGGTGGAAGAATAGAGAGGGATATTAGAGAAGAAGACGACTATCTTTACGACGAGAGTCGGAGTAATGCGCCGGTCAGGAATGATGGGCTTTTTGCGGCGTTAGAAGCGGCTGATCAAAGGCATCAGGAAGAGAGAGGGCTGGGTGGCGAGGAGAAAATAGCAACATGTCCGGTATGTGGGGAGTTTGAAGGCGACGAAAGAGCTGTTGCGCATCACGTTGAGAGTCACTTCGGGTCATGAATGAGGGAAGATGAAGTTTGAAAGTGTCCAGTGCGGTGTGGACATTAGTCTAACAAGTACCGAGCAATTACGAATTTTCGATAACCATGACCAAACTTGACGCAGCGATACATAGCCAGTGGGGATTGTATATATAAATTATGTGCACATGGCTGACATCGCTCCTATACCTCACAGGCCTCCTCAGCTCTTCTAGAACTGGTTAACATCCCGCCATCCCAGCGGATCTTGCTGACAACCTTCCCATTCTTCTTGAGCCTGACCTAAAGAACTAGCGACGTTCAACGATAGGTAGGAACCAAGCCCCTCCTCTGGTCCACTTGGTATAACTCGTCTTTGAGGTTGCTTGCCCAATCGCCACGACCCTGATTAACTCTCTCATGTGCCCGATGGTGGTTCAATATCACGGCTCTTGAATCGTTGTACTCCCTCATGAACTCTGCATCATTGGCGTGGTCCAGGAAGATCTCGGTGGCTATAACACGCATTGTCTTTTCACGTGTGCTGTTCCGACCGTCGGGGATTGCGTTGAATGTGTCATGACGACAAGTGAAAACGCGCCAGTCAGCATCAGCAAGATCGAGATCGGTTATGTTGTTCGCAATATCCTTCTTGAGGTTCCGGATTTCTTCCTTGAGTTTGGTATTCTCAGTGAAAATGCTAGAGGTGGCGAAAAGCCGGTCATCGGCATGAGACCTGTTCTCGGCGAGCAAGCGAGTACGTTCATTCTTGTACCTGAAAAATAAATGTCAATCAACGATCAAGGAAAAAAGGCGGGAAGATATGTTCGCCCACGATGCACTGATTGCTACAAGTGGGGAGGAAACTTACCAGTCGAGCTTAGTTTCTGTGGCTGCTAAACTCGCGCGAAGCTCCTTCAGCTCAGCTGCTTGATTCTCGGCTTTCGCTCGCGCATACAGAGTCTCTTCTCCATCTTTGTTAATTTGCTTGAGCAGATTGAAGTGCTCAGTAGTCAACTTGTCGTACTTGTCGACCAGCTGCTCGATCTTGGCGTCACGAGCGGTAATAGTGGCATGAAGGTGGTTCACTGCAGTCTGATTGATGCTTGGCCTCGTATTGCGAGCTTCCTGGAGTTCGGTGACCAGCTCTTCTTTACTTGCCAACGTAGCTTGTAGCTTTGCCTGACATGTTGCTGCCTCTTCTTGCGCTTCTTCCGTCTCCTTTCTTGAAATTTCAAGCACCGCCGAGATAGTACTCCTGTCTCTGATGGCCTTCTCAAGCTGCTCGCTTAGGACTTGAACTTCTCGATGTTGAGTACTGATCAAGGTCTTGTCCGCCTCCAGTGCTCGTTCCTCTGCAGCCTTCGCGCGGTCGAACATCTTGACCAATTCTCCTTTAAGCTCCATGATCCGCGTCTCAGCGAAGGTCAGCAGTATGCGATGCTTGCAAGGGTCCTCGCCATCAGATTCGCGCTCTTTGACTTCGTCGTCTCCAATTGTCTCAGCGTCGGTCAGGCTAGGGCTGTAAGGATCCTCTGTGGGTGAGCGTGAGTGAGCGCGCGAAGCCTCTGCATTGCCGCCGCGAGTCGACATCGCGTGGCGCAGACTGTTGAACATCGGGATCGCACTCGGTGCCTCAAAGTGGCATGAATCAAATTTCGAGTGTGTGGTGTTGTGGTGTTGGCGAGGTCGCGTGTGGTGAAGCCGCGCCTGCTGTTTACGTGCGAGCACGTGCACGCATGTTCACCGTGAAGGAAGGTGCGGTGAACATGATCGAAGAGCAAAGTGAGCTAGGCATAATGAAAGGGAAGGGCTCGAAGTCGGCAGATACACGCTTCGCTGGTGGGAAAGCCATGTAGGCTTCGCTGTGGTGCCTAGCTCATGGTACGGATGAAGGAAAGAACAGTGACGGAATGTGTACGAGACAAGACGACACCATATGAGAAGATGAATGTGAAGAAGAGGTTTTAGATAGAGATGTCGAGATGATGGTCCGTAGAACAGAACGTAAGCAAGAAAGGCATAACTTTTGTCACTAACGTCATCATATCACTCGTTACCGGCAACCGTAGCCTCACCGCTCGCAGCGATGTTGATGCCGTTCTCACCTCCAACAGACTTACTTCCATCTGAGCCTTGAGTGATCCCAAGATTTCCACCCAAGTTTTGCGCATTGCCAGCTTGGTCAACGGTAATGCCGCTCTCCTCCGAGAACCGTTCCGACTCTTCAGTTGCTTTGACGCCATTTGACTTTTCTGCCTGAGCGGCTTCACCCTGGCCTTGCTTTGCTGCCTCTTTCAAAGCCTCCTCTTTTGCGGCTTCTCCCTCAGCGCGTCCTGGCTGGTTCTCTGTGCCGGCACCAGCTCCCTTTTCGGTCGATGCCTGCTCAGTCCCAGTTGCTGCAGTTTCTGCGGCCTTTGCTCCGGACTTTTCAGCTTCAGCAGATGGTTTGTTTGCTTCAGCAGCTGGCTTGTTTGCCTCAGCAGCTGGCTTCCCACCCTTGCCTTTTGGCTTCTTCCCGCCCGCTGCTGCTGTCGCATTTCCTTTTTGCTGGCCGTTGCCTCCCAAATTCAGACCACCAGCACTGATCCCTCCACCCTCTCCACCAAGAGTAAGACCTCCGATAGTCAAGCCGCTGCCCTTCTGGCGCTGTCCCTTCTGTCCTTGCTGCTCAGTCCCATTCTTCTTTTGGCCACCACCCAAGTTGAGTCCTCCGATGGTCAAGCCTCCACCATTCTGGCGCTGTGGCTTCTGGCCCTCTTGTCGAGTCGAGTTTTTCTTCTGGGCACCACCTCCAACCTCAATTTGTCGCTTCACAGACTCGGCTATGTTTGCGCGAGCACCGAGTGCTCTCTAAAAGAACGTGAGCAGTCATTCCATGGCCAAGAGACAGAATACGCACCATCCATTCATGCTGGGGTGGTAGCACGAACGCTTCGACGCTTGCAATAGAAAGGCACGCGAGTGCGAAGCTGCTTGCGAACTTCATTGTGTTGGTTTTGTGTGTAAAGGTGTATGTACAGAGAATTGAATACTGGCCAGCAGCTGAAGAAAAGAAAATATGTGAGAACAGATCGTCGAAAGAAAGATAAATATGAAGATGCAATAAAAACAAAACGTGAAGTAGATTGTATGTGCGGACCAAGCAACCAAGCCTTGGTACAGAAAACACGCTCTTCTGACACATGCTTGTGCTTTACTGGTGGCGCGGCAAGCAACGCATTGTGTAACTCGCTTGAAGACGAGAACGAACGTCCAAACCCTGGTCAAAAGCGATTTTTCGCGGGGATCAGGTGTTCCCGAGAGTGCTGAAGCTCGTTGTGTCGCACGTTCCGTTACAAGCTTTGTGAAGCTCAGATGTTTCATGGATTTGCAGGTCCCAACAGCATTTGAAGCAAGGGCACTCGCAGCTCAAGAATATAAACGACGTCCGATCGAAACATGCTGACGAGGCCGCTGATTTGCATTGCTTTCGACGAACCTCATGGCCTATGACGCATCATGAAGCTATACGCAACAGTTCTAGCAGGCAGTCCTACCTTTTAAGTTATGCGAACCTCTTTAGGACCCATTATCCACTAGAAGAGCGTCAGAGGGCTCTCTTTACCTCATGGGTCTTCTGAATACATTTTAGATCCTAATGTGCCATATAGACAGCATTGATGTTCACAAAACCTGTTATTTCCGCAACTGCTCTGACGATCTCTCGTTGTAATAAATAATCACCTGTGGGTGTTCATTACCCATCGGAAGTCATCAGATACATATTCCGGGAATTGTTGCCGGTACTTTGTTCAGGGTAGCGAACCGCTCGTTGGTATTGTGGATGATGTTGGAGGGAACTGTGTCGGCTAGCGTGTTTTTACCTCAGCCTGGTTAGCGTGCACGTGTCGATGTGGGGGATGTCGCGTCTGACATCAGCCTGGTTGCAGACGTTCGAATCATGATGCCGTCTTGATTTTTTACAGTAACGAATGAAGCTCGAGCATCTGCAGGGCGTGATCGGAAACATAATGGATGATCGTCTGCAGAAGACATTCGCTGGCGGTGGCGCAGCGTGCCGACATGCATGGCCCTCGCTCAGCCTCTTCCAATCGCCTTGTGCAAAGTTCATCCTACACTATCACCATGCCCTAGACCATATATATCTCGATAATTACATTGAATGAACGGTCTCGATCACTTTGTTTTTGATTGTGGTCTGTCGACGTCATCCAGGTCCCCGATCCTCGAATGTCACAAACGCCAGACTTCCCTCAGTGCCCTCTCGAGCAATGGATACAGTCACATACATGCTGGCAACATCTCAAGGCCTTCTCTATCCCTAATTCCACCGTTGATTACGCTCCGAGTAACATCACGCGTCTTGTACGGCCCACTCGTCTAATCCTGTTAGGAACGGTTTTCAAGCAGGAATTAGGAAGTCTCAGGGAATTAGCCAGTAGAACCAGTTGCGATGTCTGCTTCCAAATACACCAAATTCTCAAGGAAATACCGATACGCCCCATGGAGACTGAGATAGAGGACCAGATAGCGTGCAGTATAACCCGAAGAAGTTCGGGTTGGTTTTGGGAAATCCATGTAAGGGAGCAGTATTGGTATTTTCCTATCCCACATGGGGTAGGTATAACGCTTTGTAGTGTACGAGGCTGACATACATCACTCTTAGAATCCCCTGACAGAAGTAGTGGAGTCGGTTAGGTTACACTGGTACCCGATCGGAGAATTCTGTCACGGTGCTCGCCTGTTGGAAGGTCCATGGATAGATTTTGAGAATATTCTTCGATGCAGAACGACGTGTGTCAAGAACCATACCGAATGTCAAGAGAACCCAGGGCTCTTGCAGACACATGACGGACTGCGAATCGTCGATGTTGCAACAATGTCCATCACAGACATGGCTCACTGTGACACGTACCTTGCGTTGTCCTATGTCTGGGGTTCTACCAGAGGTCTCAATCTTCAAAAACAAAACCTGGCAGATCTGCTCATGCCACGTTCGCTCAACCATCACTGGCCGCAGATTCCTCGGACCATTCGTGACGCTATCATTCTCACCGCCAAGCTAGGTTTCCGCTATCTATGGGTAGATGCTCTTTGTATTGTACAAAATGACAAGGAGGGCAAGATGAGAGACATTGAACGAATGGCAGCGATCTACTGCAAGGCACAATTCACGATCGTTGCTGCTGGTGGCAATAATGCAGACCACGGCCTGACTGGAGCTGGAGAATCTCCCCGCTCGTTATGTCACCAAATAATTCTTCGTTTTTCGCCGTCCGCGGAGTTCATTATTTACCCGTCCCAAACCCTGGACGAGTCAGCAACGAAGTATTTTCAGAGAGCTTGGACATTCCAGGAGTATCGACTTCCGAATCGTTTGCTTGTGTTCTTCAATGGCACGGCTTCATGGAAATGTAGAAGACTTGAATGCAGCGAGGGTTTGATGGGACCCAGGCAGATGCTTCATCTACCACGGAACGGACTCAAATCGGATTCGACATGGCCCAATTTCACGCAATACACAGATCTTGTTGCCGCTTACAATGGTCGCGAATTAAGCTATGAAGGAGATAGCCTATCCGCCTTTTCAGGGGTCCTTGAAGCCATCCAACACCAATTTCCGTCTGGGTTCATACAAGCTCTGCCTGAGTTCTACTTCGATCTTGCTCTTCTGTGGCAGCCCAGGAAGCCTCTCCGCAGGAGACCGAGCGATCTCGATTTTGCGACTCCAAGCTGGTCGTGGATTGGTTGGTCAGGATCTCTAGATATGAGATACTGTGAGCATGGCTTCGAGCATCCCATACTTCCACTTCACTCTGACTATTCAACAAGCTGGTCAGCTATGTGCCATCCTGTAACTGACTGGTACAAGACAACTGGCCCATTTGACAAGAGATACCCGGTGAACAACGGTTACATTATGTACCACAAGCTGAGAGTTGGTCGCGTTGATAACAGCCCTAATCAAGACAAACTGAAAGAAACGCAATTTGTGCCCTCGGATATCACTGAAACTGGCTGGCATGTCTCGAAACACTTCGAAAAGTGGCCTAAGGGTCGTTCTGAGGCACAGCTGTATTATCGTTCCCCGTTGATAAGCGAAGCTTTCTCCTACCCCCTTCCACTCGGCCAAGGTCCTAAGATGGTTCAAAGCCAAAAGATTACATATCTACATTTCTCATCCCATCGCGCTTGGTTTTTTGTCACAGAAAGTTCTGTTAAGGCCGTCAGCTCTCGCATTACATGCGTAACAGTCAGCATTGCGGATGCCAGTGGACAACTAGTTGGTGTTATGAGATTGAACTCGACCGATGCACCAAACTTTGGAGAGGCGCCATGCGAGCTCGTGGCTATCTCTAGAAGCACGGCAGACTTAGACTTATTCCATGACCGGGCACCGCTGGAAGAGGCTTCTGACACGGCGTATTTGATGCAGATCATAACTTTCCGTGGAATGCGATTGCCCCTCGGCACAACACCGGATGACTATCGCGCTTTGCAGAAGATAGTGGGTATTTACGAATACTACAATGTACTCTGGATCGAATGAGAGAATGAGATCGCCTATCGGAAGGCACTTGGCCGTATCTGCATAGAAGCGTGAGAAGCTCAGGATCCGGAGAAGATAGATGTTCTACTAGGATGATCAGCGTCGACGACGGAGCGACATTCCGGAAAAATTAACGAGCAACTCGATCACATCTCATCCTGTCTACACGCACTTTCTACTGACAGATTTCACCACAATCTCAGCTTTAGAAGATATCAGGTCATTTGTGATAATGCTTCTTGTAGTCATACACAGTTGTACTAACATGCGGTCGCCGACAAAATGGAACTTCGCACGTCGATACACCCCCACTCTCTATCACCAGTTCAGATGTAGTAGGAGTCACGTGTACATTTTATAACACTTCCCAGAGCTATGCGTATCTCTACCAACATTCACTAAGTTGATGAAATCTCTTTGAGGTTCCTTCGCAACTACTGATCTTTTTCAAAGGGGGATGATAGCCTTTATCGTGCAGCTGCTTCTCACAGGTATTTACCATTGTACGCTGAAAGCATCACAAAGATGTCGACCTCTCCAACGAACGCCACCTCATTTTACACCTGGAAAGCAGAGCCTGTAGTCCGTGGCTCATTTTCAATTCTGTCGACATGCTTGCAGAACCATTACTCTGTGTCTGGACCGCAGTACGCCTTAACATCCCAGAGTATGGGAAGATGACATCACAATTGTGGAGAAAGCTAGGTTGGTTGGTGACATCCTTGCTGGCACCAGAACTGGCACGTATTCAAGCCGACTTCCCAAATCGACAGGCTAATCAATTCTAGGTCGTCTTGACGGTATATTGCCAGTATGTCGAGGCCAGGGATCTGGGAAGCTACATGCAGTCAATGCTGAAGCAAAAAGAGCCACCTAACATGCTGAAAAGGATGACCCGTGCTAACACCATCTTCTTCAGCCTTGTTCAGATGCGCTCAGCCGATAACTCCAACGAAGATGACGAGGAAACCTCCCTCGGTGCGCAGCCTTGGACGATTACCCATTCCCTGTATGCTACAATGGGAGGTTTCGTCCTCGCATCAAGCGACCGAGCATCACTGCTAGGTCAGTCACACGCCCGGATGGTTATGACCGTCTCAGCCATCAAACTCGTTGCAAAACATGAGCCGGAGATCTTCACTACCTTATTAGAATCAGCAATACAAGATAATAGCACAGCGAGCACCTTCATCAAGTTTCCTGACATGTTCGCAAGCGCTGTGGTTTTGCATTCAATGCCTCACCAGATACATATAATGTCTTTCCGTCTCTCTCCTAGAAATCAGTACTGTAGCTCACGCAATATGTGCTCTCGCTCTGTATTTCTTCTTCTGGTGGAACAAGCCTCTGGGTGTTGATGAAGGAAGTCCCCTTCCGCCTGAGGCCAGTAGCCAGATTGGTGCTTACTTGACGGCCTGCATCAAGCTTGGCCGACGCTTTGAGTTTGGCCCCGTACGTGATCGAAAATTTGTGACAGATTATAGAGATTTTTTACACATTGAGTGGCCAGCTCATGCGTCTGAATCAGTTAGCAATGGTTCTCAATACTCTTCACTCGACAGCATCGACTCTTTTGGAAGCGGATCTGCGTCCGACAATTCTCCGCATCAAGACAAGAGAATCCACGAGTTCTTCGTGGAGCGATACCGCAGCGCCGACCAACCCGCAACCGGCGAAGAAGTGGCATTGCTGAAGCTCGCCTCGAGCTTCGCACGTAAACACGGCATCACTGGTGACCTGAAAAAGTGCCTCCACGAAGTCTGCTCGAAAGATCTGCATGAAAAACTACTCACAACACGAATTCAAAATCTTCCAAAAGACCACTTCATCTACGGACCTCTGCCGACGCGCACATACGGAACGCCGACACCTCATCTTGGCTTCTGGGAAAGGCTGAATCGAGGCATCCTCATGAACGGACTCATCATCACGAGCTGCTTTTACGGTGGCTTCCATCTACTACGGCGTTGGAATCACGAATTCCGGACCAGCACCGAAGAGCTCCTCTGGAAGATCTCTGCACTCACAATTGCGACTTTTGGTATTGCATATCTTGTCGGCATTTATCTCTTCGGCCGAGTCGACGAGGGTTTCTTCGAACGGCATGACTATGTGTATTGCTGCTGCGCCGTCAGTCCCAACATCCTTGTAACGCTGTTCTACATCTTTTGCAGGGTGTACATCATCATCGAATGTCTCCTGGATGTTTTCCATCTCCCTGAGTCGGCATTCAGAGTGCCGCAATGGTCGCAGTACTTTCCACATCTTTCTTGAACTGAGCGGAATGAGAGCGACGCGGGTTTACGCACATAGTCATTCGCCAGCTTTCACGTTATACGCAAGTCTGGATAGGAACAAAGACTTGCTAGCACAATACAGAATGCTAAAACAGCCGCGAAGTTGTACAGCCTTCACTGCGGCACACAGAGCTCCGAATATGCAACCGCGATACATTCTGGTTGTCAAACACTGCACATCATACATTCATCGATTTCGTCAAGCACATCAGACCTCATCTTCCACTATTTTGCATCCCTATTCCCCTTGGCCCACTCCCTGAGCACATTCTTCTTAATCTTCCCCGTACTCGTCTTTGGCAGCTCAGCAACAACCTCCACCTCCCTCGGCACCATGAATCTGCTAATATTGCTATTGTCCTTGGCCCACTGGATCACCTCAGCGCCCAGCGTCTCGCTATTACTCCCGTCTTTCGTCGTCACGAAGGCCTTAGGCCGCTCACCCCAGTGCGAATCTGCGACGGCGCACACGCCGACTTCCAGGATGGACGGGTGCGTGGAGAGCATGGCTTCGAGGGCAACGGAGGATATGTTTTCGCCGCCTGAATCAAGTCAGTATCAAGCCAATGAAAGAAAGAGAGATCGAGACCAACTCACCAGAAATAATTATATCCTTGGCGCGATCCAGAATCTGAATCGCGCCATCAGGATGCCAAACCGCCAGATCACCACTATGAAGCACGCCGCCCGCCCACAATTTGCGCGTAGCTTCGGCGTCCTTGTAATACCCCTTTGCGCAAATGTTCCCCTCGAACACGATTTCGCCGATTTCCTGGCCGTCGCGCGTCACGTCGATGAGGACGCCATCGGCTTGCTCCGTCTTGATAACGCGCACGGGAAGCGCCATGATGAAGCCGTGTCCCTGACGCGCCATCTTCGCGTACTTTTCTTTCTCGGGGATGGTCTCCCACTCGGGCATGTGGTAGCCTTTTGTGATGGGGCCGTATGTTTCCGTCAGGCCGTATGTGTGGACGGGATGGAGGTTCAGGTTGGTCATTTGTTCGAAGAGCCATGCTGAAGGCGGGCTCGCGGCGACTGTGACGCGGACCTCCTGTGGGAGTTTCTCTGCTTCTTTTGCGGCGCAGAGGAGCGTGTTGACTGTCGGCGCGGCGTTGAAGTGCGTGATGCCTTCATCCTTCAACAGCCGCCATATCTCGGGGTAGTCGATTTTCCGCAGACAGTAATGCGTGCCTCGCACCGCGGTGACAGACCACGGGAACATCCACCCCATCGCGTGAAACATCGGCAGTGTCCAGAGATACTTCGCCCGGCCGGTGTGATAGTTCAGCCCCGATTCGATGATATTGCCCATCGCCGCAAGATACGCGCCGCGGTGCGTGTACTCCACGCCCTTCGGTCGCGCCGTCGTGCCCGAAGTATACGCCAGCGCAATGATATCTTCCTCATTCCCCGCCTGCGCCTCCAAATCCTTCCACCCTTTCCCACCCATCTCAACATCGAACTTCAGTCCCTCCAACACCGCCTCATCAAACGGCCCCGAAAGCTCGCCCTCGGTCGCATCCGTGTCGTTATCGACCAGAATCGGCACGCCCGGCCTCTCCTTCCTATACTCATCCAATAAGCCAACGAACTCAAAGTCCGCAATAATCATATCCACGTCCGCGTGCTGGAATATGTAGCTAATGTCATCGTGTTTCAGCCGATAGTTGATCGCGACATTCACACTCCCCGCCGCTGCGATCCCATAGATACTCTCGAGAAACGCAGGCGTGTTGGTCGCGAGTATGCCCACTCTCTTATATCCATGTTTGCGCAGATAATACGCCAGACCGCGCGCCCGGTCCGCTACCTCTTCATACGAGCGGCGCAAGATCCTGCCGTTCGCAGTTTTGTGGTATATAGCCGTTGCCTTGGGTTCGATTTGCGCCGCGCGGGGGAGGAAGAATGTCGGGCTGAGCGTGTGGAAGTTGTGCCGATGGTGGTATTCATGGCTGTCGCCGGGCTGGATGGGTGGAGGGCCGGGGACGGAGGTGGCGGAGGTGAAGTGCGATGCGAGTTGCTTGAGGCGGTCGACCATGTTGACGTACAACTACAGAATTGAGGGTGTGGGGGGAAAGGTTTGGGTATATCAAGACTGCGGAAGCGTTCCGAGAGCGTCGGCTGCCCAGGTGCGGAGAAGGGTCGGTGATCGTAAGGCGATTTAGTGGAATATCACTCGATGCAGTTGTGATACAGCTACTGCTCTATGTCTGACATCCACAGTCAGCAATGCAATCTTTGCGCTGACAATTGCTGAGTATGCACTCGAGAGAGCTTGCGAAACCTGGGGTAAGGATCCAACGCGTCTTGGAACGACGTCACAACCGAGGTTAAGCGCCCATTGGCCAGCCTCGCGAGCTCCATTTCACCGATGCAGAACTCGTCGTAGGGAGACACGTCGATGGACGAAGGCAAGCTCACCAAGGGGACAAAACGAAGTGAAGAAAGTGCGAAGGGCACAGACGAAGTGAAGAAAATGGTATATTCTGAGCATAACGCCATCACAATGCTTGTCGTGCAGCCCTGGAATTTTCATTTCGTATTTTCTTCTAGCAGACCGACCGTGAAGAGACCCATAACATGAGCACCCTGTGGATATGCTCTTTTAGCCTGGACACCCTTTGGAATGGTCGAAGTATAGTAGAGGTAGAAAAGATCCCATGAGCCCAATGCATCCCACGCCGAACCACATCACCGACACCGACACTGTTCATTAACTGCCGACGTCTAGTAGCCGAGGGAGGTGAGGGACTCGACGATCTTGCCGTCAACAGACGCGGACTTCTTGGCCTCAGCCAATTGCCTCCTGGCCGCCTTCTTGCGCTCGTAGTATGCGGCACCCTTGACCTTCCTGCGCTCCTCGAGACTGGGGTGTTGTTAGTGTTATTCATGCCAGGCGAAAGATTGTACGTACCGAGCGACAACGTCCTGGTACTTCCAGCCAAACTCGTGTCCGAGACGGCCGACAGTGCAGTACTTGCGGCCGGGCTTCAGCCTCAGTACCCTCAAGGCCTGGGGGACGACGACGCGCTTCTTCTTGTCGTAGGGGGGAGGGATACCCTCGAAGGTCTTGAGGCGCTCCATGGCGGCGTTACCGCGGGCGGTCTTGTGGGGAATCATGCCGCGGACGGTTCGCCAGAACATCTTGGAGGGGGCGCGGAAGTGGAAGGGTCCTGCTATGGTCAGCGATGCTCGAGTGCGGCGTAGCAATCGTTCTCGGGTACGTACCACCACGGGTGGGGTTGTAACGGGTCTGCTTGCGCATGAAAGCAGAGTACTTCACTGTGGTGGGATGTCAGTCCGTGATCTCGTTTCGTCTCCATGACGCGAGCGTGCGATCGGAAGCAGGCCACATTGCAAAAAATTGTCGACACAACATCCTCCACCACATCGCTCAATTTTCCGTGTGCCTGCCTCGCTTGCTCGCTCGTGTCGGTGTGTGGGTAAACGTACACTTGGCGCGGAAGAACTCTCCAGAGATGTTCAGAGCCTCGCAGCGCACAACGACAATCTTCTGTCCGTTGAGGAGCTGCTTGGCGACGGTGCTGGCGAGGCGACCGAGCAAGTGCCCCTTGCCGTCAATGACCTGATTTCACAAGTCAGCCAGAGGTTCCATACGAAATTTGCCGTGTCGGGATTGAGCAACGCAGCGCGGGCGGCGACTGCGGCAGGCGACAGAAGGAGTTTTCGTGTATCGGAAGGTACGTACGATGACCGGTTCGAAGGTGGACATGGTGTCGATTCCGGGTGTTGTGCTGGAGGTTAGTGTCGAGGTCTTGTCGTGTGTCGCGAATATTGATGTGAACGATGGTGCTCCTCGCTTAGTTAGTTGCGTTAGTCCCGACGCAGCCTTAGCGCCGTCCCTCCAAATCACATTCAGCAACGACCACCATCAAAATGATGGGAAGTGGAGTGTCTTCTGGTCGGCTGCAGTTGTATACCAAGTCTTTGTGCAGCACTTGTAGCCTAAGGACACTGCGTACAGCTTCGCCCTGAAGGACGGCTACTGCTTGATGCACTGTTGCTTTTCGCCGCAGTTGATAGCATGTAGTACTAGAGCATTTTACGATAGTAAAGCACTTCCATGTACCTAGGTGCCTGCTTGACCGATGGCATTCGCTACTCAATTCGTGGATGCATCTTATATGGCGCTGTAGGCATCACATCGCACGCACTCCAGATGTAATCATGCCGCTCTTCCACTCGATTTCAGCTCAGATATGCTCTCTGCAAGGAGTTCCAGTGAAACCATACCAGGCCCTCCGAGTAATCAATTGGATGCTGAAGATGATGCAGTATTTAGCAGTACGCAATGAGGTTGTCTCCCTTTCGCAGCTTGCGCACATGGCCTCCCATCTCAAATTGACCCGACATTTGTGACTTCAGCAAAGTTGTCGTCTCCAGCGTAAGCTGATCATCCCGTCTCAGCCTTTCGCCGCGCATAGCGTTAACCGCGATCCGTATCTCCACCAAGTGTGCCTCGGATCAATTTCGCCACACGGCAAAAGCTCAGCCCTACGAGGCTGCACCCGCAGCTACCGTACATACTGAGATTCTGGAAGTCGAGACATCGACATTCAACACTTGAAAGCGGCACATGGTTGCTGTTCCACAACTCGCTCAAAAGTCGTTCCAAACCCTCCCCTCCTTCACAACTACGTGAACCCTTCCACTTCATCGAAACCATCTCACCCAGTCTCTACCACTACAACATCCATAAACAAAACGCTTACACTCTCCCTCAATCGTGATGAGACACTACATATCCACTTCCTCGTGACTTCACGCTTCCTTTTCGCTGCGACAATGGACACGGGTGAACACAAGCGGAGATGCTACAATTCGTCCGAGAAATTCTTACCTAAGGATTACGCGAACTTCATGCGCCACACTTATCTCCGGATGGTCGCGTCTTGGCTTGGCTTCTGGTGGAATTTACCGGTAGCGCTTATCTGCGGAATGGGTAATTTATGTTTTGATGGTATGGTACGGCTGGTTGGGAATTATTGGTAGACATGTACTGTGCGGGTTAATGTTGACAAGCATATCAAAACTCAGAATCACTGGTGTCTTACGAATACTTTGCCGAGCGGACAAGTGAGGGAGGAGAATGTCTCGTTGCAATTCCTGCGCGTGCTTTGTAAAAAATACAGACTTTTGAGCGATACTTGTTGGCGAAGCATAAGCCTGGATGAGATCTTATAATTATCAGCCTCTAGTTCATGGCCAATTTTTTTTTTGGAAGCATCCAGCCCCCACCAAAATATGCACACCAAAAGATAGCGCTACACCCGCATCGTGACCCTAACCGGGAGCCCATCAACAGGATGCGCTCCCCCTCCCCCCATCTCCGCCTGATACGCCCGATTCCCATCCACCATCTTAACCCCCTTTCTCGGATGCATCTCATCCCACTCCCCATATGCCTCCTGTACATCAAACATCCTAACCGTCATAACCAGCGCAACCTTCAATTCCAACTGCGCCAGCGTCTGTCCAATACACGCCCTAGGCCCCCACTCAAACGCCCTCCACGCGCCTTTCTTCGGATACAAAGCGTCATCAGGTCCGACGAGCCAGCGTTCCGGAATGAAGTCTTCGGGCTGTGTGAAGACGGACGGGTTATGGTGCATTGCGAGGCTGAGCGTCCAGATTTGACAGCCGGCAGTGGGATATTGCTGGCCATGCTCATCGGAGAGGAAGAGATCGGGACGGCCGGCGCGCATGCTGCCGGCTGGTGGGAAGATGCGGAGGACCTCTTTGACGACGGCTAGGGTGTAGGGGAGTTGGTTTAGGAGGGTGGGGTCGGTTGTGATGGACTGGGTGATGTTGGAAAGAGAGAAGTCGGGGCCAAATACCTGGTCGTGTTCGGCACGGACTTTGGACAGAACAAGTGGGTGGCGAGATAGGAGTAGATAGCTGTACAGCAATGTGCTGCTCGTGGTATCGTGGCCAGCGTAGAGAAATAAGCGAAGTTGAGGCTTCGCGAGCTGCTTGAAGGCCGATTTTGACACCTCTTCTTTGTTCTCTACATCGTTTAGGTACTTGTCCATAGCCAATGCAATGATAGACCGAGATTGTGAGCGAGAATTCTTCGCAGAGTTTCCGCGAGAGCTGGCTAGTTCTTCGAAGCGTTTGTCGATCTCCTTGTCGAGGTACTGGTTCATACGATAACTGTTGTACTTTTGGACGAGTGGACGAGGACTCAGATAACGCCGAATTGGGTTGAAGGTTGTGCCAAATTGAGTCCAATACACTTGTCGTCGGAGGCAATCTGCGAGAGCACTTCCTTGGGTTTGGTAGTAGAGGCGCGCACCACTGTGTCCACCTTTTAGCAGTGGCCTTGCGCAGTTATTGCAAGCACATGATGGGAACTTACAGGGTAACACGTGCAATGATGTCAAATGTTAGTCTCAGCGTATGCTCCTCCAAAGGAAAGACCTCCCCCTTCTCCGCGCGGTCTTGAAGGAGTTTGCAGAAAACGGCAACCTCCTCTGCTATAGCGGGAGAAAGTCCTGTTATGTAACCAGCAGCAAATCCTGGATTGAAGAGCGCCCGCCACTTTTTCCACGTACTTCCATGCATTGTTAGTAGTGATGATCCGCCGTTGATAATCTCTAAGGTATCGCATATGTTTGCGGGCTTATCAAGAAAAGCTGCTTCGACTTGTGATGCCAACATAAGGAATTCGCGACTACCATGATGGGAGCGTTGAATGGCCATAGATTGAGATAGAAGATACCGCCAGGAAAATGACTCTGCTATTCGCCGGACTACTACATGCATTACAGTGTTGCGCGGAAGTGATTGTATTGCTTCTTTCAACACGATGAGATGGCCGAATAAAGGATGGTGTTTCGGCATTGGCTTGCCATCATTAGAGATGCTTCTGCCAGTATCGGGAATTCGACTCACTGCACCTCCATTTTTCAGCCTACTTACGTGCCGTCGATTGGCCATGAATCCGGCTATTATCACAACGAAGGCGCCCGCGACAACAGCCACGATAGCCGGCATGCTGACCCGCTTCATCTTGGCCAAGTGACCGATATTAGAGAATGTAGAAAGTGGCCAAATGGCGCCAGTGTGGTGAGAGATCTCACAAGGTTGACATTGCTTTGTCGATGAGGGCGCAAGGCGAAGGAGCAACAGGCAGCTGTGCCACGTGGGAATGGCGCTAGCGCTCTCTGTACCCGGCATATCACCTGCAGCGTAAGCACAGCACCGCCTTCCTGCACTCCAACACTAAAATTATAACCCCATCATTCCTCTTCGTGCCAGTCAATATTATCCAGCCGACATGTCGGTTTCCTCGGGGACTTTGGGATTCGCTGCTTCAACGCCTGCCACGAGCCCCACGCCGCTGACCGGTTATGGCCCCCAAAGCCTTACGCGCCCGCGTGCGATACCAGATCTTGGGATCTACTTATCATGGATTCATGTTCCGCCAGAGACTCTGCGGCTGCAGTTGTCTCCCCCTCGGATTTCTCTCTACTAAAACTAATTGCCAGCCATGTCGCTTGATGCAGCGAGCCTTTCGAAGCTACCGCCCGCGCAATATGTGCCTGGTAGACAGTACACTATCGACCATGCTGGGAGAATCAACAAAGAGCCATTCGTGGTATGAAACATGCCTATTAGCAATGCAATTTCCATGCTAACGTAAAACTCAGATCAGTACCAGCATTCTCTTTGGATTCGCCATTCTCTCAGTGCTAGCACGTTTCGCGATTCGCATCTTCGGCGGACGAAAAATCAAGTGGGACGATGGCTTCGTCCTGATCTCGTGTATCTGTCTTATTATCTCGTTCGCCTGCGTTCACAAGCTTTTGAACACTTTCTATCTCGTTGAGGCCATGAACCAAAAGATGGTGATCCCGTTCCGAGATGATATCCCTGCAATCTTCGACGTTCCCAAGTGGGCTTTCATGTTCTCCGTGTTCACTTGGACTTCTCTCTACTTCGTCAAGTTTGCGTTCATGTATTTCTTCTACCCTCTGACCCTCGGGCTGTCCATCAGGACCCTGCGGCTTTTCTGGGTCACTGTGGGCTTTCTTGTCGTTTGTTGGGTCTATGCGGTTGTCAACTTTGCAGTCATCTGTCCACACTTTGGTGCAAACGCAAGTCAGTTGACCATCAGTCCATTTCGAGATCAAAAGCACTAACTTCGTGCAGCCAAATGTAACACGAATCCCCAGCAACATGCAAGAAGTGTCGCGGGTAACGTTGTTGTCGGCGTCCTCGACATCATATGCGATGTCCTCAGTACGTCATGTGGCCCGCCAGCTCCAAATGAGGATCAAAGACTGACTCTGTATAGTCGTGAGCATTCCCATTCTTGTCGTCAACGAGTCAATGATGCCACTCTCCCGCAAAGTATCGGTCGTGGCGCTGCTGGGCCTTTCAACATTCATGATCATTTGCACCTTGATCCGGGTGGTCGGTTCGGTGACCGAGACAACCGAGGCAGGACAAGGAACGGCACCGGTGTGGGCGATGTACTGGTTCATCATCGAAGGTTGCGTCTCGCTCATTATGGTGTCTGTCATTGTCATCCGCGGAGTTTTCATCTCCAAGGCCGTGGATGACGACCGACAGAAGCAAGATAGCATGTTGCAGCAGTTTGGGCGTCGTCTCTTGTCTATTTTGAGGCTTTCCAGATCCTCAAGCAGCAGGTCGAGCTCCGAATTAAGCGACTCTCTCCACGAGCGCAAAGATACAAGCGCGCCGAGGATCGCTACTCAGAAAGTCCACGGAGGGACGATGAACACTGTCCGATCATTCATCTCGGGAGGTAGGATGCAGCACCGGACGCAGAACGATACGCAGCTGTCAGTAGACACAGACTACAGTGCTGAGGTTCTGGACTACCACAACGTACGCAAGGCTGAAGTATCGAAACATACGCCATAGCCGATCACTCAGGAATCAGACGGAGAAAGGCTATGAGCGATGGCTGTCGGAAGTCGAACGCGCATTGATGAGCTGATGAAACTGTATTTATTATTAAAGAACACGCATGCTGGATGACAGAAGACGACTTTATTAGTCAGACCAAATTTGGTGACTAATCACACGTTTCAAAACCGCTTCTCACACAGCTGTCAGTTCACACCAGCGAAGCTAGCCAGTCACATCGACGCTACCGGCAAGCTGCCATCTCCGCGGTCAGCAAGCCGGGACTGGAGCACTTCCTTGGATCGTCTGGCAGAACGGGAGATCCTCCGACTTTGGATTAAGCAGGTCAAGCGGTAGAAACCGGTGTGCTTCATGGGATTGTTGCAGCCCGATACCAGGCGCCTTTGCCCGATCAGTCCATCAGGCATGGCCCACCCTAGCGATACACTGGGAACTGACGCCACTTTCCATCAGGCCCCTGGTCACAAAAATGCAGTCAAGCCGCATCTAATTGCAGGCCACAACCTGCATCGCTTGGCGGTGTGGCTGACCGGCAGCTAGCACAACCTGAATGGTCAGGCTGGTGATGCACTGACCCGCAAAAACAACGACTGCTCACCGATGCACACAGCAATGTTGTAAGGCCTGGCACGGCCATTCGCTAGCCCTTGTGGCTCAACCACATGAGCGCCAAGTATCATCAATCCACATCTTCGGGACAACCGAGGACGAGTGAGACAGGCTCCTTCAACCAGAGTCACAGATGCGACCGAGTGCGGAGGTGGCCATCACTTAAGTAATCTCACGGCTCGACACCCACCTTTCCCAAACATCCGGAGAGCAGCGCCAGGAAGGTTCTGAACCGAGGCGTGAGCCCTAAGAGGTGGACTGCAGACCTCCTTGCAGCCAATATTCATGTTGACTAATTGTGCCATACGAGATACGGCAGCAACTTAGGCGGGCAGGCAGACCCACATGGGATTCGACGACAGCGATAAGATCAGCGTCATCGCGGAGAGCGGTAGTTTTTTCACATGAGACACAGGACAATTTGTGTGTCCAGACCTCCTCCATATCCTCCATGCCCAAGGCTCGGCGTGAGGTTTGCTGTGGCACGAGTTCTGCAGACTTGGCTCTTCGAAGCGGTACCAAGGCATGGCAGAGTTCGTCGTTCGTGCGTGCGACGAGCAATAATGCTCGGCATGCCAACCAACCGCAAGAGGACAAGACCCACCAGCCCCAAAGTTCAAAGCCACGCTGTCACAATTGCAGTGACTTTATCCCGGCGCTACCAATTTTCGCGTGCAAAGAGGCTGGGTGCAGTTGGATGTGGATGTGCAGGTGGTTCGGCGCTCGCCTGTCCGACATGCTCCGATTGAAACTCCGCATTTGGGGGAGAAATATGCAGCCTTTGGCCCCCATGACGAATGTGTTTGGGGGATCCCCGATTACGGGCGCCTGACGCCTTCATCCCGAACGGTGGGACCGGAAGATCACTGCCCACCGGTCGAGGCTTTAGAGCGCGCGACGAAGCAGCAGAACACCATCGGCTACGATCGCACAGCGGATCAGACCAGTCAGCGGGCGCATCGAAGAAAACAGCGTGCTTCCTGCTCCGCTTCGCGCCGGTAAGCCCCAAGAACCTAAGGCTCTTCACAAAGGTCTTGGAGTGGCGTGGGTGGCGCCCTCACGTCGTCGCAGCCAATGGGCAGCGTCCTGGGCTATTATACAATGACGCCACAGGTCGTCAATAGGCGAATGGCTGTGCTCTTTTGCTTGGCGACAGTGGTAATGCAGCGTCCGCACTCCTGGCTAGACACATCCGGTAGTGTTAATAAAAAAAAAGCTTCGAAGAGGGGTATAACGGTGATGCAATGAATGCACAAAACGTCACCACCACTCACTGTTCTTGCAGTATCACAGGCCGACGAAAGGCTCGCAATCGACTTGGAAGTACACGCTTGTGGCTATGCTCTGCACCACTTGGCCGCTGTTTGGCGCGAGCCAGCGGACGAGTTGACGGGTATAACGCGACTCGGTCCCGGTGCTCAAAGGGCGGGACGATGCCATGCAACAGCGCTAAGACACTCCATCAGAATCCTATTCCTTGACCCACCGCTCCGCCGCTGACTGACCCCTGCCATGATTACCCGACCCATTTGCTCTTAGGCGCAGCATCCCCCAGCCACAGCCATGTTCCCCAACTGTCGCCATGGCTTCTCCAGCCCCTACCACAACTGAAGGTCTTCCTACAGGCTCCGGCCAATCTGGTCAGTACGAATCGTCGCAGCACGAGGATAGTGCCGAATCTGGAGAAGATGTCTCTCCAACGCGTGAATTCACCGACGGCCAAGCGCCGAAGCCACAGCCACTCCAAAAGAGGCGCCGGGTAACACGCGCATGCGACGAATGTCGGCGCAAGAAGATCAAGTGCGATGGAAAGCAGCCATGCACCCATTGCACCGTCTATAGCTATGGTGAGTTTACAACTTCTTCAATCTAGACCGACGTGCTAATTTCTGTAGAATGGTAAACGCCACTCACCTACTCGTCATGTCCTGTACAAGTCCGTTAATTATAATAGTTCCTACGACCAACCGTCGAATCGTAGACGAAATGCTACGCCTCAGTATATCGAAGCATTAGAAAGCCAATTGAAGCGCGCCAAGGCGCTTCTGCATGTTGTCTTTCCCACAGTCGACCTGAACGACCCTAGCATTGATTCCCATCTTCAAAGTGGCCTGCTCCCGCAATTACCGGTCGCAGGCCCACGGCCCCAGGCTGTACAGACTGACCCACGTCTTCTGCCGAGCCATGGAGATCAGCCACTCGAAGACGTGAATGATTCGCACCTGGAAGCCATGGTGAAGGCCACAGGCCATCTGGATCTTGACGAAGAGGGCAACTGGGACTACCATGGTCACTCGTCAGGGGTAAGCTTCATGAGTGGACTCAGACAATTCGGGGAGATGTTCCAAATTCCAGCCGATTCTTCTCCGTCCCTCAAGCATCGTTCCATGTCTCAAGGCCCGCCGTCACCCAATTCAACTCTATCTCTTGCCGATACTTCCTCTGCCACTCCAACCGGAGCCGATCTACCTCCCAAGGATGAAGCGCAAGCCTTGTGTGATGCCGCCATTGTCGAAGCCAGTGCAATGCTCCGAGTCGTGCACTTACCCACTTTCTATAAGCAGTTCGATCGCATGTGGGAATTGTCTCCGGACCAATACGGCAATGCAGAGAACGGCTTTCTTCCCCTCCTTTTTGCCGTGCTCGCGCTCGGAAAGCTTTTCTCCAAACACGACAGTGACCTCGACAAAGCCAGCTACGAGACATTGATTGACGAAGGGTGAGTTGGTTAGAAACGTGGGATGATGTGAAGGCTAACTGCGCCAGATACAAATACTTCCGAGCAGCACGGCAACTCATCGACGTCACCGACTGCAGAGACTTGACCGCGCTTCAGACCATTATTTTCATGATCCAATTCCTGCAATCATCCGCAAAGTTGAGCGCTTGCTACGCGTACATTGGAGTTGCACTTCGCTCAGCTCTCCGCATGGGACTACACCGCTCCTTCAACACTAACTTCAACACCGTCGAATCGGAAACCCGCAAACGCATATTCTGGGTGATACGGAGGATGGACTCGTATGTTGGAGCCATGCTTGGTCTTCCACGCTTTCTGGAAGACGAGGATATTGACCAGGGCTGGCCGGCCGAAGTGGATGATGATTACATCACCGAGGATGGCATCTTGCCAATGCCGGAAGGTAGCATCTCGGTCATGGTCGCCTTCAATGCCCACACTCGGATTGTGCAGGTTCTGAGTAAGATCTGCAAGTATGTGTACCCGATCAAGGGAACGCATTCAAGTGACAAGAATTCGGTAACATACACGGTCAGCTATTCGAAAATTCGAGAGCTCGAGCAGGATTTGGCGCAGTGGCTTGATGAACTGCCAGCAGCACTTAGGCCTGGGGGTGAGCAATCAGCTTTGATTACCAGGTAAGTCGTGCCCTATTAGGATAAAGATGGGGTATTAATATGGTTCCAGAGTTCAGCAAATGCTCCGTATGGCGTTCGGACATGCGCAACTACTACTGTATCGTCCATTCCTTCACTACGTATCTCAGGCCAGCAGCGGCAAAGTGGTCGACCAAAGAGCATTTGCATGCGCTTCTGCATGTGTGAGCGTGTCACGCAACATTATCCACATTTCGACAGAAATGCGAAAGAAGGGAGTACTAGCTGGAGCATACTGGTTCTCCATGTACACCACATTCTTCGCCATTGTCTCGATTCTGTACTTCGTCCTCGAAAATCCTACCAACCCCACCAGCTTCGATCTCCTACGAGACGCGGTGGAAGGCAAGGAGGTCTTGGCGTTCTTTTCGAAGCGAAGCATGGCGGCTGACAGGTGTAGTTCTGCGTTGAAGGTGAGTGATTCCTAGATCCATGCAGAATCAGCACTAACGATTATCCAGAGCATGTTTGAGAGATTGCCCGAATCGATCAAGCACGGCGGCGAGATCATCGAATCGAAGAAGAGACGCCATGACAGCTCGCCGCAGTCATTTGCTCCACGGCCGGATCTACTCAAAGACGATTTCATGGCGCCGCGTCGTGCAAGCACCTTCCCTGAGAGCATGCCCGATGTCAAGCGCACAGCTCTTTCACACTCTCTGCCTCTTTCGCAATCTCACCTTGCAAACTTAGGCTTGGATCCTGCGTACAACTCCCCTACTCCATCGGATGGAAGCTTCTTCGATTCAGTGCCCGGTCTTACTCCTACATCATCGACTGCAAGTTTGCAAGGCTTTGGACTTGGCCCAACGCAGACCCCACAACAGAGGTCATCATTCCCCGCAACACCGCTGGGCGCCAACTACGCTGACCCCTCTGGGCTGAACGTCCCAGACATTTCGACAATGATGTTCCCGTCAGCGGATCCGCTGGCATACCCCAATCAACCAATGACTGCATTTGAGAGCCGGCACCCGCAAATGTTTGACCGCAACACAGCTTCGCCAGCGGTCGGCATACCGCAGCCAATGTCTGGCATCGACATCAAATCGCACGCTGCACAGTTTGCGCCTCCAGGGTTCGGGGCCAATCAGCCCCGGCGGGACGGCGATGTGCAGCTCTTTGGACAAATGCCAATGTACCTCATGCAAGGCGGACAAGCCCAGCGGGGATTCCAGCCCCACCATGGAAGTCCCAACATGCACCTGCCCAGCAACAATCTGCAATTCGACGACCTGCTGAACCAAGACGAATGGGCAAATTCCTTCCTCGACCCCAGTCTGGGTTTGAACAACAGCCCCGCGCAGTTTGGCGGGCGCGGGCAGTTTGCGCCGTCGGGACAGGGCATGGGTGGCTGGCGTTGAGGCGCACCACCGCTGCCGATCCCTGCCGGAGCACAGCCATGACGTGGCACAGGAAAAAACTAGTGTGGCTGCGACTCGTGGCGAGGATCGTGAACGTGAACGTGAACGCAGCGCAGGTCAGCTTCCAGAACAGATGACGTGGCTTGGACCGAATGGGTACCTGCCAAGAGAGACCTACGCGGCCTCAATATTACGGAGCGATACCCGACGAGCTTGTACACGGAACGACTTTTATGGAATTCCTTTCGCACCACGATTGACGGCCGATATTATCTTTCGCAAGCATGACGTCTGCTTAAAAGTATCCGCTGGACGTGACATCGAGTGGACACATTCTTGGCACACATCCTCGATCTCCGACTCATTTTCTTCTTGGCCCAGGCGCCGAACTTTGTACATCTTTCACACCGTTCATGATACCGGTACTCTCCTATGGGTGGGTGCTTCGATGATAGCGGCAAAGTCAATTTTCCTTATGAGAATGTTTCCTTTTTCTTCATGACTTGAACGACGACTGGCGCATTATCTGGCTAGACAAACTTTATACTTCGTTTCGAGGTTTATATACCCAGCGCATGTGCGCTCTTCAGCTAAAAACGACTTCGAGCGATACGAGGTTGGGCTGTGGAAATGTAGCAATGATAGACGAAACAAAGACGAATCGATATATCAGTGTTTTACCAACGAGACCTCCCTGCAAGTCGTCATGTGTACTGGCTCTTATACTACGACCATGATACATCGAATCTTGTCCTTCAATGTGTTCACAGTCGACAATGGAAATCGAAGGAAGATGGTGCCTGGAGTAGTTCCCCCCAACACGGCTAGTGGCACCAGCCACAGTGGCTCACCACCATTTTCAGCATAACGTCATTGTTGATTTCGCGACGACCTTGGAAGCGATTTCCTTTCTCACACAACCACACGCGCCGCCCTTTGTCCAAAACCACGGCGTGACATTCAAGCCTGCCCTTCACCTCCTCCCTTTCTGGCCTCGGCTTATCGATTTTCTGCTTGCAATCACCCGCAATGTCAACCCGCCGCAAACCCGTCGACGACCCCGTCCCTACAATGCCATCCAGCACCCAGCCGCCCCTCTCCTCAACTCGCCGCTCACCTTTCCTCCCCACCCGCCTCGAAGCCCAGTTAATCTCCATCTACCCGCTCACCCTGCTCCTCGGCAGCATCTTCAGCACGCTCTCGCCCACCTCCCGCAGCGCGCCCTACTCCGCCGATTCGCAATCCCACCTCCCCGAATTCGCGCCCTCCTACTTCGCGCAGAAGAAAAATGTCTTCAACGTATATTTCGTCAAGGTCGGGTGGTTCTGGACGACGCTCGCATTCGGCGTGTTCGTGGGCTTTCACCCGGGCTTCGGTGCAGGCATAAGTAGGCGGAGGGTCGCTGCGATCATCAGATATGTGGTCATCACGGGCTGGTGGGTGGCGGTTACGCAGTGGTTCTTTGGTCCGCCGTTGATCGATACCATGTTTCGGTTTACGGGCGGGCAGTGCGAGAGACTGAGGGATCCCGCGGAGAGGATGGATATGAGCGATACGAGGGAGTTCATTACTGCGGCGACATGTAAGGCTGTGGGCGGGACGTGGAAGGGTGGACACGACATTTCGGGACACGTCTTTTTGCTGATTCTCGGGAGTTCGCTGCTCTGGCTCGAATTCCTACCCGCGCTCACAAGGGTCGAGGGTCTCCGTGACGGCCGGTTGATCACGCTGGCAGATGGCAAGACGGCGAGTGTGGCAGTGGAGAAAGAGAGGGTGAAGGTTGAGGGCGATGCGACGGCGAGGGGCGTCAAGTTTGCACTCGGCGTGGCGGGCCTCATGTGGTGGATGCTGCTGATGACGGCGGCATATTTTCACACGTGGTTTGAGAAGTTCACAGGGCTTGCGGTGGCGTTTACAGGGTTATGGGTTGGTGTACTTTATGCCCAGGGGGGGTGGCGGCGGTCAAGGCCGGTATTAGGCATGCCGGGTGTTTGAATGGGATGGCCAGATGACGACATGTGGATTATGAAGGAACAGAACACGGTTAGCTTAACATTTATTAAGGAAGACTTTTAACCCCTCCCTTTGAGGTTACATCACGGTTAGACGATCAAACGACGTCGCTAAGTTTTTCGTCGTGAGACGGGGTATATAAACCTACCCTCCTTACTCTCCTTCTTGTTTCTTCATCATACAAAACACCTTTTATTCTACCAAAACTCTGCGTCCTGTTCTTTTATGAGTTCATCTGTCCTTCTCTCTCCCAAAACTCAAGCTCGACATGTCGGATGTTTTGTTCTCGATGTCTTCCGCGCTTCCAAACCACAGGACTAACGACTACAATGTTTCCATCTTTCAAAATCGACGCTCACCACGCATGACTTTGTCTCCTTCCTGCTTGGTCTACAAAGTGAAGAGAAGGAGAACCATGTTCTCGACTGTTTGGCTGGATAAAAAGAATTGACTGGTGAATGTTTGCATGTCCGCACCAAAGTTTTGAGGGAAGATGAAGATGGTGTTTTGGCGTGCGGTCTGAAAATCAAGAATAATGTGATTACATCGTTCTTTGTCTGATGCTGGAGACTGAATATCTTTGCTATTTGGTTTGCTACCATGCGTCTTTCTTCGCTACATCGCGCAAAGTGCGCGGCTTCAAAAACAGGGTGAAATATATACAATGTCTTTTCTGGAAACTAGAAGGGTTCCCGGGATGTCTGTGGAGATGGAAACAGAACCTCGAGGATTTAATGTCTTAAACCTGAGTCTTGCTCTCAAGCATATTCTTTTGCTTCTCTAGAAACGCTGACCCACACTACAAATGACTGGGCTGCTGGTCTTCGGGGCTATTTCAAAAACACTCTCTCGCCTTGGTATTTCTTCCGAAAAGTCCTAACGCCTACGTTAAATGTCGTCCACAATGCACACCACGAGGTCCGGATGTTCCGGCTCGCACTAGCGTCATGACAATGTATGAGGTCTTCCCTTTCTCGGCTTGAACCTCTTCTTGATCATACACAAAAAGTCTTCGTTTTCTCCAAAAAACGTCAACGATGTAGCTATGTCTGTGCTCCGACTGTTTGGTTCCAAAAACTCATAGACTCATTTGATGTGCTGCTATTCTTCTTGGCACAAATGAACACCCAGAAATTAGAAATTCTATGACTATCTGTGCGTGGTCACAAAGGCATATACCATCGACGACATGTGCGTCGCCAGCTTTTCTCGAGCCTTTTACTCTCAAATGATCAGAGCTAAAGACATCACTCCTCTGCTGCGTCTCAAAAGCATGTGGAAGATATCCATGCTCCACTATCCCCTCTCGCTCTATCCCAAATCGTACAGCTTTGTTTCTCGTGGCGTATTCTTGACTTTGGTAGGCAGCTACCATATATAAACATCCTCTTCCCCAGCTTGGACTTGAACTTCATCACCACATAGTCTCCGGGCTTATACAAGAAATGCAGTGGAGCAAGACCAATGTCCTGTGTGCTCTTCTCCCCCCTTCTCCAGACACCAGGGGAATACGACATGTTTTCCAAGATTCTTGAAAAAATCAGCTTTTACGATGGCATCACTCAAAACTATCCAACCGCTAGTACCATATCTTTCCCGCCCAAAAAGACCTCTTTTGCGATGCCCGGCGATTTCAAATGACGACCAAGAGTATCTCATGTGTCGCTCTTCCTCCAAAACAGACATCGGACATGTGATGTCTTTGCCCTGCTGTCTCAAAAGGATGCAGACAAAGAGAACATGCTTGGTCCGAGCGGGAGGTGGATATACAACTATCGCGCTGATTTGCGGTAGTGCTTCTCTAACGAAGGCGATAGGTGCTTTGGTCCAAAAGCTCCATGCATCGATTGTCATGTGTGCTGTGGCTCTTCTTCATCAAAATCTGATGGCAATAAAGGCATATTTGCGGATCTGCTGTTCTTAAAGTGGTGCTCAGAATAATGAAGATCTGGACCTTATGCGTGTTGCCGACGGCCAAAAGCTCCTTTCTCAGGCATATATGGAAAGTAGGAGGCAAAGTTCCGTTGAGCAGTGTTCATGTTCTTTTTAGATGACCAGGAAGTATGCGCGACACTACCAAGCGTACGGGTTTGCGGGCGTCATGTGATCGTGATGGTGGGAGAGGTATAAGTACCGCCTTCTCTTACTCTTCTTGCTCATCAACCAGCAATCTGCTCTCTCTGAGTCCAGATAAAAAACTGGATAACCAGCAATATTTGACTTTTGTGCTGAAGTCTTCTTTCAAAATATCTCAACATCGGCAAATGTTCTTGCTTCGTGCGGCGTGAGAGCGCCCAAAAGGCTAGGTTCTTTTGCAATGATGTCTTGCGCTCGGAACCGCCCTTGGGAAGCCCATTGATAAACGGATTTCGATCCAGAACCCCTCAGTACATATTATGCCCAGGGCGATGAAGCCATCTTCATCTTCCAAAGCCCGGCATCACTTCTCCCGGACTCGCTCAGTAACTTCACAAACCCATGCTTCTTGTTACACTCAACAATCGCTTCTCCAAGCACCATTCTCAGTTCGTGCCTGTCCGTGTACCGCAATACCCATTTGACGAAACTATGCAGCACTGCTCCTAACCTTAATATCTTTTCGCTGCACACCGATCGATACTTTCCGAAGTGCGGGATGTGTCTGCCTACCGACGTTGCTTGCTCCGAAGTAGCATAGCTTCCGAGTACTTCAAATACAAAGCTAACATCAAGCTTTAACTCTTCGGCGGGTTTGACCACTATTGCTTCCATGAAGAATGCGCGATCGCTGTTGGGCACGGTGAGCCACTCCGCCCTGCTCACTTTCGCATGCATGTTGTTGATTAGCTGTGCGAGACCAAGTAATGTTCGTTATTCCTCTTCGGCGAGAACACTCGCCACGTCCTTCGATTGAAGCGACTTTTGACGCAGCGCGGCTTTCAGGATTCACAAGTCCGCCTCGAAATTGATAGCGACCATTTCCGTCAGATAGCGGCGGAGTTGCGAAACGGCTACTCGACCAGCGTGACTTTCAGTGTATTCGACGAGATCGTCATAATCTTCCCACAGGCCAAGGCCTTCAGCGGCAGGAGAATGTGGCGCATGGCTGAGTGCGGAGGTGTGAGTGTCATCAGCGTCGTGTCTTGTCTTCTTAGACAACGTCAGTAGTTTGGCTGTTTGGATTGCTTTGCTGATGCTGGTTTCTAGATACACGATGTTGATGTTTTTGGAAGGTTAGCGCGAGCAGCGTGTTAGATATCTGCAACCAGATAATATGCATTTGTGGTACCATGGTTCGAGACGGAGCTAACGGTGGAAGAGCCACAAATAGATAGCTAAAAGTGGACGGGATTTCGATACTCTCGAGGTGCTGAAGAGTGTCGGTCATCCCCTGTATGCCTTCGGGATACAATGATATGCTGCCGAGTTTGACTGGTGTCATCAGGGGGGATGGAGAAGGTGCGGTTGCAGCTGAGTTTCAATTGCGGTTTCTGGACGCTTGGCAGAATCGGTGTGTCGGTTGCCTGGCGAGATCAACGTGTGACCTCCGGGCAATATGAATCGGTCGACCATTGTTCTTCTGCTAGGTAGTTTGCCCGAATCCGTGGAGGGTTGGTAACCCGTCCGGAGCCGATTCTTCATGCCATGGAGCAACGGTCAGTTCGAACTTCCGCCGAGATTTTGAATGCTTCCGCGTGTTTCCCCGAGCTCCTTTGGGAGAACACGCGGCAGTGCGTTCAATGAGGTGTTTGTTGTGTTGTCTCGCGCCATTGCCGACCATCGGGCTCTGCTCAGGGTTAAATCAAATGCCGTCCCGTGCATTCGCGCATCCGATGAACGCTCGACGTCATCATGCATATCGCGCAATCTTCTCATAGGAACACAAAGTGTCGAGATGCAAGGACGTTGAGGCTGTTGAAGACTTTGACGCATATCCCAATGCCAGGAAGGACCGACCTCAATCCCGCCGGTTTTCCGCCCGGCTAAACGCCGCAACGGGCGATCGTCTAACCGAATTCGGCACCGCATCCGCACAGAAATCGATGGCCATTTCGTCCGCATCGTCGCGCCGAGTCGAAGTCTCGATGACCCCGGCTTTTCTCCGCTTTCCCCTCATCCTCCCGTTGACAGTAGTCTTGTACAAACTAAGCATGCGGGAGCGATCTTGGGCGTATAAAATGGGGTAGTCCCGTCAGCCACCAACAAGCCAACGCCTTGGTAGTTCACAGACATGGCAATGTTCAAGAAAGTAAGCGTGTTGACGCTGTTGACAACTGCGGTTGTCGGGCAGGATGGTATGTTGGATTGAGGTAGAAGCATGTTGATATCGACTAACATCAACAGTCATCACCGCCACGGGAACGAACTTCTCGCTGAATGCGGAGGGAATGTCGTACCTGTTCCATGTTGATCACGCGTCTGGAGATTTGCTCGCAGACCACTTTGGTGGTTCTATCAGCGACTTCGTACCTCCAGCGCAGCCATGGAACTCTGGCTGGAACGATCAGCTGTCTAACAAGCGCCGCGAATTTCCGGACATTGGGCGCAGCGATCCTCGGTTGCCTGCGATTCACATCGAACACGCAGATGGCGATACTGTGTCCGCGTTTCGGTACCAGTCGCACAACATCACCGAAGGAAAGCCATCGCTACCAGGACTTCCGGCGACGTGGGGTGAAGCTGGCAACGTGACGACATTAATTGTTAACTTGTACGACAATGTTTCGGATGTCTCGGCAGCGCTCTCGTATTCCGTCTTTCCGCAGTACAATGCGATCGCACGGAGCTTCAGCATCACGAACCATGCCTCAAGCAATGGCACAGCACAAGGCTCTGGCCCAATCACTATCCAGCGAGCAGCAAGCTTTAGCACCGACTTTCCCAACGTCGATCTGGAAATGATCGAACCGTATGGAGACTGGTCAGACGAGTTTAACGTCGCCAGGAGGAAGGTTGACTACGGACGAACCTCGTAAGCATTGTCTATTGCTAATGAAAATAATTTACTAACTCCCACAGATTTGGTAGCCAGGCCGGTTATGCTTCTCACGTCCACAACCCGTTCTTCGCACTTGTGTCTCCGAGCACTACCGAGAGTGCGGGCGAGGCATGGGGATTTAGCTTGGTGTGGACTGGAAGTTTTGAAGCGACTGCCGAAAAGTACTCTAACGGCTTCACCCGTGTCTTGATGGGCCTGAACTCCCTGCACGCAAGTATCAAAGTGCAGCCAGGCGAAACCTTCCAGTCGCCAGAAGCTGTCGCAGTCTACTCATCCGAGGGAGTGGGCGGGTTGTCACGCTCATTCCACGATCTCTACCGCAACCATCTGTCACGCCACAAAGCTACAAAAGAGACACGGCCTATTCTGCTCAACTCATGGGAGGGCCTTGGCTTCAACATCAACGAGACTTCACTGGTCAGACTGGCGGAAGAGTCGGAAGAGCTAGGCATCCAACTGTTTGTGAACGACGATGGCTGGTTTGGTACTGAATATCCGCGTAACAACGACTGGACAGGTCTCGGAGATTGGACGCCGAATCCCCGTCTGTTCCCCAGCGGCTTCAAGCATTATGTAGACTCGGTGAACAACCTGACTGTTCTCAATGAGTCATCAACGCGCATGCAGTTTGGTATCTGGGTAGAGCCAGAAATGGTTAATCCCAATTCGTCACTCTACCTTGAACATCCGGACTGGGTCTTGCATGCCGGCAAGCACCAGCGATCATTGACACGACACCAGCTGGTCTTGAATGTGGGCCTGCCAGAAGTACAGGACTTCATCATCGATTTCATGTCGAAGATACTCGACTCGGCAAACATCCAGTACGTCAAGTGGGACAACAACCGTGCCATGCACGAGATGGCGCGCCCATCTGCCGGCTACGACTACATTTTGGGACTCTACCGCGTCATTGATAACCTCACCACGAAATACCCAGACGTACTTTGGGAAGGCTGCGCATCCGGCGGTGGTCGATTTGACCCTGGACTGCTCTACTACTGGCCCCAACACTGGACTTCGGATAATACCGATGCCTCGGACCGCATAACCATTCAGATGGGTACTTCGCTCGTCTATCCTCCTTCATCGATGGGTTGCCACGTGTCTGCAGTTCCCAACGGTGCCACAGCCCGCAATACCAGCATAGAGTACCGCGCCCACGTTGCCATGTGGTGTGGATCTTTCGGCCTCGAACTCAACCCCGAAGAGCTTACTCCTGTCGAAGCCGCCGGTCTACCTGGAATTATGGCTGCTGCCAAGCGCGTCAACCCTATTGTCATCAATGGTGACTTTTACCGCCTCGCATGGAAGGACAACAGCAACTGGCCTGCGGTGCAGTTCGTCAGCGCTGATGGAAACGACGCGGTTTTGTTTGCGTTCCAGCAGTCTTCAGTGGTGAAGCCTGCGATTCCGCCGCTAAGGTTGGCGGGCTTGGATCCAAAGGCGCGATACAGCAATGACTGGGACAATGCGACGTATACTGGGGCGACATACATGAACGCGGGTTTGAACATCCCTTGGAAGAGGACGGACTATCAGAGCAAGATGATCTGGTTGACGAAGCAGTAGTATAGCGGATTTAGTGTAGCTAATTAAGAAATCATTGAAGCATGACAGCTTTATTCATCTCGCTCATCAAACAGCAGGTTCTGAAGTCAGAAAGAGTTCCATTTCACAAAATGTTATGAATTGACCGTGCAGGAACTTCGTCCAGACCAACTGTGTCTTATGTCACCGCCACTAGGTGCGGCTTTAATTCGTGCGCGTTCTGTATAAAGTCAACCTACCATGAGAGAACAATCATGGTCTAAGATAAGAGCCTAGATAAACTCAATGGCTGAATATTACGTGGCGAAGAGCTAAAACAATATTGCAGCGCCTGGTGCTGCTCCTTGATACATTCACGTCCAGGGCTCCATCTCCTGCTCAAGCGGCCAGAAATATAAAGTGCAGACAAAGTGACGTTCAAAAACTTGGTTCTCAGGACTCCAAGGCATTTCCTCGTCTGCCACGAGAGGTTGGGGCGTTCTGTGCTGGTGTTGGGTTATTCCGTTACCGAAAATTAACAATACGTCACATATGCAATGTATTTATTAGAAAAGTGTATTGATTCTAAAAGCCATGAGGCCTAATGCTTCATGATATAGACCATGAAGGTCTTATACATCGACACGCCGCTACTGACAAGCTACATGTCTGCTAAACAAAGGCGCAAAGGCGCAAAGGCGCAAAGGCTTCTCTCAAGGTTTCTTTGCAATAGCCTTTACCGCAGCTAGAAGACGGCCGTAATGGGGATCCAATAGGAGCTTGACAATAGCCTCCTCGTCGGCTTTGGGGATCTTGTGATGCTTGCACAAGTATCCCAAACGGTTGGCAAGGGCAACCAAGATCGGATCGTCGTCCTTGCGAGTATAGTCGACGATGAGCATAATCTCCGCAAGCGACGGACGCTGGCAGTCGATGTCATCGATGTAGTAGTAGTCGAAGTGCTCGACGTAACGCTCCATGCCGAGCGTGTGAGCAGTGAGACGGAGCTCCATGAACTCCTTGATGTCCTCGGGCATAATCAGCTCGGGAAAGTGGGCTTCGAGGCAAGCAGCCTTGAGCCACTTGGCGATATCCTTCATTGCACCCATGTAGATATCCTTGTGTGTGAACTTCGCAGTTGTTAAGGTCGAGTTCTGCTGAAAGTAATTTCGTGCGACGGGCGAAGCAACTAGTAGAGCTTGCTTAGGGATGTAGACGCGCGAGGTCTCATCGGGGCCGACCTGCAAGGGGATGACTAGGGACGGAGTGAGCTCTTTACGGGCAGAAGCGGACCAGGAGCGGAAGTCGTCGCCGTCCTTGAGGTTCTTGATGTCAGCGATGACTTTGTTGACTTGGCCCTCGGGAGTCAGTTCAGCGACATAACCGCGGGGAGCTCGAGCCTGGCGACGCTTGCTACGGTTGTTGGAAGACATAGTAGTGTCGATGTGTCTTGAGTCTCGTGTGCTTGAAGAAGGGGTCAAGGATGGAAGTGAGATGTGAGTTGAGGTACTTGATTGAGCGGGCTTTGATGTAGTGATGGGCATCTGGAGGGAGGAGGCTACTTATACGAGAGGGGCTGGTTTGAAGAAAGGTGAAAAAACAGGGTAGAAGGCTTCCTGGCTGACATATTAGCAGCCTTGCAATCTCACAATGCATGTCATGGTAGGAATATACGAGGAGTAGGCCAGTAGTGAAAAGTCTCGAGGTCTTTCACAAAGACTATCACTAGACCCCATCATGTCATGACACGGACAAAGTTTGCTGCAGTAAACAGGGCAGGAAACTCTTCTGACCGGATTTGTGAAAGCACAATGAGTTTGTTGCCCACTAACAGCCATATTGTGCAACTATAATACGGCTACTGCATGTGAATAATGCCACAGTGTTGGTTCCCTCATATATAATCTGCTCTCTCATCGCCTACAACTATTATATTCTCCTCCACAGTTCAACAAGCTTGCTATTCAGTTGCAAACTCTCCCAAGACTTTCAACACTCTAACAGTTCTTCATATCGACCACTAGATCTATCATGGATACCACCAACCACAAGTCCATCGGTCACGCAGCCACTCAGCCCGCCCACGTCCAGATTCGCTTGGTCCTGGACACTATCAAGGCTCTCGGCGATGACATTCGCAAGTGGTCAGTCACTGCTCGCAGCCTTCGTCATGGTGGCAACGTCGATGTCGAAGATGGCCAGGGCAACCTCATTGGCACTGCCCCTAAGCTTGCCCTCCTCGTTGTCTCTACCATTTTCCGTCAGCATTTCGAGGACAAAAAACAGACTCTAGGAAAGGTCAAGGAATCGATTCTTCCCACCATTGACAAAGCGTGCCGTGGGTGTCATTTTTCAAGGGGGTCCAATATGATGATCGGGCAGCCCGACTACCAACCCGGCCATTCACGTTCCCTGTCTCCAAACATCGACCTCATCAAGGTTTGTTACGCTTCCATCAAGCTCGGTATGGGGGCCATATGTCCGGCACTTTCGGCCGTGCCTACCAGAGTGACCTTCGGTTACCGCACTCCCAACCCAGGATGAGTGGCTTCGTCCTCGAGCGTCTAGCCACCACCCCTGAATGATGAAATTTCTTGTTCACGCCAGCGAGCGGCTTGGCTACCTTTCGCCGCACTCGCCAGATAGTACCTGACACCATCGCTGCTCTCGCGGCTTTCTTGGAGTCCAGCCCTTACATGCGCGCCTCTGTTCAACTCGCAGACAACCGAGCGTCTCTGCGCGGCCGACGATTTTAGACTCGATTCTTACTGCGCTTGTCAAGGCATTCATCCAATGTTTTGTTAGTTTGAAAGCAGCCGTTCTTAATAAATCCTTTGTTCTCCAGTGGGAGGCGGACACAGCTGTCCGAGAACTATATAGTGCATATAGCCGATTGAAATTTTGCCCATAATCATCATTGTTCAGCCAGAGATGCATCGCCCGTGAAATTAGTTCCATCATTGCTCCGCGTGAAGATATAAACCAAAGGGAAGGCCGTGAAATAGCGTGTGGGATACTTAGGTAGGCTTTTCATACACCTATTTGTATCCACCATCCACAGGGCTGATAGTTCCTTTGTTAGTTTAGACACAGGCTCCTGTAGTGTACCCGTTTCGACTTTAGGCATCTCCAATCAATCATCCGTCAGATCGCGAGAACTTTGGCACTAAACGATCCGAGTATCTTCACTCGAGGTACATAGTGCTATCTGTGTAAGCTTACAAAAATTCTAAGGTATGATTTAAACGATGTTTAGTCAGGCTAGTAGGTTAACTCAATCTTTATCGTAGTTCTGCTCTGCTTGAAGACGTTGACGCGCGTCAATCGATATCGGCATCTAGAATTGAACTTACTAGCTGAGATCTTGTGCATGATCGGTCACGAGTTAGTGCTCAACATTAGTTTAGAGGCTGCCTATCAGCTTGGCGTTGAAGTTGGTAGTAAGTCGCTCTTGTCTTTATGTGTTCTCTTGCTAATGACTCAGCCCATTTCAAAGATGTTATCATGGACCGGATCTTCACATTCCATCCTGTCAACGAATCCCAGGCCCAAAGACTTGCAAATTTCCTCAACACAAACCTCGGCATGCTACTGCATTATCGCAGTCAAGTTCCCCTAGGTGCGGCGAGAGGCCTACCAGAAAGCTCCAGGCGATGCACGAGTTCTTCATCCGAGAGTTTGGGATCTATAAGGAAGACAAACAATGTATCGATCTTGGCATCCGCCTGGGCAAAGGCATTGCAGTCATGCTCGGCTTATCTAAGGCTTCTGCGATGTTGCTCGATAAGGCTCTCGGTGATGAATTCCTCAGTGGACTGACAGCCGCGGACAAGCTTGTTGCCGCCCTCGCCTTCGGCAACAGGGAGCTAGTCTCACGTCTTGCATCTGAAGCGAACGAATACCCATGCCATGTCGTCGTTGGGGACGTCTTCGCCGGCGCTGTTGCTCTCGGTGGCAAGCCATCCTCTTGTGCACTGGTTGACGGGATCATGTCCTCGGTCAATGAACAGGATGATGTCTTGCAGAAAGCCCTGTGTGTCTCCGTTGAGTACGAGCATGTTCGTGCCACCAAGATCACTATCGAGGCATGGAATGATTTTGGGATGGATGAAGTCAACGCCGGTCAGTTGGTTAAGAAAACAATTCTCGACAACCTAATCAACGCACCTATCAGATCCAAGCATGTAGAGGTTCTGGAGGCTGTCATCAAGTTCTGCAGCAGCATGCCGTCACACAAACACCAGCCGCTAATCAACGTTCCCACCGTCGCCAAAATTTGCCGTTCCGCACACCCTAGCTTATCGCGGTATCGTTTGAACACGGCAGCCTGAACTGCGACATGTCGTGGGAAACTGGCACTCCGCTCTTGGTTGCTGTCCAATCAAGATATCAAGGCAGTCCAGGCTGTCCTTGCTCAACGTCAACCACATTAGCAATAAAGCGACCAAAAAACCTGGCAAGCACGTCAATTTGTCTCCTTTGGAGACCGCGAAAGGAAAGTCTCTGAGCGCGGTCAAAAAACTCTTGATCGAGCGCAGAGCCGTCACTACAATTAAAGTGAGGAGTTCCACCGGCGGGAGTGGATTGAAGCTTCCACGCATGGCTATCGACCCACGGAAAGCAGGAGATTCTTGACTGGCTTTTGCGCTCTGAGGACTTTGCGTTGATCACGACTTTGGGAAAAC